AACCAACTCACCGGTTATATCCGGAATGTGATTGTATATTACCTAAATAAGAAAAACGAATCTCAGATCAAACCTTCGACTCATCTGAATAAACCCTACTGGTGACGAAGAACGTATACGGGTTACACCACGCACAAAGATATCACGGTATGCGCAGCATGCTTATTCATGTCATGGGGCGGACATCCTGGCGAGGCGCGTTAGTAAGTGCCACCATCCCAGGTACTTCCTTCGATAAAATGGTATCAATTATTGGGGAAACCTTTTGACTAGAGTGAACTTACTAATGTCTCCATACGGTAGGAACCAAATTTCTGTCGTTGAATATCGCGGACTCCGTACCCTTTCCAACCCTACGGTATCAGAGTCAGCCGATGATAGAAAGAGGCCGCTCTCTGTTACGCTCAACAAGATGACGTCAAATCTCTTTCGACTGGTATCTTACCTCTGGCCGAGATAGCTCCTACAGGACTTGCCAATAAGTAGCATGGCAAGCGAAAGACAAGCACGTGAAATGATCGAAAGGTGATGAGAGGCGGAAATATGAGCATACGAGCATGGTACATTGGTAGGCGTAATTGCTCAAGCGAAAGTGACAAGCGGAACAAACGTTAGCTTACCTCATGCCTTTTCGGACCCATAGCAGTGGCGCCGTGTCTAGTCAACGTGGCGTTTGCGTTCTGATCAGTAGAAACAATTTGTATGTACCTTGGGCCTGTGTGTGAAGGGTAGCCCGAGTTCCGAAGATGTCGAATCCATAGAATCCTGGAAGCACCTGTCAGGCCGTTGCACTATACTTAGTGAACATGGGTTCCCCCCATGGGGGTTTAGTGGCAGGACCTTCGCTTCCATCAAATTGAGCTCCGCGCGCCTTGTGTGGGTGAAGATACAATTACACAGACATCGTCTCAGTGGCAGAGTGAGCTCTTAGTACAATGTGCCATAACACACGATAATACGCACTACTTTTGGTGCAGAGGGGCGTTTGAAGTTCTTGGTTACCAGAACCGCATTTGGAGATAAGCTATAGCTAGCAAAAGCAACAAGTTACTTGGGTGATTGACCTCACTGCAATTGAAACGTTAGTGCACGTTTTAGTCGGCGCACGAACTTTTACGCGATGCATCGTCAGTTCTAGCTTAGGCCTGTCACAGGAAGCTGCATAGGTATCAAGCCATTTAGTCCAGTCTCAATTAGTTTGCAGATTTTTTGAGGCCCTCAGAGAGGTCACTCGTTATTAAATAAGTAATGAGTTCGACAAGCCATCCTCCAATCGCGGGGTTGACATGTCTCGTGACTCCACGGTTCGAATACGCGTCTTAGTTGCCTATAGATGCATGGGCATCTGTATGACTTACTATGTACAATATTAATTTTATACGCTTATAACTAATATCCCGTTCTTCAATCGGTCATCATTCCGCAACTCCTGGGCACCTCCTCGTGTTCTCCGGCTGTCTACACTGAGTCAGGCCCCAATTGCTATCTGTTTTTCCGCACACCATCACTTCCCCAGCTCCATGCAACAAATGCTCTCCCGACCGCATTCTGATCGTCTTCTTGTCAATGCCCATTCATATGGGCAATAACTATGATATGGCACCAACCAGCAAGGGTTGCACCTGCGATTCAGAGCAGAACAACTCACGACGGGTCACGGTCACATCGAATTTGCTGCAGGAACCCAACTAGGGGCGTATACTGCATCAATATATATTCTACATTCTTCATGGCAAGAATGAGCTAATTAAATACTCTCATAGGCTCGCTGTTGTTGTGCCACATTCCCGCCCCCCACCCGGTAAAAGACCGTGACTCCTGTCATCGTTAATGCATGACCATGAGACACTGATGGACGGCAAATGGAATGAGATGTCGAGTTCTCATCGTTGTATTTCGCGACTACTGATTAAAGAAACATTGCATCTATGCGTGCTGCTCTCGAAGTAAAACTCACAAGAGCAAGACTTTGTCCTGAAGGTGAGATCGCGTCGTTCCCACAAAAGCATCGCCAACTTGCAACGAGGTATGACAACCACTACAGCTGGCGTGGGCATATGCAGGGCCAATAACGGCATCGGTATCAACACTTGCGCCAGGATTTCTTGATGGGCCCATCTCAGTCCCACCGTTACTAGTTGAAGGGAATATCTCCCCATTACTGGAGTTTGATCTCACGAAGAAGTTGCACGTAAGACTATGGTAAGGCCTAGACAGACCTGGCTGGATATGATTAACCCTTCCGTTCTTGTGACGCTTCATCAACACGCAATACTTATCGTCAACGTTCACGACCATGGCTGTGAGTCTGGTCGCTTTCCTTTTCAGTTCTTTGTTGAGATGTTATCTTTATGTTCCATAACAAGGTTTTCCCTAGGACTCCCCTTACCTATTTTGAGTACTTTCGTGACTACCAGCATTGCGGGGTCATGACGCAAGGTTTTGGCACAAGCCTTAGTGCAATTCGTGACTTCCCGACAGCGCACGTACAACATGCTTCCCCCCGCAATTCCGGATAAGTTCTGGTCCGAACAGGTTTGTAATAGCCGTCCTGCTAATCGTGCGTCAAATAGCATAATCTCTTCATCGATACGCCAACCATACGTATCACCAAATTCCGAGGCGATAATTGGGTGTCTCAGCCCCTTCATTGCCAGGCATGTGCATGAAGCGCCCCGCACTGATAGGCTTAATACTACGCTTATTCGAGTAATGTATAGGTAAGTAGAAGCACGAAAAGAAAACTGCGAATGCTGTCTACAGGATCTCCCAAGATCTAGGATGCAGAAGTACTCCTTAACGTGCGGCTTACGAGAGTCTTTATCGTATCAACACTCCTGCAATTCTCATGTCAGATCTGATGACCTCCTACTTGATATTAAGATGTACTTATATCAGTCTCTCTCATAACTCGCCAAATACAATGTTTACCGTCATTGTCCCCCTTCACACGTTACCTGTCCTCATGAATATTGAATGATTACACCCTTGCAAACATGCAGACGTCAAGACTCATTCACACGACTCCCTGCAAAGGTCAGATGGTTATTGTATCCTTTCCAGGATTCAAATGATGTAATCCCGACGCTAGTCCACTTCCAACGATTTCGGAAACCCGCGCGACACCACTTATGCATCGCAATGACAGCTGGGCTTTAGCCTTATATACGCTTGTATATACGCCGCTCGACCAACGCTCGCCGAGCGCGAATCACAGCAGATTGTGCCCGAATGCATGCAGGCAGCCTTGACGGCATCCACACGTCCCACACTACATTCAATTCTCATGTACTAGCTATAAGTGCAGCAAATGTTGTTTGGCAGTCAACAGGCAAGCACTCCGGAGTGACATCATGATGAAGTGGAGCAATACGCGAAAGCACGCTTAAAGGAACATGGATTGGAGATATTAACCATTCACATTCATTAGGCGAGAACTAGGCAATTTTGCAGTATGATCGCGACGCCAACGGTCTCCGCAGCTTTCAATTGTTACGAGCGATCGTATAGGACGCCGAAATCATTGCCAGTGGACACGCATCAAACTGCTTGCGAACCCTTGATCTCATAATAAATACAATAGCATTCGCACCATCAAAACCATTGGCTACCAGTGTGATCGAAGTGCGAGGATGTAATAAGCGTCAAGAACGGATACGAGTAGCGGGATTCAGAATGCATAGACACACACCCCGACGGCGGCCGCATCACACGAATATCCGAGGAACGACGGAAGCGCATAGCATGCGAGTCTCAGGCGAGAAATGTCAATATCAAACGGCGAAGGCCCCATCGCGGGGAAGACGGCCCTTCTGCGAGACCAGTACGAATGCCTCTTAAAGTTATTTCATTCGTAGGGGGTATGAATGTCGTGTTCTCATTCAGACTAGGTCTTGTGGGGCTAAGATATCGAGATCAAGCGGCATTCCATAAACGAATAGTCAATCTCCGACTTAAGAACCGAGACGGATAGAGGATTCGGACAGTTATGAGTAGGGTCCTATGTGGCATCGTCACTAACAATTGATTTTGCTTGTTCTGGCGTGCGATATGAGCAACCGTCACTGCCTTGGCAAGTACTCACGGAAGAATCAGCAAGTAGTTGTCCAAGTATAGGATGGCAGTTTGGCACCTGTTTTGCATATGGGGCAAGCCTTTGCGCTGCGCAATCACAACCCACTGCATGAAACGAAAAAGAGGAGTAATAATTACTTGCTTTGTGTCATTAGTTTCATCACTCGAGCAAATTAATAGCGTCATATCGTCTTGAGACGCTTCAGCATCAAGGCACTCAACCAGCCGGGCCAATCAGTTGCCAATAGGAGCTTGCAGGTCATATCATTGCAGCATGTTTCACGTGCGATCGGGAATAGCCTGATGCTACGACAACAACGTCGTAGAATGGCCCAGGCCCCATGTCACAATGGAAAAAAAGATAAACATTTGAAAGTCACAGATGAAAGTCGCAGTTGAACCGACGGGATTGATTGATTCTCCAGTTCCTTTTGTCGAAAGCATGTTCATGCATGCAGATCTTTCTACACCGTGATAGAAAGATCATGTATTAATGCACAGTAAACCATGAGGCAAGGGTGTTTCTAATATAACGCAAGGGTCTAGCTCTGTAAAATACAGGGGATCGTATTCAACAAGCTGTCAATTGCATCACACACGATGGGAATACAAATAAGACGTACGAACGCTTAGCGCTCAGCGCTCAGCACTGGTAGAAGTTGGGAGAAGTCAACAAGCTGCAACCTCATACGTATGCGGAAAAAGTTGCTTCGGGTTAACTGCTAGTCCGGGTATCGTTAGCTTCGATTTCGATAGAGCCAAAGATAGCTTACAGTATCCCGCAGGGTAGGCGTAATAAGTCAACAACACCAAGAGAATCGTTGTCGATACTTTAAGGAGTTGTAGTACAAGTCCGAGTCTTGCTTTTTCGACCAGTGGGCCGGCCCTAAAGAGGTATCTCAAAGGAAACTTTAAATTTTAATCCGTTCAACTCAACTGTTGCTGCAGTCTTTACGATAAAGATGTCTTTGAACTTTAACGCCCTTGAGCAACACCTAACTACCAGATCTTATATTGAGGGGTGAGTTATTTTCCATTCTTTGACCTTTTTTCACGATGATCACTATGCTATGGTCCGTGTTTCCAAGAAGCGACTAGACACCGCTGCTCAGATATGCCGATAACTCTCTACCTAGCCTTCTGATTCTTTGGCTCGTTATATCATTGGATCTAGCTAAATCTCTTGATTCTAGGTACACGCCCTCTCAAGCAGACGTCCACGTTTACAACTTGCTCACGGCACCGGAGCCATCGAAATACCCGCACTCTGCCAGATGGTACTCGCATATCAAGTCTTATACTGCGGAGCATGCAGCTTTGCCTGGCACAAGCACTGCTGGGCAGGCTTTCGTTCAATCGGCATCGGCTCCTGCTGCTGCTGCTGATGAAGACGAAGTTGATCTCTTCGCTGATGACGATGAAGAAGATGACGGAGAGGCAGAGAGGCTCAAAGCAGAGCGTGTTGCCGCTTACAATGCGAAGAAAGCTAATAAACCCAAAGCAGCTGCGAAGGTCAGTCTCTTCGCTTGCCTAATATTGCGGTGCTTATGATGGCCGCCTCCAAATAGTCTGTTGTGACCTTGGAGGTTAAGCCTTGGGATGACGAAACCGACATGCAAGCACTTGAGGACTCTGTACGTTCCATCGAGCAGGAAGGTCTTGTTTGGGGTGCCAGCAAACTAGTCGCTGTCGGCTATGGCATCAAGAAACTCCAAATCACCCTGGTTGTTGGTAAGCTATCATTCCCCATCGTATTGATGAAGGGGTCATGACTTTTATGAACAGAGGATGAACTCGTCTCCTTGGATGATCTACAGGAGAAGATCGCTAGTTTTGACGACTACATCCAGAGTTCTGACATTGCTGCCATGCAAAGTAAGCATCCTGTATCTTGCATAACGGTTTGCACCTAACTTTCCCCCCAAGAATTGTAATCATACTGGGAGTTGATGAGCGCGAGATTTTGTAAGCTGTAACAGACCGGTTAAGAAGCATCATTATAGGAAATGAGAAGGTTTTGTGCGATATAATCATTGTTAATGTGCGTGACGAATGTGCTGGTGTTGTTTGGTAAGCCAATTAAACGGACGCACACAACAGATGCTCCTTGTAAGACAGTCCCAACCACATGAGAAGTTGACTTGTTCGTCGCACAATATTGTCCTACCACATGTACAAAATGCACATTAACATTGATCGTGAATTCCAGGTCATTTACATACAGAGAAGAGATAGTTGCTGTGTACAGTGTGCAGGCAACGCGTGGGTTCACATTTCGCTCCACCCACACAACTTTGTGAGTGGTTGTCACGCTAGATTGGTCAGTGGACAAGGTTAACTTCAAGCAGATGGGGAATGCACAAAGCGGTGCGAAACCTATGTTTCCTTTCTTGGCGCATCTTAGGAAATGCGTTTTGCCACCGCCCTTTCACCGTTATCATGATGCCAATGCTCCATCGGAGTAGTTCAATGCTCGGAACGCTTGTTGCCATCTGACAACGATTCTAAATCGTTCATCTCCGTGCTCGGGGAAGTTGCTTTGGCAGCGACAGCTCTCTATGAGGCTCTCTTGCCCTCGTGTCAGATGCTGGAAGCTCAAAGGGTGTTTTACAAAATATAATGGATCTACTGAGTACTGAGCAGTCATTTAATGCGTAATGGCGTCATAGCAGAAGCTATCCGCCTTCTTGCTTTGCACCCAAATTTGAAGTGATGTATACGTTCAACTTTGGCGGTTGGCCCTGATCCAGCAGTACTAGTCTGGGCGATGACTACTAGGACAGCAGTTGCGCAGTCAACGCCACATATATTGCCCCGTGCTGGATGTGGAAAATATTTGGCCAAGAATTACGGTGCGCTTCCGATAGCACTTGCTGTGAAGACGGATATATGAATTCGACCAGGCACACGGGTACGTAGCCACGATTACAATCAAGATCTGATCTGGAGAACGCGTGTTTACCTCTCTTTCAGACGTTTCAATTTTCTCAATGAGAAAAGCAAACCTCCGCTTAGTTCGCGCGGCGATCCCATTGCTCGAACGGCACTCCGCCACTCACCTGATTTTTAGTTTAAAAGGCGCCTGCAGTTGTGATTCTACACAAAGTATGATGCTTCCTCACCTCGAATCAATCCCTGTCGATGTTCTGTCCCAGATAGCTTTCTTCACTGTTGCTTCCGCACCATTCACCGGTCTTGGTGCTGTTCTCCAGCTACTTTTATGTAGCCGCAATCTACATGACGCCCTCTCTCTGACATCTTGCCCCCAGCTTTATGCGCGGGTGTTTCGTATTAGATTTGATTTAGTTGCTCATCTCCGTCGCAGCAAACTAGCATCTCCTACGACTACGAACTTGGCATTGGAGTTACAGCGTCGATGTGCAGTACTTCGACGCATCCGGCATCGCCATGTTGCCGATCACAGTATCCTTCCCGACCTCTGGACAATCTACCTAATGCTGTTGGAGAGCGATGGGATGAACGAATCTCAACTTCATTCTGCCGGCATCGCGCAATATATACGTATACTGTTGAAACGTTGCCTTGGCCAGCAAGGGGTTCTTCGTGACGACACGGCTCGCGCATTAGCTATATCTGTCGCATGTTTGGTTTGGTCTCACAGTGAGGCTATTGCGCACTTTTCTAGTATATAGGCGTTCCTGATTTAATGCATCGTCCAGAGTTTATTGCCGATATGCCGTCGGAGGAACGCAGTCAAACCCTTTCGGAACTAAGACCTTTTGTCACAGGGTCGTCAAATGTGATGAAGTGATCGCGCCCACATATTAAACCAATACTGACATCATTTTAGGTTCTTTCGCTCAATGTGAACAGCGGGATGAGACGATGTCCTTTATCATTTGACGGATCGTACAACCGAGCACTAGAAATGATGCCCGGCGCTTGTGTCGGAAATAATTACCGGTCACTCTTCTCCTCGATTTACACTAGGGAATACACGTTAACCGCTCCCAGCCTTCTTTCTGCGTCAATTTTCCTAACTTTCGCGCTGAAGGAGGCGATTGCTCTCCAAGTGCCTAAACATTTGCCACAAACTCAAGTGGTCGCGCGCCCCACGGAACACGATGGTCCTACTATAGAAGACTTCTTTGCCATCACAAGAAGAAGGACACCTCTTGTCGCTGATTCGGGTCATCAAAACCCCTCCCGTGAACCCTTCGCGGATCGTGCAGGAAGGAAGATGCGGGCATCAAGAAGTCTCGCTCATGATGAAGAGTTCTATCGTGTTGCCCATCGCCTGGGTTTACCGGATGACACTTGGGAACTTCGGTCGTGCATTGGGTTACTAAGTGGAACTTGGGAAGGTACATACATGTGAGTGCTCGATGTCATTTATTAGTCCTAATCGATGATGGATTTCACAGGGTAGGCGATGGTCAATGGCTTCGAGCACTCGACTAAAACCTCCATAGACATCGCCGACATCGTTCTGTCAATGTCCTTCACGGAAATCTGATCCCACGGTTTCGCCAGATTTCGTGTCCAGACATCCTATCCAATGCCGGCTTGAGGAACACCTCTGCTTCACACCATGCATGCCATTGCCTAGCGTTCCGCGGAACGGTGATTTTGGAGAGTCAGCGTTCAAGCATTTATCCATGAATGATTGTGAAGGAGTCACTGTGCGTATGGTTCTCACTGTGCTCCATCGTTGGTGACACGACTGTCATGCCTTCCCACTCCAGACAGCAAATGAATTTTCGGACGCCACAGGAACATCAAAACATCGATATGAACTTTTTCGCCCAACCGATACCTCCGAAAACTACAGGGACCCACGGCATGCCCTAGATGTCGTGATCACTGGGGAAGTGAGTATTTCGTTACCAAAGGGGTTTCCAGATTGTTCACGCACTCGTGTAGACTCCACGCAGGTTGGAAGCCACCTGGGGTGCATTTATCTTCTTTGGAAGGATCCGCTTATCTGATGGACTTGTCACTCTGACGAGAAAACCAGTTAGTCCTGCTTCGGTCGACGGATTTTTCACATTGTCATGACGTATTATTTTTGCAGAAATACTCGGGTGACGAAGGACGTGGGACGTGGATCTTTGAAGGTTACATCCACAACAGACGCTCCTTTGTCGGACGCTGGAGGTCTTTTGGTGTGTCTGAACGTGAGAGCTTACGGGGCATTTTCAGCCTGACTAAGGTAGATGATCCGCCTTCCCATCTTTACCCTGGACTGTAGACGAGACTTTTTGCAAAATACGTTGTAATTCTTATTTAGGGAGATAACACGGAAGTTCGCGCAAATTGTGGGAAGGGCGAAGGAGCGTGGACAGAACTTCCAGGCGCTGTAAGAGCTCTTGGAGTTCCCGGACTTTTGATTCCTGATAATCCAGCAAAGCCGAAAGAATTTTGACGCTAGTGTCAGACCATATAGAAGGGGGACAGTATTTTGACGCCTCGTTTTCGTGATAGCTCCGGGAACAATGTTGTTACTTGTGATAACCGAGTGCTTTCCACCCATTAATGAGTTCTTGGCTTTAGTGCTCAGAAATACGTCAAAACTCTTGCCTGATATACTCGAGTAGTGTGGTACATGAACTTTGATAAGATGGTATAGCCAGCTGACATGATATGTCACTTCATACTTCCTAGTTGTGTCCGAATGCTGAGTTTTACACGGGTGACTTGTCTAGACAGCGATACCCCCTGACGTAAGCATCGTCGCCCCGCTTTGTATTGAAGATCACCGGTGCCCGACACCTTTATTTAAATTTCACGACAAGGTTGGTTGCGAGGCTTTGCGAGAATGGTTGTTGCGCATCAATCCGATTGAATGTCTTCTATTCTTCGAGATTACGGTGCCGAAGATAGATGCATAAAACACAACTCTACAAGTATCTCAATTATCTCCGAGTTCCGACTTCTTCAATAGTCAACACAAACCAGATGCTATGCATGACATACAGTCACGATTTGCGCTAATCCCTCAGCTGGACACAGTTTCCACGATTTCCAATTGATTTCCAATAATTATGTATTTCACCCATCGGGAGGTCATCCGTTCACTCATTTCATTCATTCAAGTACAAAAAGGTATGGTCTGCTGAGCAGTTACGTGTTATTAAAATGCGCTCCCGATATTACAGACTGGTGGCGACATGGGTGACGATATGCCGCACGGAACGATTATGGGCGCATGTCCATGCAGCACCTCGACGGAAATGAGTGATTTTGATCGCGACGGACCCGAATGCGGATTATTCCACTGATCTATTTGACGATATTCAGAAATGGTTGTGGCCAACCGATATGCTGGTGCTGCTGACTGAACGTTCATACATATCCGCTATGTTCCTACGATAAAGATGACTTTGAGCATGGAAAGCAATTGTTGGTGACATGAGTATTATACCGCTTTACGTCGAATTTAATGTCATATTCAGACAGGTCAGGATTCTTTCTCTCGGGCAAGGTAAACCCGACTACAATTGAGGTCGTCGAAGCCAAGGAAGTTCGATAGATACCGGATGGACTAAGGCGGCAAAAAGTGGTCAAGCAATTATGGGAGACACTCGATGCTTACCGCGTTGTGGAGATGAACCCTTGACAATGGAATATCAGCTGGTCTTACCGCATGTTTAGCGCAGATAAGAGGATTCACAACTTGAACTGAGCGGAGTTCCAGGACTCTGGTCAAGCAACTTACTGTAACGAGTACGATCCAATCCGAGCGTCCTTGTGCTTTTGAAGTGTTTTCCTTATATGTACATGTCATGTATTTGTCTGCAGAAGTAACTTAACTGAACAAGAATCCAGATAGGTTTGGGGTATGCGAACAGAAGCGGTGTCAGCACAACAGTGCGGATCCTGAAGGTGACACACCTGAGCCAGGCGAGTTTAAGCGGCGATAGGCCTACTAGAGTGGAACGTAGACTCTTTCATGTCCGTACTAGTAGGTTTTCCTGGAACAGGGAGAGAACAGGAGAGAATAGCCTTCTGTACTAGGAATTCTTATCCCTAACCCTAGTGTGAGAAAGAATCGGACACAGATCCAAGGTACATACTTCAGGTAGGATATTTGTGATGAGTCCCATGCAGCTGTGTGGGTCACTTGGCAGGTGTGTACAAGATCCGTGCTCAATCAGATATAGGTAAGCTCTGTCATGACTTACAAGAAAATTATTATATGCTTCTTGTAAGTGTGCGACGCCAAGCTGCGGCCCGATCAGCCAACTGATCTGTGGAGTGAGACTCGGGTGGAACAGATGAATGTTGGATTTAGCCAGGTACCAAGGTACACTCACACTCGTGGAGATCAATCGATAAGATGAAAGAGCAACCGGTCTTGATAGGCCTCGATGTGTCCCCCAGATCCATGCTGAAGACCAAAGGTACATTAAAAGGTGCGTATGCAGGGATAGTCCGCTTGCATAAATCTGGGGCAACCGGCGGCGGCATGCCATATTTGGAGTGAAGAGTGCTGAGCATGACATAGCTGGGAATTCTCCTGAAATCTCATATTCGACAGTCGCAGGATATCATGATGGGCCCATATATGTTTTTGATCAAACCGTTGCTAGCAGATTGGCCATGGCAGCAAATTAACACAAAACATGAGCAAGTCGTGTGTTATGTACATATTTGGCTTTGTTTGTAACTAAGGAAGGATCTTTTTCCATGATTGTTTTCCTTCTCAACAGAAACTTCGTCGCCATCGTCGCCTTCGACTGCAAAGAACCCGTCCACTCGTTGATATCTATCATACCCACCTTGCAATGAAGTCATTTGCTATTCTCTCCTTGTTCATTACTGCTTCTTTGGCACAGTCTGTAAGTTAGTTTGGTGAAATCATTGATTGTTAGACTGACAACACTGTTCTGAAACCATTCCCCAGTCTTCCAGTTCCAATCCTTTCATTCCTTCAGGAATCAGCCAAGGCTGTTCAGACTATTTAACAAGTCTGGACAGCAACAGTAGCTTCTCCTCCTGCACAACCCCAATTATATCTGCGACATCTGCGTTCGCACCAGGAGCCAACTCGAGCAACATCACCACGAGTACCATTAACACTGCATTGAGCAACCTCTGCTCATCATCTGCGTTCAACGCATGCCCTGATAGCACTGTTCGCTCTCAGTTGATGTCTTACTACTCGGCATGCTCAGCAGAACTTACAACGAATCTCAATACCGATGTCCTCAGGACTTATGATGTCCTCTATGTCCTGACGCCACTCAGAGAAGCCGTATGCTCAAAGTCTGACAACGGGCAATACTGTGTCACGCAGCTGAACACCACGTCCGGTAGTTCTGCTACTGGAAATGTGGCTTTGGCGACTTCCAACACACAACAAGCGTTGCAGCAATACCTATATACAACTCCTGGTGGCGGGGCTTCCGCACGTCGGGATATCAGCAACTCTACTACTGCACTTATTCCCAACACCACGACATTTCAGGATACCAATCTCGTATTCCTCTTCCTTAATTCCAACATGAATTCAACCCAACTCTGCACCACCTGCACACGCAACATTCTCACGTCATACATCACGTTCGAGTCCAGTCTCCCTTACGCCCCAGGTTTAAACAACAGTTTGCTGCTCCGTGGTCAGACTGCTCTTTACAGTACCACCGTGTCAACTTGCCCGAGTGGCTTCTTGAGCGGCGCTGTGCAGGCCGCCGGCGGCTTGTCTAGCGGCTTTATAGGTGGTAGCCCCCGATCAATCAGTGCAGATGTATCGTTGCTTGTCGGTGCTATCTTGGGTGCTGCAGGTCTCGCGGTCACAGCTTTCTGAGGCTTACATTATCCAAGGACTCATAGCCGATAGTTGTGGAATTTCGATGGTTGTTTATGGTGACCGGAACGGAATTGTCTATTATTATACCTATGGTGATTTCTCTTTAGACAAATAATCTCCAGGCATCATCTTTGAAGTCGTTTGTCATCTTCCTTTTCACCTTTTGATCCTTGTGGGTATGATGTGTTTGGATTCAGTTCAGTCGTGTTGCCCGGTATCGAGTCGGCGTAATGATACCAACGTACTCATCTCATCGACGATACAATAAGCTTGTTGGCTGTGCCGCGAGCCTCAGGATTGTTACATACACCAGTACTGTTGTGTAATGACTTGTTGAGTTTCGGTTGTTGTGCTGAATGGACAAACCGTGTTTACTGTAGATACTGACTGAGGGACGCAAACGTATTAACGGTTGATCCTTGGAGACCCCGTTGAAAATGCGATTGGGTTTCATACTGATGGTTACAATACTGAATGGCGTATCGACGGCTCTGCATTCCTCAGCTGAAACAGCGAAGGATAGGAGTCGGAAATGAATAACGCTTGACCAACATAGCTACATACAAATTAGTTCAGATAGAACTAGCAGGGTAAATTTTCGCACCATACCCAATATATGAGGTTGATGCTGCACAGAAAAGAGTCACATTTGAAGTACAAACACAAGCAACAGGAATTCCACTACCATCACGAGTGCACCAACAGCAACAACATCACGTCCAGCCGTTACGAATGGACGACCGTATTCCCGTCTGTCTTCCTGCCCAACAGTAGGGAGCGCCTGATCATAAAGAGCGCTAGGTTTCGATCCGTCGGAAAAGTCATGCCGCGAATGTCGAGCACGAATATACCCGAGAGCGAAAAGGAGAATGGAGAGAACGAGATAGAGAATACCAACTGTCCGATGTCATAGGTGACGGTCACCATGGAAGAAGTCAAAGACGATGAGATAATAGACTTACTTCGAAAAAAACGCGAATCAAACAGTCGGAGGGCCGTCAGTGCGTACCCAAGGGTAGCAATGGCGGTACGGCGGTACGCACCGTTGAATGTGCGATTGCGTGCCCGAAATTCATTGAGTTCAAGGACATCAATTGGCCTAAATGAATCTGCTCTATGACCCCTATTGTGATATTCAGCCACGTTGGTGATCGCAAGTTATTTTCGTAGGGCTCACCGGTATGTGTGCATGATGGGGGTGAAGTGCCAAAAATATTGAATTGACTGGTGCTGTGAGAAACTGGTTCGGCTCGGTTCGGCACATTAAATTATTCTCGAACCTTTACTTACACTTCAAGCTGGGAGTGAAGGTGGTGGTCAGCTTAAGCAGAACATAGGCTTGACATTAAAATTGATGCTTCTGCCTTCAACGGTACGCGTGGGCATTCGCCTGAATCCAAGAGTTTACGGTGCAAGGTACGTTTCCAATGAATGAGTCTGCCGACATAACACTGCTGATGACACTGCAGAATATGGCCGCAAGCGTCTCAAAACCAAGGGCTGTTTTTAACCTTACCGGTGCGCGTTGAGGACTATCAGATATGCTCGTTTACTCAGTTTTCCTGTAGCACTCAAAAATTATGCCGAGGGTGTATCCTTCCCAGCGCATACCGCATACTCGTAACTTCTGGTGGTCAAAATCGGCGATACCTGAGCAGCAGGCGGCATCGGCAGTGGAGTCAGCACCAACTTCCAGTAGCAAGGTTAGTCCCGCTGCTGTGGACTTGGAACCAGCAACAACAATCAATACAGCGACACTGGAGCCAGACTCTGTTCCGATACCAGGAACTACCGCGGAGGACGGTTTAACAACCGTTGTTGACAGTGGTGCGGGTGTCGATATTCCTGCGCTTGCCACCGCCATTCCACCCCTTCAATACGGTGATTTAGCAGAACTAGGCCTCGCTGGCTGGTCTCCGGCTGGGATCATAAGGTGGTCATTCGAACTTCTACAGGTCAGCAGTGGAATGCCGTGGTTTTACACGATCATCGCTGGCACACTTTTGTGGCGTGTGGTCATTTTACCTGCCAACATCATGAGTCTTCGCAACTCGTCGCGTTTACTTCCCTATACCGATCAGCTACAGGCCGTGACGTCGGAATGGAAATCGATCGACACCAGTGACCGCCTTGCATTGCAACGTATATCCCTGAAGAGACAGAAAATTTACGAAAAAGCGGGAGCGCGGGTGCTTCCTTCCATTATCATGCCCTTTGTTCAAATCCCAGTCACATTGGGTTTGTTCTTTGCTGTCAGGAAGATGACCATGCTTCCTGTAGAGCAGCTCAAGCAGAGCGGCGTCTTTTTTCTGCCTGACTTGACTATGTCGGACCCATATTACATCCTACCCATCTTGTCCACTGTTGCCATCAACATCCAAATGTCGGTGCGTGTATTTAGCAGTTATGCACCGGGAAATTGATGCTAAATTATGGTCACAGGTGATGAAAGGAGACGTTAATTTTGCTGAACGTCCCGAAATGGCTCATATGATGAATTACATGCGCATCTTTTCATTCATGAGCGTCCCTCTCATGGGTTCACTGCCTAGCGTAGGGTTTCCCGGTCAATTCTTGCATATTTAATTCTAATGATTATATACATATTCAGGGTTTGTGGTTGTCCATCCTGACTGGTGTGATGGTGTCATGCCTGCAGTCCTTTATCCTACAACGTGCGACGGTGCGCAGGTGGCTCAAAATAACTCCCCGTGCCGAACCAAAGGTCAAACCACCCAGCATGATGGATTCTATGCAGTACGCGAAATCGTGGTACATGAGCAAGAGGAGTGAGATCATTGCTGCTCGAACTCAGGCCGCAAAGACACAGAGGAGGTGAAATAAGCAACGAGATAACATGGATAGAGGGCCTTATTGTATATTTCATTCATTAATACATCCACACTCTGCTCGTTTCAAGTCAATGGAAGGAGTGTATTACGTAACGTTAGGGTTTGCGTGGGAGTACCCGTGACCCCAAGCATCTACTGCGGTAGCCGTGCTACTTTCGGCTGTGTACACTTCATGGCCTTCAAGTTGAGCCCAATAACAGTTCAGGCGTCACCCGCAGTACCATCCGAAGTTCCCATTCCAGAAGACGAAGAGTACTATTCGTCGTGGTCCCTGTTTCTTGTTTGCTTGCTACTCATCGTCTCGTTATGGACGTCTTATTACCTGCAAATCAGGAAAATCCGGGCCATCCATGAGACTACCGTCTCTATCTTTGCAGGGATGTTTGTCGGGTTGGTGATTAGACTTGCACCGGGCACGATGATTCGAGAAATGTTGGTGAGTATCCTTTCGTTACCTCTACTGCTTTCACGGACAGATTGGTGTCTTGGTTTATTGGAACATATCTCCAAGCTCCTCATAAACTGTGACTGCTGTGGCTGAAGCTTTATTCATAGACCTTCAAGCATACTCTGTTCTTCAACTTGCTACTTCCTCCCATCATTCTTAATTCCGGATACGAGCTCAAGCAAGTGAGTAATGCGCAGATATTAAAATAGATTCAGACATATACAACCTTGCTGCAGGAGAATTTTTTCCGCAATTTCGGCTCCATCCTTACTTTTGCATTTTTGGGCACATTAATATCAGCTGTCGGTGTTGGGTGCGTCAAATGCGAAAACGCTTCTAGCATCATCATTACTTTGCTTAACTGTTCTAGGACAGGGTGCTCGTGTATCTCTACTCATTTCTGGGACTGGAATCCTTGGATGTTACACTGCTGGAGTGCTTGATCTACGGCTCTACACTATCTGCAACTGATCCAGTGACCATTCTTGCCATATTCAATCAATATAAGGTGGACCCAAAGCTCTACACCATCATCTTTGGCGAGAGTCTGCTAAATGATGCGGTCAGTATTGTCATGTATGAGTAAGTTCGAATTGCCTTTCTCCCTTTAGAATCCGCATGCTTATCTTGTGATTTTCAGAACTCTCGCGCAATTCCATGGCACAGAGATATACATCTCGTCCATATTCCATGGCATCGGAATTTTCTTGCTTTCATTCAGCGTATCCATGGCTCTTGGCGTTAGTTTCGGCCTGGGAATGTCCCTAATCCTTAAACACTCATCAATGAGTCTGTATCCTTCCATCGAATCTTGTCTCGTTGCCCTCTGCGCATATACCTGCTACTTCTTGTCGAACGGCTTGTCGATGTCTGGTATCGTATCTCTCCTATTCTGCGGAATCACCTTAAAACACTACGCGTATCACACCATGTCCCGGCGAACGCAACGAACAACAAAATACATCTTCTCGACCCTTGCCCAGCTCTCCGAAAACTTCATCTTCATTTACCTCGGTCTCTCACTTTTCACAAGTCCTCCGTCATCTGAGCGCGTTACCAACTATGTCAAGCCCCTTTTCATTGTGGTCACGACGGTCGCAGTCGTGTTTACCCGATACGCAGCTGTCTTCCCACTATCTGAAGCGATCAACTTCTTCACTCGTCATGCTCGGGGACAGCGAACAGAAGAGATTCCACACTCTTATCAGATGATGTTGTTCTGGGCTGGCTTGCGAGGTGCGGTGGGTGTGGCACTCGCGGCTGGTTTCAAAGGCGAGAATGCGGAGACGCTGCGGACGACTGTCCTCGTTGTAGTGGTGCTTACTGTTTTCGTCTTCGGGGGTACCACTGCACGCATGCTGGAGATCCTCGGTATTCGCACAGGCGTTGAAGACGAAGCTGCTAGCAGCAGCGACGAAGATGCACCTCCGGGACGTAACGCATGGCAGAATCGCCGCCATAGTGGAGCATGGAACAGGTACACTGACGATTCTGAGCCCTTGCCATATTTCTCGCCATCGCAGCACGGATATGGACGGGCTGCAGGCAGAGTAGGGTCACACTACGCATCGCGGACTTATAATCACCACCCAGGAGCATTACCATCACCGATCGGCAATACTGTGTTTTCTGCAGCATCATCAGAGTCATTTGAGTCGGAAGCAGAAGTACTGCCTATGGCCACCTCGGCGGATGCTGGTCCGTCTTCAGAAAGACGTGATGACAGACAGGCCAACGAGGACGGCAAATGGTTCCAGGAGCTGGATGAAAGGTATCTTCTTCCTTTGTTCTCGAATGCCACTGCCAGCCGCACGTTCCACGCCAGACGTGCGCGGAGGAATATCTCGATATCCAGTCAACCCGCCGGTACGAATCTAAGCGCACTAGGTACGCCGCATGATAGTGAAGACGAGGCTGAAAGCCCAGAGGTGGAGCTTGGATCAGTAGGGACGATGACGCCTGGCAGGCAGTTTTCACAATCTCCAGAAGAGCAAATGCGTTCTGAGAGGGGACTCGCCACACCCATCTTGCGGAATGGAAATGGTAGAGATGATGGACAGAGTCGAGCGGGTTCCTAAAAATTGATTTATCTCAGTTGTTTCATGGTGTTAGATACCTCGTTAGAGTGTTTTTGCTAAGTGATCTATCAAGGATTTACTCAATTGAGAGTTGTTGATTTTTCACTGGACCTGAAGTATTAAAGTCCAAATGTAGCAGTGAACCTTTGCAGGAAAGGCAGACTGGTACCTAATTCCTTCGTCGTGTCTTCCACCTGCACGTTTTGAACAGCATGTGTAGTCGGACAGTGACGTGAAGCTTGAATTAGCAGGCAAAATTTGGCCGGTGGAATTATGGCATTATGCGCATTTTGAACCTTTGATCAAGTTCTTGCAGTTGGTAAGAGTACTCGGGCCTCATCGACAATGAGTATGAAGAGGCATGCATTAATAAGGTGGTGGTACAACACGTTAGAAGACATCGACAGTAATGAAGTAGGTGGGGGTATACTAAGGTTGTGATAAGATAACACAGCGATATTATAGAAGATCCGCATTCCGTAAATGAGTACGAAGAATACTTTCCTCGACTAAGAGTACCTATGTGAGAATCGAGACGTCCTAAACTCGTGTGGACACTTACCTACGCTCAACGTAGCTGCGGTGGCCTTGGTGTCCTAAAAGTAATAAAAAAAAGTTCAGACCCCTGTGCCAGCGTGGCCATGGAACGTTCTCAAGGAACCCAGGCACGTCAAACAGTGGGAGACTCACGATTACCGATGTGAAATGGATGAAAAACGGCCGTGGCTCCGGGGAATACTGTTTAGAAATTTCCCTGAAATGTTGTTGAAAGTCTGGAAAAGAAGAGAATGATCGCATGAGCATCGATGTATAGCCGTGACCTATTCGCAAACAGTGCGCAAATTGAAGCCTACATCTCATTACTGTAATGGTGTCATTTTTGCGACTGCCGTAGCTCGGGATGTGATCCTTTATACACATCCCTCGCTTGATCTTATTGTGCAGGAGATCGCACTTGTTGAGAAAGAGAATGATCTCGGTCTTGGCTAGAATACGAGACGAGCAGACTGATTTCCATAGGAGATAGCTATCTTCCAGGCGATTTATGCGACGATCTTCACGGAGCCGCTCGTCGAAGCAAGAGATTGGACAGAGGAAAATGATGGCATCAACATCGTCGAAATACGACGCCCATGCTACACGCTTCATAGGAGGGTTGTAAGTTCCAAAATATGACTGGATAAGTGATCAAAGTTACCGAAGACCTCGTTCCGCCAACATCATACAATAGCCACTCTTTCCCGTTGCCTGCGGAATGCTGTTTAATGCAAGTGTTTGGAAGTTATCTAACGTCTTACCGTCGTCCATCACGACTTTGTGTTCTTGAACGCCAACCGTTCGTAGACGCGCACGAACAATATCGTTATCGCTAGGTTCATAGTCATACGACACGATGCGGTCAATGTCGTTCAAAAAGCTTCGATTCAATAAGTAGGGGTATTAAAATACAGGATAAAGAACACCCACAAGCCCGGTGAGTCTTCGATATTTGTCTTGCGATGAGACAAAACTTGCTGGACAACGGGGTCCTGCCACAACTCTAGCATGGTTTCCTTGCACGCAACGAGCACATCAGTAATCTCGTTGTGATCACTATTACTCCGTCTTTGAGGACGGGAACTGGACATCATCGACGGGCGCAGCTTTTCCAAGGCAGATTTCCATCCATTTGTTGAATTGATGCCAAAGTCTCGCGAGGGGCGTTTGGGTAGTAGTTGAAAGCCTGGAGAATCAAATGGTGTTGCGGACACAGAAACTGTTGATCGAACTTCTTGCGATTCAGGACCAAGCTTGTTCTCGAGGTCACTCTGAATGCTGCGTAACGGGCCAAGACGCCGTTGCATGAAACGATGCTTGTCCGAGAAATGATAAACAATTCCACGGCTGGTTGACTCGTCGTCGGAATCGCTGAGATACTCTATTGCTGTAGACCCCGGACGCTTTTCACCCTCGGCTAGAGACACTTCTCGACCGAGGATATCCAGGACCCTGACAATGTTGCGAACGAGGTTTAAATAAATAACTGCCCGCCATGCGGCTCGCTCCTCCGCCCACTCGCGTCGTGCATGTTGTAATTGGAAGTCTGTGAAATGAGATCGTCTTAACTACTTAATGATCCACGAAACGTACTTTTGAGTGTAGCAGATTTTCCTGTACGATCAGGATAAGTTCACTTCCGAAATCATGCTCTGGTGAACGCACCGCTCTCGCTCTGTCCAAGGAGAAGTACTTTGACAGATTTCTTCTTCTTGAGTGCGGCTCGTTCTTGACGGATTTGCTCGTCGATGGACTCGCTTATTCGACGAGCTTCGATCTCTGCCTGCTCACGTGTGTCTTTCTCTTGGGGTGTTTCATCTTTGGGAGGTGCAATTGCAAGTGTGAGAGGGTCTTCCACAGACATGCGCATCGTCACTAATCAGACAGTAACAGAAACCAGAGATTACCACAGATGAAAAGAAGGATAAAGACAAGAAGAAAGACGATGAATTGTCACTCCGCCGAAGGAGAGACAACCAAATGGATCAATATAGGCGCCGTACGGCACATGGATAACTGGGGTCGTTCACAAGCCTTGGCGCATGTCAGGACCTGAAGGGTTCTTTGGATAAACCAATAAACCATGTTCATGATTTTATCATCAGAATCAATTATCTCTGCAAGATGCTTGCGGAGGTAGTAAAAGTGCTATGCCAGTCCTGCAGGAATCGACCATACTGTCAATTATGAGGATAATGAGGCATGATGTCGAAGCACAAATAGTTCACCCGGACGTTAACTTACATAATTCAATTGCGTGGGTTGTAATATGTGGCGTGATATATTTGTTTATATTTGTAAGAATCAGTTTCGCGATATAAGAGGCGACATGTGACTTTCCCGTGACTTTGACCTCCTTACCCCGTGACCAGCACGACCTTCTGCAGCAACTTGCTCCCTCAAAGTCATATTGTGCCTATATCACTGTTGTAATTGTGAGTCAATAAACCCCTAGACAATCCACAAAATTAGTAAAGCAACATAAGTAGTTGTTTAGCCCGCTGGCCACTCCAGCCCTCACCATGACTTCTGCACAGCACTCTTCTATTCCCGCCGGCGCATCCACCACCAGCGTTAGTCAGAGTTCACCAGCACCAGTTGCGGTTTCTGTTCCAAATGGAGACCGCATCCCCTTGCAGATAGAGGGTATGGATGCCGCTCAAGTCTCTAATCTCCTCAAGAACCTACCTAATCTCTTCCACAAGGTCCGTAACCAACAACTATCCTTGAATATTATATCGGATTACCTTTGTACGACTGATGGATTATTGGTGTTTCAAGTTCACTCTGCTTCTGTCGCATTCGTCAGTCTTCACTGAATGTGCCGCTGACACCATTTTTGTTATATCAATAGTCTCCTACTCAGGGCGATATGACCGGAGAGGCTGCTCAATCCTTGCAAGCTCTCGCTCAGGCCGGATTGTTCCCTCTTCAAAATCAACACCAACTTCAGCACCCAATACCATTCCCTGGCGATCCTGGCCCTTCTTCACACCCCCGCGGTCCTCCCAACCTTGGGCACTTGTCTGCAGCCGCGGCAGCTGCAGGTCAAACCCCTCCAGCCGCTTCTCACGCGCAGGATGGAGGAGACGGTCTCAGTGACACAGACATTGGAGAACAGCCTCCTTCAACAGCTCCACAACCGGCATCTGGATCGACGGGAAGATCCCGGGCCGCCAGGAGCGCTGCAATGGGCACCGATGAGTGGACCCGCCAGCGTAAGGACAACCATGTAGGTTTCTTCGATGAGGCCTCCCGTGCCCTGATCATTGATGCTCATGTAATTTTCTCAGAAAGAAGTCGAGCGTCGACGCCGAGGAAATATCAACGAGGGCATTAACGAACTTGGTCGTATAGTACCAAACAGTTCTGGTGAGAAGGCAAAAGGCGCAATTCTTCAGCGTGCTGTGCAGTATATCCACCATCTGAAAGAAAACGAGGCACGCAACATTGAGAAATGGACACTAGAGAAGTTGCTCATGGATCAAGCAATGGGTGACTTGCAAGCGCAGTTGGAGGACATGAGGAGGCTATGGGAGGAGGAACGCATCGCACGACAAAGAGCAGAGAACGAACTTGATGTTCTGAGGGGTGTGTCGGGCCAGGCCCCAACCATTCCATATAAATCTCGTTCACGTTCAGTTGAGCGAGGACAGGATGCGCCGTCTAACAGAGGTCCGTTTGGTGAGAGTGAGGTACGAACAGAGCTTGGGAATCGACCAGAGGAAGGTGGTGGTGATGACTCGGAAAGCAGGCCCGGGAAACGTGCGAGAGTTGATTGAGGTTATGTAGTTCGTATTATCTTTTTCAGCTGTATTGATAGCACCCATAAATCTCACTTCTAGTGCCTTTTCTAGATATTGCGAGTCCCGTATTATCAACGTATACCTGGCATACGTAGGCAACTTGTACGTGGAAGACCGTGCGTGTCACTTATTCCGCTATCTTGGTTTGATTGTCCCCGTATCTGGGGATCTTGGCGTTTTATCTCCTGTTGCATTAACGGCGAACCTGAACAGTTCCTGCGCCTTCGCGCGGGAAAACCTGTGCTTCTTGCGCATTAGCTTGTTCTTCGACTCTTTGATGCTTCAGATTTATATTATGCTAACCATCTTAGTGCAAGAGTGACTTGGGAATACTAATAGATCCCGATCGCCGCATCATCGCGCAGCGCTTGATGGTGATCCCCTTCTTGTCCGTGACACGCGGTCTACGGAAGGTCCGGGTGACTTATCGGTGAAATAATTTTTGACGTTCTGGCGTACATAACACCCCTAATCCTGACCAAAGGCATTTGTTCAGTATCATGCATTATGTCTGGCTGTTGTTGTGCGCCGTGGGCCTAATCCTCTACACCGTTTGGGGTAGCTACTTTGCGAGAAACCCACTAGATAACATTCCCGGGCCTCCTCGTCAGCATTGGTGGACAGGTAAAGGCACAATGCACAATCTCAACGGGTTAATGCGCTGACAAAATCGATCAGGCAACTTGGATCAGATATTTGCGCGGTATGTATGGGATTTCCACAAGGTGCTTGCGGAACGCTACGGTCCAGTATCGAAGTTCTATGGGCCTTTGGGGGTACGTCAATCGCACAAACGCATCGCTATTTTCTGAGAACGTTGTTCACAGGCAAGGGAGTTGTATGTGTTCGATCCAAAGGCCATGTACCATATCATGGTCAAGGATCAGAACACTTTTGAAGTGACTCCTGCCTTTTCAGCGTAGGGATTTCCACTGTGCTTGACATTTCACTTCACTGGAAAGCCCTGCAGGACAAACAAGGTCCTTTTTGGGGATGGCCTACTCTCGACGACGGGTGCGGTGGGACTCTTGTTTTGCTGCCCCTGTATCTTATTCCCAATACAGGCGAACACCATCGAAAGCAGCGGAAGATGCTCAACCCTGTGTTTTCCATCAGCCACGTGCGAGACATGGTGCCTGCTTTTCTCAAGGTGACGAAATGCGTAAGTGCCTTACCTGTCTGGCGTTGGTGGGCGTTATTGATTGCGCATTGTAATAGCTCCGAGACAGCGTTGCAGCGTAAGTAGAACACGGGTCCCGTGAAATTAATGTGTTGGAATGGCTCAATCGCACCGCTCTTGAACTCGTGGGGCAGAGCGGACTCCGGTACTCTTTTGATTGTCTGCAAGAATGCTATGCAAATCCTTACAGCACCGCCGTCAAGAACCTCCTGTACGCATTCCGGTGATTCCTTTCAGCTTTGTGGGAGGGGGCTAGCGAGAACTTCAGCCCAACAATATTCAAAGTGTCCGTCGCGAGGAAATTTCTCCCATTTCTTATCAATGTCAGGCCTCCTGACTTCAGGAGATCTGTAGTATTGTCGACGCTATGGATGAGACATCGATGAAGGTCTTGGAGGAAAAGAAATGTGCACTTTCTAAGGGAGACGACGCGGTATTGCACCAGATTGGAGAAGGAAAAGACATCACGAGCATACTGCGTGCGTTCATGAAGGTTCCTTTGTTGTAATTGCGTTCCTAACCACTGGGCTATCTATTGCAATAGTCCGAGCCAACATGGATGCTTCAGCGGAAGATCGTCTTCCAGATTTAGAGCTCATGGCACAAATGAGGTGGGCGTGGCTGCATTCGCGTATCTGTCTGATATTACATCAGTACGCTTGTTTTTACCGCAACACATACGACTGCCGGTGCCCTATGTCGGACCCTTTTGACTCTTGCTCATCACCAAGATGCACAAGACAGACTGGGCGAGGAAATCCAACTAGCAATGGCTGAACTTGGCGAGCTTGACTATGATGCCCTGGCCAATCTGCCATACCTTGATGCAGTATGTCGAGAGACACTGCATCTGTAAGGGTTCATTTTCTCTAAACTTGTTTATGTTCACAAGGGCATACATAGGTATCCTCCAGTTACCACCGTCGCACGCACGTATGTCCCACCCAAAATTCGCCAGATATGTTCGAATGAACCTTGTTTTTCTAGTGCAGCTGACAATATAGTCCTCCCCTTCTCGCGTCCCGTCAAAGGGAATGATGGGACATATATGCATGAGGTCCTTGTGCCCAAGAACACGAATGTTGTCGTGTCAATCCTGAACTCCAATTGAGATCCTGAAATCTGGGGAGACGACGCGCTTCAGTAGAAACCAGAAAAAATGGCTGTCTCCACTTCCACAAAGTGTTATTGATGCCGAGATTCCAGGGGTCTACTCTCACCTGTGAGTGGTATATAAATCCCCGGAATGCTTATACTCAATAATCCATTTCTTCTCCAGAATGACATTCATTGGCGGCGGAAGAGCGTGCATGTGAGATTAAAAAATTGTGCCACAATTGTCGGTCTCTGATGAGAACATACATAGTGGATTCAGGTTTTCAGAACTTGAGATGAGTTCGTAGGTTTTGTTCTTGATTAGATTCTAGCTGACCAGTTGGACAGAGATTGTCCTTTGCACACTCATCCAAGCATTCAAGTTCACTCCCACGAAAGAGATCGATTGGACCATGCAGGTGTCATCTCCGAACGTCAAAGGTTCTGAGGATGCAAAGTGGCAGTTGCCGCTCCGAGTCGAGTCGAGATGATATCAGGTCGGTTCATGCGGTGCTAGAAACATAACAAGGGGTCCGCCGGCGTTTTCAACTGTAGCTGCTATTTGATGTTCAAAGTATAGTTGGTCTGAAGCGGACTCGGGACTACCTCCGTTCCCTGGAGTCTATGGACAGTATAGTGACATAATTCGATTCGACTTAGTGTCAAATGAAATGCACTCACGGTGAGTACTGGTATTTTAGAATATTACGTGCTACACCCTTTCAGCACGACATCTGCGTGCTCTCCACAATTGCTTGTCGCCCCGGGCATTCCGAGCGGCGGAAGGATGATCCAAGGTTGGGGTTTCTTCTATCGTCGCGCGTCCATCATAGATGTTGATAAGACTATCGAATCCTTTTGTCCTGAAGCCTTGCATGTCAGATTTCAGGACAAAAAGGTTCGACACAGCATTCTTCCTTGTCAATTTTCCTGTTGTTCAGGTTTATTAAACTACATCATAACTCAACCAACTCACCCCAGAGGTATGCTTCCAGTCCTTCAGCGCACGTAGCTACTCTGCGCATCCCATCGCAGCCCCAGCACCCCCACTGAAGCGCAGCATCCCGCATCTGGCTCGTGTTGCCAATGCATATATATATGAGCATGCGTTCGCGTCCATTGAAATCTGGCCACCGTCTTTTTTAACCATGAGATCAGTCCAAGGGGGCAGCGATTGGGGATTCGAATTACTGGATTTCGATACTTACTTCGCGTTCATGTTGTTGGCGGAGGGACTCTCAATTGTGGCGGCCATGGCCAGAACTTCCATTGTTGACAGTTGCAGTAGCTTAACTTCATGCACTGCACTGTTACAGACCGTTGCTATTCATAGGTCAAACATTCTGCTTGCCTTCGCCTAGATAATCTGCTAGTAGGTGGTGAGACATTGAGAAAAGCGTGCTGGAAAAATGAAAGAAAAAAAAAACATTGTCAAAGTACGAGGTCACGGCATGGCATATATGACAGTGCCATGGTTTTGCAAGTTGGTTTCAAAGTTCTACACAGTCAGAGCTACATGTACTAGTAGTACTTCGACACAGGATTACTAGTTCGTTGTTCATTCTTGATTACCAAGGAGAACAGATCATGATTTGATAACATCTCGCTAAACCTAACGATCATGTCCACCAGCAGAAACGTCACCCCCACCGAAGACGAAGTCAGAAAAGCGGCTGTCGAGCTGAAAAAAGGCAACCCCGCCTCTGGCGTCGCCAAAGTCCACAGCTTCTTACTTGACGCAAATCCATCATGGACGGTCAGCGAAAAACGCATCCGAAAGATCTTGCAGAGTGAAGGACTCGTCAGATCGGACGCTGGGACGCCCAATAGTACAACCAACACCATCCATCCATCTTTTCGCCTCAATCAAAGTCTTGATGTCAACAAGTGGACCAGTAGGGTGGAAGTCAAGTACTTTGACGCGATCAAGGGCAAGGGTCTCGTCGCTAAAGAAAATATAGCAAAAGGAGATGTTTTATGGAGAGAGGATCCCTTCATCCTGGCCCCAGAATGGTGAGCTCCCCTACACATTCCGTCGCTTGGATCCAAGTGCTTAGTATGTCTGGAAAGGGAGATCTATGATCTCCAGCACGCATCGGAGGCATGCTCCCTCTGCTCGTCCATCATCCGCGACCACTCCCCGTTGCATATATCCTGCGAGGCCTCCACAACTGCAACTCCCTGCACAGCAAGATACTGCAATAGGCTCTGTCGCCTACAGGCAGAAAAAGTGCACCCTCTCCTATGTTCCGCACGCAATCCCGCGTCTGTACCACTCCTTGCCTTCGCAAGAGATGCACAATGGATGGCCCTGCATGCTCTCGCGCAGTGTACCAGCCGACTTTTACTGGTTTCTCAGCAAGATGCTGCGACATTCGACCTGGAGTGGGATGTAGTCCAGGGCCTTGCTGAGCTTGGGATGGAAGAACGTGCTCAGTGTCTTCGGTGAGCCATTGGACTCCAACACTTCGACAGCGGATGGCCACTGACCCTCTAATAGCGAGCAAGGATTGGAGCCCGATCGTAAAAATTGGCGGAGAGCCTTTGAGTTGTACTTGCAAGCATTTAAAGAGCCTCGGACACCTGCAGAACAGAAAAAACTAGCACGCTGCCTGAAAAAGCCAATTCCCGAAGAGCTACAGAAATTTACTTTCGAATATCAGGCCTTCTTACGTGGCTTGGGACGCATGAGTCTCAGTAAGCTGTTCCATAACTATCATGTTTTAGTTCACCGTTTTACGCTGGTTCGCAGATCTGGAGGCCCATGGTGGACTGTACAGACTGCACTCTCACCTTAACCACAGTTGCACTCCCAACATCTCAATAAGGCACTTGGACCAACGCACCGCGCTCTCACGCATCACAGTGATCGCAAAGGAGGACTTCGAAATAGGACAGGAGCTCCTAATCACATACACTAACCCCAAGAGCAGTCTCAGGGATCGACGCCGGAGATTATCAGAATGGGGATTCGGACCTTGCCGGTGTGAGCGCTGTGTTACCGAAGAGAAGGAATCGGATAGCAACACCCAGGAAACAGATGATCTCGTAGATCAGCTCAAAGCCGGCCTAGGAGTGTTATAGGGTGTGTTCATTGAATGATCAACAATTAAGATTAATTTCCGTTAAGCAAGCGTCCGTGGTCCCCGTGCTCTTTTGTAGGCATGCTGACATCACCCCCACGATCTGCTCCATTCAAGCTTCAAGATTTGGATCTTCCGAATTTATTTCATTCATCGGGACATATCACCATCAGAATAAATACGGTAAGCTCATGCGGCGCAATATATTTTGTCACCGGGGGTATATCTCATATCCTCACATGTGACCCAGTCAATTCAATTCGATCTCATCATTTCAGGGAAACTACCGGAGTGACATACAAATTGCAACCTGTGTTCTTGAGCCTATCGGCGACAGTGAACCCAAACCTAAGTTTAATTTTTAGCCAAGAGGTCGATCATCGTAATAACGCGCCTAATCGTGTTATACACCCCCCCTTTTTTTATTGGCTACATTCGCCGTGATTCAAATCAAGGAATTTTGATATCGATAGGTAAACGGTGTTATTTTGAATATACGTTATGCGACGCGCGGGCGATTGTGAATATTTTCTCTGATAGTCCCTGCATTATGAGGCGCAATCAAAATTGAATCTTGCGAATGTTCATCGTAGAAACTCTAGAACAGTCAATTTCCGCACCTAAGGACTGACGGTTGATCCCGCTGCCAGTGATCATCAATATTAATACCGGCGTTACATCGTTTCAGCGTACAGCATGAACATGTAGGATGCTTACGACGGGAGTAATATATAGGTAAGGTCCGCAAACACGCATAATGAAATAGCACCGGATTTTTTGTTAGATCCCTGGAGAATTGTTATAAGTACATAGATCGATCTCGCTCTTTGACGGTACTTACTAAACTCAGAACTACTTCGTTCCCGATTACCCGAGTACACACATCTCCGTCATGAGCCTCCAGGTTGGCTCTGCTGCTCCACCTTCCGATGAGATGGTATTTGAAACCACCGGTCATTTTATTATACCTACGGACTCATCCGACGATAAACGAAAATAGTAAGTCCCGTACGTACTGAGGCCCTGCATAGGGCCCCGCCCCAAGGAAACAATAATGAGCGTTTGTTACATTCTTATTGGTCTGATCATTGGTAGAGGCTAGAAGAGTGATACTTACGGATAGTGACCGCACGGCGACCTCGTAAGCCTCGGAAGTATGCAGGAAATGGAACTCGAACTCAATTGCACGGAGAAATGAATGATTTCGAGGTCTCGAAGAATTCAAAAATCCCAGCAGAGACGAGGCGGTACATATGGTAGCAAGGATTCATCGATCTGGATAAAAATAAACATAGTGAATATGATCATACCTGTGGGCAATGCAATAAGAAGCGCGCACCAGGGACTGACGGATGGCGCAACCATGCCCAACCATTTTTATCGCAATCGGTGAACGAGAAATACCGTATGATACTATGAAGTAGCTCCTAGTTAGCAGTGAGTCTGTGTTTACAGGAGTGCAGGGTGGGCGACGCATGGACGGCGCATTATCACTTGATTTAACGACGCTTCGCTGTCAGCCTGCGAATATGGGAGTACTTAGAGAGTAGCAAGCAAAAAAAAGTGGAAATGAAAAGTGGAATACCGTGGAGCACAGTGTTATTGCCGGGAGCCAAGTGATGATGGGGCAATGGGCATACCGTAATAGTGTAGGACTGGCATTTGAGCCAGCACTGTCACATCTGAGCCAAACGGCCACCACACGCTTACTCCTACAGGGGCGCAGGGTAGGCGAACTAACATCTCGTGATCAATGACAGAATGACAAAAATATCACATTTAAGATCTGTGAATTAAACTGAATTTCGAAGTAGCCACTGATCACTTGCCTGCCTGACAGTGGGCAGCCATCGTGCCCAGTTATCAAACAGACCTGCTATTGATATTGCATATAGGGAGAAACGCTACGAGGAAAAGCCACAAAAATTGCAGGACAAAATTAGCAGGACTAGGTCACTTTCAAGTTGTACCTGCCGCACAGACGGCACATAATTATCACCCGATTTAACGACGCTTCGCTGCCAGCCTGCGAGTATGGGACTTGGAGGTAGCAAACAAAAAGCGAGAAATGGGCAGCGGAACACCGTGGAACATGGCGTTATTGCCGGCGGGTGGCAAAGAAGTGAAGAGGCAAATAGTATATGTGCCAATAATAGAACCGGCATCTGAGCCAGCATACAGTGCCTCGGCTTACATAATTTGGTTGATTTTTCAGACTATAAGTTCAACATATGAGGGAAGACATTCATTCTAGTTACTAGTACAAGCCGCTACGTACTACATGATGCATGCAGCTGGATGGTCCCCGTCAATACTTTACTATGAGAACCTTCAAGTTTGCAGAGTCTCGACCTAATCGAATTTTCTGGCGATCGGAGACTGAAACAGACGGTTAGACACAAAACGGCCATACTTTAACTGAGGACTCGTCGACGCCGTTACCAGATGTGCCCGTTATCACAATTATCGAATGGTGAACAGCGCACGTAGTACATATCATCATGCTCGGTCTCGATTAATCCAAGGTGACGACTCAGGTATGCTTATATCTTGTAGATGTGGATGATGCGTGTTGGCTGCCATTGTGTTGGTTTACTCTTGCGATCTACGTCCTTTTAGACAACTTTTACAATTAAATCAAGATCAATGATACTCGGCAACAGGACCAGGCGCACGCTCAGGCTGGCACATCATGAGGGGCAGGCACCCAATACATACTACTGATGGAATCTACCGATTATCTCCGCCACTTTTATGCGTGGCAATACGACATAAAATAAGCTGATCCACTTCTCTTGCAACCTGCATGCAGCGAAGTACGGCTACGTCTTCATGCGCACGACCTCTCAAAATGAGTTCGGATTCCCCTAATATTATGCTCAGAGACCAGAAACATGTTTACTTATCGACCAAGGATCTTGACACTGGTGCTCAACTCGTTGTTGGGCCCACTTCACCTCTTGATCTAGATGAGGCTTTGAGAATAAGGTGTGCTGTGAGAACTGCATGTACATTAATTGATTTGATTTTGTTTTACAGGAGGAAGATTGACAGACATATCATGCCTCTGATGTGTGGTGAGTTGTCGCTGTGCCCAATTGTACAAATCGATTGTGTCTGACGATCCCTGTTCAGCTTTGTACTGGTAGGTTGACTGTGCTTGCTACAAGTCAGCGCTTATACGAACACAGGATCCAATTTATGGACAAGACAACCTTGGGTTATGCGTCCATCCTTGGAATTCAGTAAGAAATATGTATCAAGACCAATAAACCACTACTGACGTGTGTTGTCAGACGGGCCACGAACCTGACCACGAATGAGTAAGTCATTATTGTTCTTGAAGTCGAAAATCTGAAGGTGAACTTTCTGAAGGTACAATTGGCGAGACATGCATTTCTCGAGTCTGCATAATCCATACACTAACTATCTTTCAGGCTTGGCACTGTGTTCTATCTCAGTTATCTTCTCTTCGAGTTCCCCCAGAACCTCGCCCTTCAGAAATTCCCGGTTGGGAAGTGGATGAGGTAGACTCGCAACCATTATCAGTGTAAACATCAATGACAGCTTGTATCAGTATCAATATCTTCGTCTGGGCAGTCGCACTTGTATGTCATGCAGCATGCAAGAATTTTGCTGGGCTTCTTGTCGTGCGCATGTTGCTGGGCGCTTGTGAGGGGTCGATCACTGCTGGATTCTTGATCGTCAGCTCTATGTTCTACACGCGGACGGAACAAACGCTGCGAGTTGGCTATTGGTGTGAGTTCTCGTTTGCAAATGATCGGAAAAGCAAATTGATTGTGCGTGTGTGAATTTAGTTCTGATGAATGGCATTGGTGCGCTCACTGAAATGTATGTTTGACGTCGCCGCCTAAGCCAGCGAACTCTAGCACAAGTCGTTGCTGGTTTCATCAGCTTTGGTGTTCTCCACATTAACACAAAAGGGTTTGAACCATGGCAATGGTCAGATAATTATTTTTATCACTCCCTGCTCCTTCTGATGGATCACAGGCTCATGATCATCACTGGTATGACAACAGTGATCCTTGCTATCTCATTCTGGTGAGTCTATCAAGCGAATATTTCCATTGCCCAGTCTTCATATCTAAGACATATCCGCCTGATGAAGGTTCTTGTTCCCTGATTCGCCTACGAACGCCTGGTTCCTTACTCCCGACGAGCGGGCGAAAGCCGTGCAGCGTATCAAGGTACCTCTGTTAAATGAATTGGTATCAGCCTTTGGCTTACATTTGGCGCAGGAAAACCAAACGGGGGTGGAAAACAAACATTTTAAGATGGAGCAGTACGTATTCGATGCCATTGTGATCTTTCATTCCTCACGTCGACTTCTCTAGGATGATTGAAGCCCTGACCGACCCCAAGACATGGCTCTTCGCCCTCTTCTCGGCTCTAAACAATGTGCCTAACTCATTAACAAACCAGCAATCACTCATCATCGCTTCGTTCGGATTCAGCGTTCTACAAACGACTCTATTGTCTTGTGTTCCTGGTATTCTTGAAATCTTGACAATCTTTACTGGTGTTCGGCTCGCTGCACAACGGTCCAATTCCAGAGCCTATGTTGGTGCTATGTACTTCATCCCGTCGTGGTTCGGCATCTTGTTGGTGAACCTACTTCCTTGGTCCAATCAGGTATGTGGCTTGCCATCTGTGAGTCTACCAAGTTGTCTTTAATATCACATATTAGGCTGGACTTCTTGTCGGCCAGTTCCTGGGTGCGTGTGATCCCCATGGTGTGTTTCTATGCTCATCGCTCCGTAGCTGAAACTAGTGTCCCTGGATTTGTACTATCGTTATCGTGGCTCAATAACGTGACTGCTGGCCATACGAAGAGGGTAGGTAATTTGCCAGTTATCGAAGTCGATCGCTCCTTAAGTGAACATCAACCTGTAGGTTGTTACTAACGCCATCATGCTCTCGGCTTATTGCGTTGGCAACGCAGCTGGCCCCTTGATGTGGAAGGACCAATATAAGCCACGGTATGACATTCTTCGGCTGACTCTTCTAGGAAGGAATGTTCCAAGTAATCATTATTTATGTGCAGCAACCACGTCCCATGGGCTGTGATCGGCGCATGCTACGTCGCCTGTCCGGTACTTCTTCTTGTTATCCGTGCCGTTCTCGTCCGAGAGAACCGAATCCGCGACGCAGAGCCTGTTGACACTGGTGAAGAATATGTTATCGAGCAAATCACAGAGGATGGGAAGCGTGTAGAAGTTAATATCGACAAGGTGAGTTTTCCGAGTCGATAGTTGCTTTTCATGTACAAGGGTCGATGACCTGCCTGCACTAGGAATTCCTGGATTTGACAGATAGGCAGAACAGGGACTTTAGATATGTTTTGTAACATCAAGCACACTCGATCCCTACTCTGGATACATATATTACTAAGAGTTACATATTCTCCTTCTCATTGCCAAATGGCGATCATCGTGCTCGGTGATGTCCATCAATTACGGTGTCACACCCTGTGGCGACACTACCAGGGTCATCTCGAGAGCAAATGCTCACACTCGCCCACAGAAATTAAACAAATTATAGACAACGCGCCGTAACACTCAGGGAACGCTTTACTCATCACCGCAGACCACACGAACTGATCTAGCGCCCATCAATGACTGGTGTAATATGCGGAAGAGCGTGGGTCACCGCTGATTACAATATCCAGGGACAGCAAACAGATTTCCATGGGCCATAAGGCCAGCGCCTACCAATGTGGGTGGGCAATCGACTGGCAAGTCGCGCCGGGATCGACGCCGCGAGATCCGAACGTGCAGCAAGCTGGGATGGACTTAAAATGCCATTCATTATCGCGTTTTGGGCCTCGCCAACATACACTCGATCAACTTTCGCATCGTCTTTCCGCAGGGCGTTAGCATTTTATGCATTTGCCTTCTGGGTCATCGTTGTTCTCAAAGAAACACTTCCGGCCTTTTGCTTTCTGGTAGCGTAAGATGGGCGTAGTACCGCCGATTGTTCAACTGGACATGGACCATTACCTGGCATCAGAAGTATCGCAGAGATACCAATGATACTATTGGTCGTAATATGCACGTATTTGACTCTGTGCTAGCTCGACAGTGCGCTGTGGACATATACCAACGAAATCCATGCACGATCTCATTGATATGAATGACCATGATGTCGTTTCCATGGAGCCGGGTGGCCCATAGAAGCAATGCGTGAAGCGCCCAAGTGGAGTCGATGACAAGGCTTTGGCACGCGTAATCTGCGCAGCTTATACTTATGTGTATGTGGCGCACGGAAAACACCTGGTGTGTAGGCGACCTATACAAGCGCTATCCCAACTCGCCTCTGCGTCCAACTAAACACCTGCTTCGATTCGGTCTTTCATTCCAAGTGTGTGCACGCCAAGTTTCATTTGAAAAGTATTTGCTGGTAAGTCATAACATGCGTTATACGTTTTAGCAAAGATTACTTAGACCAAAAAAAATAGACCTGCACCAACGATTGCTGCCCAACTCGAAAAAAAACCGTGCTCTTGGACAACGCCATAGCAAAAGGTCGGAGCAGAGCCGGACCGTGTAGATAAATTTGGCGCGCACTATCCACAGCTCACCGTGCTCCTGATAAACGAGACATGTCAGCGGCGAAGCCCCAACGGAAGATTGCAGGACAAAAAGAACCAGTCTGGGGCATATTGTACCTTCCAGGTGGACGACGCACTATCACCTGTTCTGACGATGGTTCGCTGCAAGTATGGGACTTGGAGAGTGGCAAGCAGAAAGGCGAGAATTGGAAGGATAAAGACAGTGGAACGATGTGGGCTATAGCGTTGTCGCCGGGCGGCAAGGAGTAGCGAGCGGGAGTGATGATGGCATAGTGAGATTGTGGGACATCGAGACAGGTAAAGTCACTGCAAGATGGACAGGCCACACTTGGGGGGTGTCATCTATCTGCTGGAGTCCAGACGGAGGTCGAGTGGTGAGCGGATCAAGTGATGGAACGGCAAGATTGTGGAATGTTGAGAGCGGCGAGATCATCCTTGAGCCAATCAAGACTGGGCATATATACGTGCGCGCGGTTCACTATTCACCCGATGCAACAATGATTGCAACAGGTGGGAACGATGCTTCAGTGAAACTCTGGGAAGTCAAGACAGGCGAATTGCTCAAAACACTCGAGGGAAATATGCTTGGAGTTGCTTGGTCTTCGGACGTCAACACGCTTATCTCCGGGTCACTTAACTATGATAATGACTCGATTAGAAAATTCGACACCGCCACTGGGACACAAACCGCTGTGCTCGAAGGACATCAACATCTTGTTAAAGCCCTTTCATTATCTCCCAATAACCGTATCCTTGCGAGCGCATCATCTGACAAGACGACACGACTTTGGAACATTGAAACCAATCAACCTATTGGACTACCTCTCCTCCATGAAAAAGCAGTGAGATCTGCGGCCTTTTCTCCTGATGGAAAGCTGCTGGCCACTGTCTGCGATGACCATCACATATACACATGGGATGTCGCTGCTATCGTCAGGGAAGCTGGCCTCGGTAAACTTCTGACCGTGAGTTTGAATCCTATTTCCTATCGAACACACTGATGACACATGTTCCATAGGCCTCTGCCCCAAAGGTATCTCAACTTCGAACTCTTAGAAGTTATGTGCACTAATCTGTGTTATTACAGGTTGGCGAAAAGTCAATCTTAGAGGTAGTTGGCCCTTTCTTTGAACATGCCCTGCCTTTATTCATCTTTGTGCCAGACGGACGCTACACAACGTCGAAGTCAGAAAATCACGGATGCGCATCGATTACCGCCAGATTTTTTCAATGGTGCACATGTTGGCGTGAGTTTCCGGAATCATGGTCTAACCTATTTGTGACACTTGAGTTTTCAGCCTTCTACGACGCGTCGTCCCCCTCCCCGTCATGGCCGTGGCAGCCGTACAACACCCTCATCATCAGGTACCCTCCTTGGTCGGCTTTCCTCCATATTCCCCCGTTTTCACCACACCACACCGAGTGTCATTGATGTGCCTACCGTCCAGGACAGAAAGGTATGTTTACCTCCGAGTTCTGCCTGGTTTAGTGCCAATTCGCTTTAAAGGCCTTGTATGTCTCCCCACCGCGCCAGAAAAAGCCACTCTTGCAAGGTACCCACATTCAAGGTCAACAGCAACAACAAGGCCAATCCCATGGCCAGGCATCATCGTCTCGTCCCCCGGTGACCTCTGCTACTGCAATATCTACGACATCTGCAGCTGCTGGTGCAACTCCTGCGTCTACAACTGCAACACCGTCGCGTCCTGCTGCCGCCAACAACCTCAGCCTGTGGACTCGCATAGTGCTCTGCATCTGCTGCGTCTCTGTTGACTATACTAATGGCCCTCAATGATGAAGCAGCGTTTCATCGCTCGCATTGCTTCTCATTATGTGCTGACGTTCTTGTCCTCGTATCGTACTACTATTTTCGCCCTGCAGATGTCAACTCTACTTCATCGAGCCTATTATTGTGATTCTCCGCTGCGGCTAAAGTGTCTTCCTGCAACGCAACCGCTAATCATGACCGCCTGAACGGGCAGAGCGGAATGCAGTACTTCATGGTCAGGATCTTTAAGTGCATTCTTCCTGGGTGCTTGGAGTCCTTCGTTTCGCACCTTAATGTATGGCTGAGCCTCGGCAGTAAACGCCGTGACGGACATGTACTTCGGAAGAACCGATAAATGGATCCTTCGAGGTCTATCTTTAAGTTGTAGGGGAATGGAGGGACTTCAAGTTGCATAAGAGAATTTGTGTGCACGGTGTTTGGTCACTGTATCCGAGTTGAAACGACTTGCCAAGTCTATTCACCCCAGCAGCGCGTTCGCTGTAGTACGCAAAGGTTACAGCGTGGTAAAAGGATGAGCGCTCATCACACGACCACCGTGATTGCTGTTCATGGGATGCAGGATAACCGGAGACCTACGGCATGAGCTCAGTGCTCATTCCTCGTGTTCTGATGATCAAGAAGAGATTGAATTCCTTGCCTGAATTGTGTGATATGTATTGTGCTGTTCAAGTGCAAATATATTACTTGCGCCAATGAAACGATAATGTAAGGACTCGGAGACAGAAATGAACTACATCAGATATTAATGTACATACAATTTTAGTATACCTTTATTGCATTCTCCAAATGACAGTACACGACATTAGTACAGACCGCTCGCCGTCATCAATGGTGGCGTCTCCTCGTGAGACCTCAATCCCAACTATGTATTGCATACATTACTCTTGTCAATACAACAAAGATCGAAAAGAAAGCTCTATATCCATATTGTGCATGAAATCAAATAAGAAAATGTCGAACAAAAGTACCACAAAATGAGCACTTCCCAGCATAGCGGAACAGTGTCCAATGTGACACTCCTACAAGGGCATAAACCCCGTCTGACGCGCCATCGCCCCTGTCTCCGATTCCGCATACATACTGTATGCCATCTGCATCGTCTCCCCATCAAGCCCCCTCACCTTAAGACACTTCCCAAATAACTTCTTATCGACCGGATACTGAACCCGGCTTGCAAGATGCTGCCCGCCCACCAAATCCTTGATCACGCCAGCAATAAGCCGCTGCTTATGCACGTTGATTAATGGCTCCAGCTGCATCGAAGGCGGCAGAGGCGTCAGCGAATCGAATACTTCTGGGTGGGCCGGAGACTCGAAATTGACGGTTTGGGAGTCGATGCCAACGGGGTCGTGAGGCGAGGTTGGGTCAATTAGATCTGGGAGTCTGCTGTAGCGGTATAGTTGAGAAAGATAGACCCCGATGAATGGGACGCAGGCTGATGGCGTCTTGACATCATTGGCACCTTTTGATTTTCCCGAGGGTAGGTCTGTGCTGCTGCTACTCAAGACCGTAGATGTCCGCGTCGTCATATTCAGAGTCTTCGGGTCTACCATAGCAGCGATAGCATCGCGCATAGCCTTGAAATCATCATCTGGCGACACGAATCGCTTCAGCTTTTGAAGCAACCCGTTCTCCCACAGCCTCACGCGTCCCCAATGCCGATGCATAGCTTTTGCGACCCACTCGTTTTGCAAACCGGCAATGATAGCCGCCAACGTATTGAAATTACTCCGGACGTATGCTTTCTAAACCATGTCACGCAAAGTCTGAATCAGTCTCCTCAAAGTAAAATATCATCGGAAGGGAACTCACAAAAGCGATGCGAATAAACTTGCCTACCAACATCGTCCTATCGTTCGGATGCGTCATCACGATCTCGGCAACCACAAAATTCGCAAGCAGATTGAACCGCCCTCGAACAGCAGCCAATGCACTCGTCTTCTGGCTCCACCGTGACTCAGCCTTCCAGCGTGCCCGGTCCTTGAGATACTGTGCCCAATCCAACACGTTCACCTCCTGACACGACATCCAATCGTCCAAGATCAATTCTTCAGGCTTGACCCCCAAGAAAAGCTCACGGTCGATCGTTGAGAAATGTTGTACGATCAGGTCGGCGCTCACATTCAGGATCCAGCTTCGGTGCGGTTTTCGACCAGAGGATATGAATTTGGATGCAGAGGTTATTATGAATGGGGATGTTGTAGGCGAGCCATGGGACGTAGACGGTCTTGACGGTACCCTGCTCTGCAAGATTTCAAGTGGAACAGCATCTTCAGGCGCAGGTTTCAAATCGTTCATTCTCGCAGGCGGCGATGTCGGTCCCGATCCTCCAGACATGGCTCCAACCGTCCCAGACGTCAACTCCAGACTCACCGAGCTGAAATAGTCCTCCGTCGTCGTCGTCGTCGTAGCCCCTGAAATCGTCACCTGCGACCCAGTGCCTACAAGAGTTTGTTCATCCATCCTCAATACCCCGGTCTCGTGCTGATCAATCTCATAATCCTCCTCATCCTCATCCTCACTATCCAACCCAAAAAACCTCGGCTGCTCATCTCCAAAATCACCCACAGCCATCCGCTCCTGAATCGTGCGCACCCATCCATCCACCTTCTTCGCTTTCTCTTTCCGTTTCTGGGGATTGATCTGGCCTTCAAGACGTCTCAGAGCCTCTTCGACACCCCCATTATCCTCCTCGTCGCTCAAAGAATCCACGAGGGCATTCACCTGCCACTGCTGTATACCATTCCCCAACGCAGCTCCGACAGACGCAGACGACACAGCAGATCCACCCGAGGCTACTGAGTCCCGAGAACGGATCCCCAACGAGGAAACGCTGTCCACCGACCGCCGTATGAACTCGAAATCCCGCCTTAGAGGCAGTCGACGCGGGGGTTTGCGCAGACCCGGTGGTGCGGGTGGATTCTCACCATGCGCCTCGGAAGAGGTATCTGAAAGATCCAGGTCGTCGATGGAGACGACATCGAACTGCCATGGTGGTTGAGCCTGCACTTGGGCGACGAAGGGGTTGATCCGCGATCGTGAGGATAGGATTGAGCCGAAGGAGTCTGTTGAGTGTGTGCGCGTGGACGCACGGGAGACGGACGATATAGATAGGCGCTTCTCTTGTGTAGACTGGCGTCTCTCCTGCGTAGATTGACGTTTTTCCTGCGTAGATTGATGTTTCTCTTGTATCGACACGCACTTATCGCCCAAAGAACCTACCGTCATACTATCCCGCTCCTCCTCTTCTTCCACCTCCGTAACAACCCGTAATTGCGTCTGTGACGAGGGTAGGTCCAACTTCGCCTCAAGCCCTTTGACTGCACTCTCCGCCCCACTCTGACTCTGCCTCCCAACCACAGGACATGTACCCCCATCCAACACCTTCTCCCCCTTACGCCCACCCACGCCCGCCGGCTCAATCATCTTCAAATACTGCTCGACACCGCCCCTAACCATTAACAAATCTCCCGTCGCATTCAACTCCAAATCAAATGCCGAAACATTTGCAGGAACTGCAAGACCCGTATCCACAGTCTGCCTCGAGTTCAATACTCTCTTCCATCTTCCCAAACGCCCGATCGTCTTCACGAATGCACGGGAGATCGCACTCTGGGGAAACACAATGGGAGGGGGGGAGCAGTTCGTAGGGGTGGTATCGCTTGTGTTAGAAGACGCTGCTGAGATAGAAGCTCGACTCTGCTGAAGTATGTTCATCTGCAACGGTTGTTGTATAATCGCAGCAGCCCTGGGCGGAGAAGACACGCTGCCAGAATTGAATGAAAACGCGTTGCTGTTGTCGCCATGGAAGATAGATTGAGGATGTGCAGGTGATTCGTCGGGTGCAAAATCGAGGTCTACATCAGAGTCGTCTTGCTGTTTGGAAGATATGGCTTCTGCGAATTTTTCACCTAGAACGTGCGTGGGTCGGGGTTTAGTGGGAATGTTTAGGCTTTGGCGGGCGGAAACGGATCCGGAGCGGTGGCGGCGGGTATGGGCTTCTTTGCAATCTTTGACGACTTTGATGAGTTTCCTTACGATGTTCTGTGTATCATACTTGAGCTGAGAAACCCCATAAAAGATAAAAGACTTACCAGACCATCCTGATGTTTCTTCAAAATAGGATCCTTCACAAGGGTATTTAACCAACTCGCCAACAAAAGCCTCAACTCCCGATTCGGCAAAAAATCCATGACGAAAAACGTCAATAGCCAGTATCTGATAGCTACGAACGTCCGCACGCGCACGATTTTCCGTATCATATCGTCTTTACCACTTAGCGCCCAGTGAAAACGACAGATGAGGAGGTGGCAGAGGTCGACAGCAGATATGTATGTTCGGTAGGTGAGGAAGAAGTTGAGTAATTCGTCGTAGTCGAGATCGCTTGTTAGCTGGGCGATCCATCGTTCGATCGTCGCTGCGATGAGCACCTTAGTGGTTATGCCTTCCCCGTCGATACGCACTATAGGCACATCTATGAGTCCACGGCCCCTACGAGAATTAGAAGGAGAAGACATTCCACCGCGGCTGCTCTGTGACACCGAGACATCATCACTATCCAACTCAGAAGAAACTTGTATTTCCCCCCAGAGGACAAACCGGGGGTCATTACGCGGTGCAGCGCTATCCTCTGCGCGAAGAGACATTTTGATAGTCGTCTCCCCTGCAGAATCCGAAAACAGTCTATCCAGCTGTGGAAGACCACGGTAAGTCTGGAGAACATCGAACACCTCTGTTGAATATCGGGAATGCATGCTCGTTTCTGGGAGTGGGATGAGTTCTGGGTCGGGTGGGACGATGCCTGGGGGTGGTGAGGGGGAATAATCTTGGATGAGGTCGGGTGAGACGCGGAGGGGGAGGATGGAATCCGGGGTATCTGCTCGTTGTGTGATATCTCCTGCGCGCGCAGTCAGACCGGACTCGAACGACTGCATCTCCCGTAGTGCGCGTGGCATGGGTAGAAACCCATTAGAAGACGGTCTAGTAGGCGATTCAAAAGTAGCGCTGAGTCCAAATGGATGTGGGATGAGACTTGGTGACGCGTTGTTTTCGAACTCAGAGCTCGAAAATGGAGAGGAGGGTACGGAGCCGTTTGGCCATTGCATGACTTCTGCAAAAATGTCTGCGGTAGGTTGTTTTGGCGGATCGGGGAAAAGCGCAGTTGGCTGTGGACGTGGCATGTCTGCACCAGTAACGCTATGTGAATGAGTCCTACCAGTGGGTGTGTGCTGTATGGATGAGCCTGCAGCAGACGCGCTGGCAGCCATGCCGAACATGTCTGGGATAGAGCGGGTCCTTCGTACTAACTTACGCGGCTGCGTGGTGGTGGAACTGGATTGAGATTCCTGGGCGGTGGACTTGACTCTATTCTGGGTGAGGAAACTCATGCGGGAACGGGTTTTGGAGGCACGAGTACGAGTGGCATCAACGGACATGGACACCTTGTGAGTCATTTGCTCTGCTTCCTCTGCAGCAGCCGCGGGAGCGACCGCATCACGACGACTTTAAATAAGTAACGAAATTAGCTGTGCATAGTGGCGATGATACGGCAGGAACCGCACCTGACACGATACATCTGCTTTCCGTGCTGATTGACAAAGGCGGTGATGGCATATGGAGAACGGACATCTTTGCCTACGCCGAGAAATTGGTCGTAGCGCCTCTTTAGTTCTCTGGCAGCTGAACCAGATGAAGTCTCGACGAAACTGCCATCAGCTGATGAAAGATGAGAGATGCACAGACTGGTGACAAAGAAAGAACACACGAGCTATTGAAATATCTGCAGAAGCTACTTCCGGTGGAAGCGAGTTCCATTCTGTATCTGATGCACGGGAAAATGAGAACGAAGACTGTGAATTGTTTAGTGAAGGAGCGGGAATTGGGAGTAAGAGATTTGCTGGTGCGAGTTCGTCTGTAGGTGTCTCTGAGTCAGTCGTCGGCATCGCGCTAGTCATCGCCGAGGTCGTATTCAGCGTCGCCCTCGCTGTCGTGGTCGTCGTGGTCGTCGTGGTCAGCGTCGTAGTCGCCGTCTGTTAGTAAGACATGAGTGGCATCGAAGAAACAAAAGCAGAGTGACACCGCATGCAAACCACGTGCTTTACCCCGCATCATCCTCTTCCACGATGTCGATAGTCACAATCCGCGTGCGTCCAATTCATTGCAAAAAAAGTCACTGAAAATCATCAATAAAACCATAGAATGTCGAGTTCTTTAATAATCCAGCAAGATTCTTGGATCCTTATCACTTTCGAGTTACTTTTGAGTGCATAGCACCTCTCAAAGACGGTCAGCACAATGTTTATTAATTTGTGGCTTTCATCTGCTAACTTTCAAATGTAGATCTAGAATGGAAGCTGATCTATGTATCATCACCAGGGAATGAAGAACTAGACCAAGAACTAGACGACTGCCTCGTAGGTCCAGTCCCAGTCGGCGTAAACTCTTTCGAGTTCGAGGGCCTGGCTCCTGATCCTGCAAAAATACCAACAGAGGACGTCCTGGGCGTCGCTGCTCTTATCCTGACAGGCTCTTATCGTGATCAAGAGTTTGTACGCGTTGGATACTATCAGAACACGGAGTACGATAACGAGGACATGAAAGCTACTCCTCCGGAGAAAATTCAATTTGATAGACTCGTACGCGATATAAGCACAAAACTACGCGTCACCCGCTTCCAAATCAAGTGGTTCGTCCTGTTTTTCATGTTTGTGATCTGAATCTCATCTACTCAAAGGGATGTCGTGCCACAATCACAAGGTCACGCCGCTGCAGGCGCTGCTGCATCAGCCGCCGTTCCCTCTGCAAACGACCTCGATGGTGATGATGCAAATCATAGTACTTAGATTCACTGTATTCTTCTTGCATTATACCTATGCACTGTCGTTTATCGAACACTATGCCAACGGCTTACTCCTGTACAAAAGCACATACGCAGACGCGTCCTCCCCTCCTCCATCAATCGTTCCCAGTTTCTCCCTGGGAAACACTGATACCTTGTCATCATCAAATTTGTACCAATCCTCGTCATCCTCGTCAAACGCAGGTCCATCACCCGACTTTGCATGGAATACACTCTTCTTCACGAAACCGATATAGTGCCCCGCATCAGCGTCTGCTCCCTTGTGCGTAACGATGGCTGTCCAAAATTCAGTTTGCCCCCCAAAGCCAAAGAACGACGACACCCACCAACAAGATCATACAGCCCAGTCACGCTGCACCCATAATCACTCTTCAGGTCGGCATCAGCCAATGCCTCCAGCTCCTGCAACTCCCGCGCACGATACACGCTCTCCTCCTCCAGGTCCCCTGGTACTTCACTCGGCGCCATCTCAACATCCGTATTCTCCTCTGCAGGCCTAGACGACGATGACGCCTCCTGCGCCACCTTCGTCCGCTTACGCACCTTCCGTCGCTCGGCACGCTCTTTCTCGATGGACTTTAGTCGGCTGGACACCGGCGTGAGCTTTGATTTCAGTTCATCGGTTACTACTTCCAGCGCATCAAACTCTGACGCAAATTTCACTTTGCGCTTGGGGATCGTGAGACGTGAAGCAGAACTGGAAACAATTAATACTTACCATGATCTTGGCCTTCTTTCCGATATCGCGTCTCCATGCAAAACGAACCATGTGCACTGTCAGGTAACTCGGTAGGCGTGAGAGACGCGACGTCTGGCTGTAAACTGCTTGACGCCCAAGTGAAGGAGAGTTCTTATCCAATTGAGAGTTCATTGCCTGTGTACGCGTAAGCAAAGACCAACCCAAGCACAAAAAACGCGCATACATCCTTGATACCAGTATGCATATAATTCGTCGTCGCTGAAATATTGCACTCGATTTTCAGTACCTTTTCTATCGTGACGGTGCTAGGCTCTTCAGGCGCTTCGTCGCATTTCAATCTGTCCAAATCAGTCAGCTGACGCCGAGCAAAAAAGGAAAAATCCAAATCACTCTCTGTGCATCTCTGCCATCATAAACTGATCGACAAATCTCCTTCCCCCCGCCACTGTATTACCCGTAGCATCGATCCCAGGAACCTCTTTCAAGCCGTTCGCGAGCTGTGTCCAACACTCTTCAGCATCTATACCTCAAGTCAACAACCTAACAAAAAAGACAGCAGAAAAACGCTCACCTTGCTGCGCGTACCCCCCTAACATTCCATTCTTGCCCGATCTATCAATCTCCCCGAACTGAGGTACGGCCTGACGCAATACGGTCAAAAATGTGGTAGGGATATATCCCTCCGTCGTACGAGACATGTTGCTGTATAAGTCTCTCAGCGCACGAGGGAGGACGTCCAAATGCGGTGACCTATCAGACGCGAGATTCAGGTTACGAGCCACGCATGTAAGAAGTAGTAGCATACGTTGAGAGAGCTGTTTGAAGCTCTGGTATCGCACGCATCGCTTGGACGGTAGCGTTCATGTAGCAGGTATTTCCGAGGCTGTGAGCATGTACTTGTCACTTCACGGTAAGCTGTGAATCGCTGTAGTACCCACTTTTTCAATCCAACTGGTAAAGAGAGCTGCAAGAACAAAAGTGTAAGTAACCCGCACGAGCGCAAATCAAACGAACATACGGCTTCTGCGATCTCCGACTCGTCCATATCTGCACAGGAACGGTCACCACAACCCTCAAATCACATGCATACAGACACACTCACCCTCAAGAAAAACGATCGGTTTTTCAGGTGGCTTCGGGAGCTCGCCCGCAGCGCCAATAACCATGAATGTCTGTCCCTAACCATACATTTAATACACACTTTCCACAAAACAAAACAAAAGCGCACTCACCGCTTTAGGAGCCACCTTCTTCCAATCCGTATCATCCTACACAAATTAATCATCTATCAAAACGCCTACACAACACGAAAAGCACGCACCTTCAGCACGCCGCCCTTGATCATGACTTTCATACGCTCCGGCGGCACGCCTGTGACCTGATAAACCGCATCTTTGAACACGGCAGGTGGGAGTGATGTGTCTAAGTTAACATCGAGAGTTTTTCCTGTGTGTTTGACGTGTACTTGTAGTGGGGCCATCGATTGGATGAGTTGCAGGTCTGCGTAATCGCAGGTAATCAGAGTCCAGACTGACGCGTTCAAGGGGTAGATGGGAATCGATTATGTAATGATGGGCACGTGTCTGTGACGTCACGCTTAACACGTTCCACAGCAAGCAGTGTCCCCGGCTTTAAAAGCTCCTCAACGTCGACTTTAACCTTTAACTTCAACGACAACCTCGACAACGACAACGATAACAACGACAACGACGTTAAGCACGATGACAATCTAGTATGTATTGAATAAACCAAGTTCGAAAAGCTCTAATGGTCTCACAGTTACTCGCTCACATTCCTGCTCCTAGCAGCAGAAGTAAGTCCCGCAGCACCTTGACTTCAATTCATGATTCATAATGTACCCAAACAAGATGGTAACATTCTGCCTACTCGTATCTCCACTCCCTTTCACAGTCCGCAAAAATCTTTTCCGGTTCCTCTCTGAAAGCCCCATCGTCGCCAAAGTCGCGTATGGGCTCAAGATTTCCTTCATGTTCGTACTTGAATCGTTCACATCTCGCTCACTATACTAACATCATATCAACCACCCATAGCTTCGTAGGCATTCTCTTCCTAGACGCCCTCCAACGCATGTTCCGCGTAACAGCCGAAACCGAAATGGCAAAAACAGGCGGCCAGAGCATGCACGACGTACGAACCGAGACTAATTTCGCCGCTCGCAAGTTCTAGTACGCACCTCATTCTCTGTCATAGTGCATCATTCAATCTGATGCGTTTGTGTTTTCTCATCAGCGCCCAACGAAACACTTACCTAACTGGTTTCTGCCTCTTCCTCTCTCTAGTCCTCACCCGCACGTTCTCCATCATCTTGGACCTCATTCACACGCAGGAGGAATATGCGAAATTGAAGAAAGTTGTGAGCACCCCCCCATTTGGGGTTGGCCCCTGCTTATATATTGTCTGTCTGTCTTGCAGGTTGGTGCTGGTGCCAAGGGTGACCAATCCAAACAAATTGAAGAACTCAAGAAGAAATTGGCCGCGAGCGAAGCAAAGGACCGTGACTTTGGTGCGTCTACCGCTTTTTATCGATGTTTTATTTCTAAACTGGAGCTGCGTCACTCAGCAAACCTCAAAAAGCAGGCTGCACAACAGGCTGACGAATTTGATCGTCTTGCGAGTAAGTACAATGAGGCGGTTGGGGCTGTTTCGGACAAGAAATCGGACTAGAGGTTCTTTGTGCAATTGTCATATGATGTGTACTGGCTTTCATGTTCTTCTTGTTTCTTGTTGATGATCAGTCACCCATCTTTACCTGCAGCCTTCATCATGCTCACTAAAGGGCTTTCTAAATCCACGACCAGTGTTTGGTGCGTGGCACCCTCCAACTCGTCAAGAAGTGTGTTTCCTTTGTTTCGTGATGGATCGGTGCAAAATATCGATCTCACCCGGGCTCTAATTTTTTCGAGTGTCGGAAGGATCCTCAGTAATGATCACTATGAGCTACCTATGCCTGCCCTTGACTGACGTCTGGGTCGGTTATATCAACATGTCAGCACTGCCTCGATGGACGATAATCGTCCATGCTATATGCCGCGTTGTTTCTTGGAACACCGGTAGGACCAAATTGACAATGGCCTTTGAACTGTATAGTGCGATATTCATTTGAAGTGTAAAGTATACTTTCTCTAAGAGCGCCAGATGGCCCGGCCTAATACAATGTGATTGTTTCGGTGTATGAGACTCTCCGACATTCCTTTGTTCACAGACTATCGTTCGAGGTGAGCACATCGCTGTGCAATGTCCCTTAAATGAAACTCTAATCATCCCGGTCATGCGTGTGGTACCAATTTAGGCTCAGAACGAGCTGGTGCCAGACCTGGTAGAACGGCACTGATAGTGAGGGACGGACGGACGGCCAGCGAAATGCAGTATGACATTCAATTGGCTTCATGGTTCTGTTGACCTCAATGCGTCTGAAGCATACGAGCCATTTCTCACCAGCATTGTGTTCGACCTTTTTTCTCCTTCCATTGCACCGTATACTGCATCCAAAATGCAGATCCTTGCCCTATTTCCTTAGATTTTGCTCCTCAACAGACTGAAACAGTGGGTGAGCGTCTAGATGGGCAAACAGTGCAGTTCTAGAAAGCGCCTGTACTGGAGCTTTATCCTCTTCCCTACATAGAACGTCTGATGTGGGGATTAGTTTGTTCGAACTTGAGGCCATGTATGACATGATATCGAGACCGATACAATACAGCATTCTAGGGATATTGTTCACGCGGAAATGTTGTCAATGTATGAAATGAAAATGTCCTGTTCTTCGCAGCTACAATATCTCCAGCGTCCTGACGTCCATTATGCCATCAAAAGAAGCCATGTCCCTGACTTGTGCGATGATATTGTTATCTGAAGCGATTCTCTTATACTCCCCACCATGCCGCTGCGCTAGCAAAAATGCGCCAAAAGGACGAGCAAGTCGAACGAGCAAGCTCAACCCTCTGGTAACCAGCTCATCATCACCAGGCTCACCGGGCAAATCGTCCGTGCTCTGCGACTCGTCTGTAAAGTCGACCAATCCGAGATCATACCGATTCCATGGACGGATGAGCAAGAATGTCTGCCGAGTACGCCTTACAGGCGAGAATTGAACAAGCTTGTCTTCCGTTGTGACCAGCAGGTCTTGTAGCCCGTCTGCCTTGACTTCATATGTGAGACATCTGTTCCCGTCTCCACCAGGCCTCCGCCTGATTTCTGTGAGAGGAAATATGATGCATGGCAATTGCAGCCTGGCGTTGACAAAATGAGGAACGCCGAGGTTCTCAAAAGTGGTACACAGTTTCGAAGCCGACTCTACAGCCACAATATTGTTTCGCAGCGTAGAGACCGATATCTGCATGTCATGTTCGGATAGAGATGGTAGTGTACATGGCAGAGCCTTGTATGAGGAAATCTCGGCTGGGAGACAACTGTTGAAGTTGGACGATTGTCCCACCCAGTCCAAGGCTGTGATGTCGCCCGAATGAGCTATGACCTCCTGCAAGAGTCGCCCGAGCGCCTTTTGTCTTTTCTCTCCGTAGATAACAGGAAGATTAACATCAAAGATGCCAAACAAAGAGTAAGCAATATCTTCCTCCCTCGTGGTGTCACGGTTTGACGCCCACTGGAGTTTCTCTCGAGCATCTCTTGTCCCTGGACGGAAGTTGACGAGCGCTCGTGCATTTATCCCAGTTGAGCGCTCCAACTCCCTCATGATACTGACAGACCGCTTGTGGTTGGGTGAGCGGTCGTCGAGATATAGGGACCAATCTGCTTGGTAGAAGAGAACAATTGTAGGAGCGAGGAACTCCTGAATGGTCCATCCTCGCGTATTCCAAATGCTGTTTGCGAGCGCGCCAGACTCTGACGAGGGAGGAACATCCGATAGGTAGACGATGGTGAGCGCTGAGTAGTGATACCAGATAAACATAGAGTTGACTGATTGCTGGAGCTCAACATTGTTGTTCTGGTCGATGCAGCATGTATCGACCCATGCCCAGCGATACCCCGCGTTGCAAGCGACTTTGCAGAACTTCTGCAACTTCACCACGGTTCCAACCGGATCCAACTCGTATACGTCCCTGCGCTGAATGTCGTGCAGTAGTGGCTCCATGGTTTCCCACCTATGAGATAACATGACCCAACTGAAGTACTTCGCGACCGCTTCTTTGATGGGTTCCATTTGGAGGGGCGCATGCATGTCCGATGAATGCAAAAGCTCTTTGTACTCTGTGCTCTTCGTGAATGCGTTAATCTGCGCGTCTCGATCGCACAAACGTCCAGTGGAGGTGTTGATTAGACGAAGTGGAGCGTTTTCCAGTTGGGTGAGAATGGCTCGTCGAATAGCATCCTCTACTTCAGATGGGCTGACATATTGCTGGCGTACCTCTGCAAAAATTGTAAGTCATCTTCAAGTTGGCGCTTGAATTGTTTGGGGCTTACGTCGTATCTGTGGGTCGGGTGTATCATCCAACTTGGAGAGCATGATTGTGAAAGCCTCAAATGCATCATCATAGCGCTGTGCTCCATGGAGAGCTGTATGCTTCAGTCCGTATCCGATATAAGACAAGGAGTTGAGCTCAATGACCTACGAACATCATTACAAATATTAAAACAATGTCAGATATTGTCCATACCTTGTTCGCGTCCGAAAGGGCCTCCGCATAGAGCTTTTGGCCCAACTTCACCTTACAGCGGTGCGCAAAGTAGGAATCATATGAGGAATCCCTCCCAAATACTGCGGAGAGTGTGTTCTCGATGGACCAGAGCCGAACATTCCCATCAATGCCTCCACTCGCGAGTAATTCTCCACTGAGAGAAATTGCGACGCAGTTAACCCATGTGGTACATTCAAGTGCCTGTCCGATCTGCTGTTGTGACTTTGTGCTCCACAGGCGCACAGTCTCATCGCCCGAGGCAGTTGCAATGAAGGAGCCATCAGAAGAGATGGCAAGTGATGTGATAAAGGAAGTGTGACCAGTGCAGGGTTGACCGATCTGGGTTCCATTCGACGAGTCCCAAAACTTGACTGTTTTGTCTTGTGATCCAGAGACAATTTGCTGACCGTCAGGTGACCACACAACACTTTGAACCCAGGAGTCGTCGTGAGCCTTGATATCGAACAGAGGCTCGGCATTATCGTCGCTCCAAATCCGAATGTTACGCCATGTTCCGAATGCTAACTTTAGCCCATCTGGGCTGAAGGCGACACAATTCACCGTACCCTGATTGACGAGTGTTGAGAGAGCAGCGCCAGTCCCCGCATCCCATATAATAACTGCTCCATCAAGTGACCCGCTTGCAAGTCTCTTGCCATCTGGGGAAAAGCACAGTGATCTCACTGTATCTTTATGCTTTAGTGGACCGAGTACTTTGTCCCCGTCGACGTCCCAGATCATGATGTCATCAGCTGCGCTGCTCGCAACTCGCCTGTCATCTGGTGATACAGCGACTGGACTTGTGCTCTCAGCGCTCCAGTGTCCCCCGAATGGCCCTCCTACCAATGCTCCTTTCTCTACGTCCCAAATGCGCGCAACGTGGCTCGAATCAGTGACAACAACCCGTTGACTGTCTTTGAAGAACGCGACTGCCGACACTAATCCCGTGGTCGCTGACATCGTCCGCGCTAGCGCTGGTTGGGTTATCTGCGCCGGCGTCGCGCGCCTTCTCACAGTAAGATATGCTTTTTTTGCTCTATCAAGCAATCCTGGCATGTCGCTAGACAAGATGGACGGTCAGTGGCGTTTGGAGTTAACGAGGAGCGTACTCTGTACTATCGTTGTAAATCTTATGTATCGTGAGGGCACCGAGGAGAGCTGGATTTCTGCCCACAACCCAATTCATGTGGGCTCTTTATATCATTGGCCCATATACCACGTTGCTACAGCGTGGATCTCATTTCGCTCCTTCCATCAGTGCCTGTAGCGGACCGAGTACTTTCTAGTCGTCGACGTTCCAGATCATGACGTTATCAGTTACAAGTGCTGCTCGCAACTGTGATACACCACCAACTGCCACAAATATCAAATATCACCGTACTTGCAAGGTTAACCAACAGTCATATGATCATGCAGATCATCCACACGCACAAACAACGGCAAATCCCGAACGAGTTCCACTCTTTTGAGGGTATCTGGGAATTTGAATTTCCGCGTCTGTCCAAACTTTCTGGTAAAATCGTGTTCATGTTACTCCAAACGGTGGACTTTAAGAACCATCATGAAAAAATGCAGGAAATCATTTCTAATATGTCCTTTTGTCATAAGGCAACAATAGATGCACGGCGACGTAATTAGTCGGGCGAATTAGGTATAAAACACATGTACGTCGAGTATAAGTAGTTGAATAGATACTTGCGAAAGACAGATATAAACATAATACCCTACTCTAAATTTTTACAGGCCACAAGCCTCGAGACGACCACGGAAAATCTTCTGGAACTGTGGGACGTGGTCAAAGTCCATGAGCGTGTAGTGTTGCCCAGGCACGTCAGTATATGATGGCTCGCCGCGGCTGAAGCCAGACCATGGCTTGAGCTGGTTGTTGAGCCAGTCTGACTTGCTGCCGCGGAGAGGGATGGCGTAGAAAACGTCGACTGCGGCTGGAAAACCCGGCATATGAGCAAGCGATAATGAAGTCAGAAAAGGAATGACATACAAACTGAGCCTGATGGGTTGTAATCTTTTCCGCACTCGATCAGGGACCCGGCGATGTCCACCCAGTGGTCGAGCTTCCCAGCTGTCAGCTGGAGCTCGACGAGACGTTCAGGGGGGGACAGCTTCCACACCACCTCGAGCTGCTCTTTCCTCGTCATCGATCTCAGAGCAGGCGCAAGATCATTAGCATCATGCTTCGACACGAGGCCGAGGAAGTACGACAAGTTGAGCATCCCGCCTGTCCAGTCGATCTCGTGCATGCGGTCGGCGATATGAGGAGGGATGTTGATGAGACCGACGAACTTGACTTCGTCGCCCATGGCCTCGAGTCGCTTGGCAACTTCAAACGCGACAACACCGCCGTAACTGTAGCCCGCGATGGCGTATGGTCCCGCCGCCTGGGTCTTCTTGACTGCTGCAGCATAGCACGACACCATCTCGTCCATGGAGGTGAAGAAGGGGTGGCCGGGCTCAAAGCCACGAGCACGGAGAGCGTAGAAGGGACGCTCGTTCTGGAAGTATTTGGCGAGGTTGACGAAAATAAGAACTTCTCCAACACCAGGGTGAACGAAAAAGATTGGCGTTTTGTTTCCTGTCAGCTGGAGGGGAACGATGGGGTCGTACTCCTCAGTCTGGCTATCCTTAGAGAGCAGGGTGTTGACATAGCTGGCGAGGCTCGAGATGACAGGGTGCTTGAGGATTTGGATAGTGGGGATTTCAGGCAGGCCGAAATGTGCTTCTCCCTCACGCTTGAGCCTGGAAATGATATCTATTAGTGAGAGTCATTTTAGAGTGGGACAGATAAACTGACCTAATAACATCAATAGAAGTACCGCCGAGTTCGAAGAAGTTATCGCTCGCCGACATCTCGCCAACCGCGAGGTTGAAGATGCCTAGCATATATCTTGGCAAGCGCCTTCTCCGTCTCAGTGGACGGGGCAACGAACGTAGCGCCGCGTGCCTCGCTGAGAAGCTCTTCAGAGCGGGCGATGTGCTGAGCAAGCTGACCTTGCTTGAAGAGACTAATCAAACGCGCACGAGACAGTTTACCCAGAGTGGTCTTCTCCATTTGGTTCACAGGGATGGGAACGACGAACTGAGGCGGCAGGGTGATCATTTTCACACAGATATCCCGAAGGGCCCTGTGCGTAGCAAAGAGCTTTGTGGAAGCGTCTGCTCCATCGAGGTCGAAGGTTGGCGAGTAGAAAATGATGAACCCTTCGGTCTCCTGCCCAGGAGCACGGTAGGGAGCTGCAGCGAGGAATGAGTGTGTGACCCCTTCCACGGTCTGGAGGTGGGTCTCGAGCTCAGGGATACCATATGAGACACCATGGACAATGACGGTGTCCTTGATACGACCACTAAGGCGCATGACGCCATTCTCGACGATGCCAACATCACCGGTGCGGTACCAGCCTCCCTCGACGAAGCTGGAGGACTGTAGCCTCGGCGTTGTTGTAGTAGCGTACGAAAACCATTGGTCCGCGAACTTGAAGCTCGCCGCTCTCTCCGTCGGGGCGCAGGGTGGCGCCATCTGCGGGGTCAACGATGCGCATCTCGCAACCGTTGATAGGTCGCCCGAGATCAAGGAACTCGTGAGCAGGCTCGGTTGCGAGGACATCTACAGGATCGTAAATGCATCCGGCGCTGCAAAAATTCCCATCAGGTTTATAAACCCATGTAGCTTAATTAGCCTTACCAAGTTTCTGTCATTCCAAACCCAGCAGAGATGACGAACGATACAGCGGAAGGATTCTTGCTAAGCTGTTTCATAGTGGCAGCGAACGCTTGCGCAGTCTTGGAAACAACAGCTTCACCACCGCTGTTGATCCGCTTGATGGAGGACAAGTCAAAGTGTCCGAAGAGGTCAGTGCGCTTCTCCAGATCACGCGTGAGCTTGGAGAGCAAGAAGTTCGGGGCGAAAGCAAGTTCAATCGACTAACAATTTAATGGTGAGAAAAGCGTGAGGCTGTGATTTCATGTTAACATACCTTTTCATCGATCAAACGCAGCAGCCGAAGGGGATCAGCGAGGATAGCAGATGCATGCACGTGGAGTTGCGAAGCACCATATAGCAGAGGGGTGATGTGCATCTCCAACGATCCTGCAACGTGATCAAATCCGACCCCTGAACATCATGATTAATCTCAAACAATTTATTTAAACCACATGCGCCTTACAGTTCAAGACTCGAGATTCTGAAGTTAGGCCGTAGCTTTGCCCCTTGGCACGGCATGCAGCCAGGATCGTGCGGTGAGTGTGCACGACTGCCTTCGAGAATCCAGTCGACCCTGAAGTCAGGAACAGGATCGCCTCGTCGTCTGGCTTAGCCTCGTACGCAACCCAGTCAGCTGAGACGTTAAATGTCTCCGCCGATGCTTTTAATTCGGAGAGTAGGTGAATCTCCAGACCAGAAATAGTGCTGATCTGCTCAGCCCCAAGGTCGTTGGTCAGCCAAGTAGCAGACCCAAATAAGTTCTTGATGTGAGCGACATGGCCCTCCTTGTGCGCCTGTTGCGCGCTAAGTGCAGGCTGCAAGCAGGGCACATAGCCAGCCAGCAGACACTGCCCATACAGGCAGCCATATTGTCTTCGTGCTCCGTCAGGTACACGACGACGACTGAGCCTGTAGGTTTTCCCCACTCTAGCATGGCACGTGCAAGGTTTCGAACATATTGGTTGAACGCGCTGAAGGTCTTCGTCTGAATAGAGGAGTCGTGTGCCGAGGAGGTTACGAAACCAAGCTCGTGCGACGGATAACGGTCAACAGCTTGAGCGATGACGTCGTGGAGAGTATTAGGTTGCAGGAGAGACAACAGATGTCTTGAGGTTTGTAAGGGATTCAGTGGTTGTAGTAGCGGCGACTGCGATGGGTGCCATTGCGAGATGTCTAAATTCTAAAACAGAAAGATGGTCGGAAAGGTGTCTAGGATGTTGCAATTTTGAGTGCCAACTTCCCTGGACTTATATACCTGGATGCCAGAAAACAGCGGTGCGGTGAGATTACGGCATCTCGCACTAGGTGACTGAGGCCAATAAATTCGCCGTAGTACGCACCGCACGGATTATAGTCCGGACTATCATTGCTGCTGATCAGAGCAACTGATAGTGCGAAACACATACCTGCAACACGTTAGCGCGGGGCTATGCTGTAGAACTTGCACCAGTAACCTGGTCACAATTTCCGTACTAGTCCATCCGGTCACTATCGTGACTCTGAGCGCACATCGGACATTAGTCCAAGCGTCGATAATGTGTCATATCAGGCATTGCAAAAGCTAATTTGAGGTTTGGGTTTACCGTTTCCCTATATATTCCGTGGGTTCAGGATCACCATGGCGCGAGCAATGTGATCTAAGCTGTGCTTCGATAATGCACTATCTCCGCTTGCCTAGTAGGGTTGAGCCGAATTAGCTTAGCACCGTCGTGAAGTCACTGCTCGAGTCTAGTACTCCACCATCGGACCGCCGATTGATCAGAGGACTGCTGAGCCACAGATATCGTCAGAAATATGAATCATATATAGAAAACGTTTTCGTTATATTGGAATATAAAGTCATATAAAGCCATGTATAACGTCGATGGTAGATCGAGCAGCGGAACGAACCATTTGTCGTCGGGCTTCGATGGTTTTTGTTGTACAAAGAAATCAAGGCAGCAACATGCAAGGCAAGGCATTCACGTAGTACTCCTTCGAGCGCAGCCAACATCCGGTAGTGGCGACTGGACCCTCCGAAGTTGCGATAGTCTACCGATAGAGCTGGTCGATATCAGCATTGACAGTTGACTTCTCGCGAGGGAAGAGATTTAGTGGTTGCTTCGAATGATGACGAGTGGCGGATATAAATTGATGGCCATGGTAGCATACACAAACAGCCCGTCTATTTTAGAGGACAACTTCTCAAATTCATATCCGATGGCCATGGGGTAGAGGCGGCTAGCAGAAAATAGCAGGAGCTATGTCGTCCAGTGATGCTCGCAGAAAGCAACGGATATGCTGTATGGTGTCTTCATCACGAGTGATGAGAAGAACTTCAGAGACATCGGAGTGCATGGCTGCGCGGATGTGCGCCTCAGGACGACCTGTGAATATCAGGTGGATATTGGGCAGGCCCAAGTCCGAGCCTGATAGCGTAACCAGTCCTATCGCCTCTTCAGCAGAGAAGGATTCGTCAAGAGCATCAATGACGATAGCGTAAGGTGTCTCTTGAGTGACGGAATTGGCTTGATGACAAGTTCCTGCATCCGATCGCTGCGAGAATTTCCAGGCGATAGGAGCACCTTGTCTTTCTCAACGACATTGCCTCGAGTGCGTGGGAAAGCTAGTGCGAGCTGTGATGGTAGGAATAATGGCGGCAGTTTTGTGTGAAGTTTGTATGAGAAGAAAGTGGCAGCAAGCACAGCTATGGAGACGATCTAATGCAACGGACGTTTTTCCAGCAAGGCCATTGAACCAGATGTTTGTCCAATCACGTTTGTCGAAGACTTGTCTGAGACTCCCTCAGCGCAATACATGCATTATCCGCGGATCTTGAGTGCGGCTGGCGCTTTTTTGGATTGAAAGTGTCACTGTATATGATACTACAACATCACATAGATGATTCCATGCATGTTCAGAAGATGAAGGATTTTCTTAAAGATGAGGAGGAGATTTGTGCTCACAACTGAAATCCATCGCCGGGGGAGTTGAAACTTGACGAGCCTGACAGCCAACAGGAAGGACGGTACAACACCGGTACGTAAGTAAGTACTGCAATTTGCACCACGTTGAGATCGAAAAATAACATGCGTGAGCGTCGAGCGCGCAGCCGTGCCAATGTGCGCTCGGTAGCTCTCAGTGCATTTTGTCGGACGTCTCAAATCAAGGCGCGACTTAAACACAACCAACAGTGGCCCGAATGCTGAGAAAAAAGACCAGCACGACGTTAGAAAGAAAAGGAGGCCGGCAGAGTATCGACGTTTCAACAGCTAAGCAAGCGTGCGTACACAATAAGTCTCGTGACCGAAACGCAAAATACATTTCCACGCGCACATGATCAGCTGTTCCGAGCCTGTAGCATGACGCAGGAGCTCGAATGCAACTCGGAGAAACGAGATTCGTAGTCATTAGCACGTTGAAAGTTCATGTGGAGCATGTTAGTACAAGCAGCGGAATTTTCCTGCACTAATCCTACACGACGCACTCCTTTGGCACTACATCAAGCTGTATTCAATTGAAGTCCCCTGCAAAGGGGAGCGAAACGCCAACGTGAAGAGATGCAAGTAAAAAAATAGGACTGTCTGTATATCGAAGTGCTACCTGTCCGTCGTGACCTCTGAATCAGTCATCGAGGTCTATCAACTCCTCCTCATCTCTATCCCCAGTACTGATATTGTTATCTCCATCCTCACCACAATCATCATCGTCCGGTTCATGTTCCAGCATGAACGCAGGAACAGTCACCCCAGAACGAATTCTAGGACCTGGTCGCGGACCAAGATTAATTTCCTTCCGGGACTCACGGACAGCTGCGAGGGCTGCAATCTATGAAACCAGCACCAAGACTGCGTGTCAGAGAGAGCAAAGTAAATATTTATAACAACGTACCTTATCTTGCACCGCAGACTGTACCGCCCGTTTCTGCCCTGTTTTCGCTGCAGGATCGAATCCAAGCTTCTTGATGATATCTGCAGAATACGCCAGCTTCGTCTGGGGTGTGTCAGATGCTGAGATACTACCTGAATCTCTCGCCTTTCCCTTCAACTTTGCGTACTTCTTATCCTTAGCACTATCAAAGGTTCGCTTCGCCGTCATCGTGCCTATCTCCCTGGCCTTGGCAACAGCACGCATGCCTTCCTTATCCCTCTCGAGTAGGCGTTTCAGCTCGTGATCGGCATCCTGGATCAGCTTTCGCTTCGCTCGCGCCTGGCCTTCGCGCCCCATGTTCTCAGCGACAAACATCGACGAGACATCCCGATTCGACCCGCTCACGACGTGCCCCGAGACAACGTACGTGGCGTTGCCCCCACGCGAGCCAGACGCTTCAGAAGGCTGTAATCCCCACTGGCGTTGTGGATCGTAATCCGCTTTGCGCTTCTTTGATGACGAAGTTGTCATGCCAGAAGTCCTGAGGAACGGGGTTGTGAGTCAGAGCGAAGGTATAGAATCATCGCATCGCCCACCCTGCAGAAAATTCAGCTCGCCCGGCTCTTTGCCGTTGCACAGCGTTCGTCAAGTGCCAATCGCATACGTCGCTCACTCGCTTGTCCGTCCAGCTTCCGCATATTTTGCCGTCGCGTTTGAGCACCTTGCACATGCCCAAGTCTTGTGCGCGTCCGATGATGGCGATGGATTCGGCGGACTCGGGTGTGACAGCGAGTATGTTGTCGGTTGGGTGCGGTTTCCCGATTTTGTTGTTCCGCTGAACGAGTTATTCACTACGATGGGTCATACTACTCGTGCAAGCTCACCTGGAAGGGCTTGAGGACTTTGGGATTGAGAAGAGTGATGACGTCCCCTTCTTTAAGCTTTGACATTGCTTCGAAAGCGCCTTTGCTGCCACCATTGTAGAGCTTCTTGACTTTTCCATCGTCGCTCGTGACGCGGTCAAACCTATCAGCTTCGAACAGCAAGAGGGTCAGAAATGCGTCTCCTCGGATGGATGCTGCGCCGGACGATGATGGTCGTGAATGTGCCCCAAAGTCAATTAATTTGATGTTGACAAATTTTTTACCGTGAGATTTCGAGGACTTTTGTTTCTGCGGGTCTTGAGTACGAGAATCGTTACCAGCTCTACGGCCGTTGGCGTTACCAGAGGCTCCTTCATCATCGGTTGCACGTCCATCGCCGCCAGGAGCGATGTCTACGGGAGCACGCGTAGTCCTCACAGGGCCCCGTTCTGCAACAACAGCGATTGTGATCCAATCACCTTCAACAGGTACATCGTAACCTGACTGGTTGGGTAACAGTCGTATGCAAGAGTAAAGTGTAGACGGTGAAAGGTAATATCGACCTCGGAGATATTCCTGCAAATCATCGTGTGGTAATGAACGAGACCTACGTACAATCCGTAAGTTCAATGATTTAATAGATTTCAATTACAGTGACAAGACGTACGAAAGTCGGATCCCTGAATTTGGCTCAAGTCGCTGAAATGAGAGTCATCGAGTGGCGGCTTGTGATCCACGGGACCGACTTCAAGCTGCTCGACAATGGCCAGTCGGTCATCTCTGTTCGGCACGATGTCCGAAGCAGATTGGGAGGCACTAGGTGGCACTTCAGTCATTTTGGAATTTGAAGCAATGGAGGGCTCAGGTTTGGGTCGAGCCAGTAAGCTGTGGGACCTCTGAGCTGAATTTGCATTTTCTTGCTTTGCTGTGCCACCTGATAATTTAGAAAGGTTGCCGAGGAGATTCGAAGGAGCAGGTTTCTGATATTGCACCGTAGCAATCGGACCTTTACCCGAAGGCCGTGGATTCACGCTCCGAGCTCCAGACGATGAGAGGGATCTCGAGGTGGCACTCGTCCCGCCAAGTAACGAGCGCTGTGTATGGCCTGCATGATCGACCCTCCTCTTCTTCTCTGCCATCAGCGTTCATTTGACAAAACCTCTAGAGCACACGCGCTCACTCACTAGGAGACGGAGTAGCGGGTGCGAGCAAAGTTTCAGATGGGTGTTTCCTCTTGGGAGATCCGATTACGTCGTTTGCGGAGTCGGGAAGAGATGTAAGCTGAGCTTGCAAGCGCCTGATCTCTCTCCGAATTTCTAGCTGTTTCTGTAGTTCCTCTTCCTGTTCTGTTCGTAGATGATTCCATTACGTGTCGCTTTGATTGACGCGCGGTGGTTGTTCACATGCACACGTACAGTTAAGCAACACGCTGTGAGCTGCTGTATTTGAGATGCTGGCAAGGTTATGGTTTGTGGACGTGTTATTTGGTGATGCTGTACGTAAATGCTGACAGGACCTTTTGTGTTTTTCCACACCACAATTCCACACGTCCTACTTTAGAAACTCTGCCAAAGCATCGTGATTGTGGGGCACGAGTGGGGTGAAGTAAATGTGCTAGAATACAGCGCAAGTATACCGCCAGACATGGCTATGGTACATTCCGGGAACGATAGAAGTTCGCAGGCGACTCTGGCCATGGGAGGCCTGTGATGATATCTATATTTACCCTTTTAATGACTGCACTGGCAAGGCTTTCTAATACTCGTAGACCAAGAGATCCAAGCTGTGCCACATCACTACATATTCCGCGTTGGCAAGATTTCCCTTCTTTCCATATCTTTCCACCTCTCACGCCTGCTTTCTACTAGTCATGAACAACGACATCACCCCTACACTTGATTGTCGAAGAGTCACTATGGAACTCACTGAACGTCTTTGCTCTCAAAAACATGTTCGAGATGGTATCAATGACCTCCTGAAATTCAGCCGCTCGGAAGATTCAGAATTTCGGCGCTACGGTCGAAAGGTCTTGTTTTTGCTGCTAATCCCGTTTTACATTCAACTGATGGCCTTTCCGTGAAGATTATCGCCCTGACTGAGGTTAATATATTTTTAATTGTCACAAGTTCTTTCAATAATGTTCTCGGTAATTAAGGTCGCACGCAGCACTCTTACACGTGTAGGAGTGAAATTATACCTGTTCGTTGTTTGTCCACAGACCTTGCTGCCATTGAAGTCGGCGTACTTCAAAATGCTGATTTTAATCAGACGCCGCAAACACGCCTTTCCTTTGGAACTGGATGGTAAACATTTATATGTAATTTGTTGAATTTTCTTTTCACAATCCATACAGAAAGAATAAATCGGCTCTTGCTTCCTCTATACACTCATCTCGTCATATATTACGGGGGAGTTGACACCCGTGCCCAACTGGGCATCAAAGAATTACTTGTCGCCCCGAACGCACCAGCCGCAGGAAAAAGGACCTGCCTGCCTGCTACTGCTATCTCATCAGTGTCAAAACCAGACGCGGCAGAGGTTATGCCACGTATGTGAACCTGCTGCCATACTCAGGAGCCCTAGATTAACGAACAATTCTTAGCACCGGATGCTTTCGCAAAAAAAAGAGCAAGAGTCAACCGGCTCGGAGAATTTATAAAGCAGCAATCTACGAAGGAGTCACACGCACGAAAACATCTAGTGCCTAAGCAATACCCAACAGGTGACCCGGGTGACAACGGAGCAAAACCTGTAGTGTCTAAGGAATACCCAGCGGTTGACATCAAACCGGACGACAACGAGGGACCTTCTCTCCCTCGAAGGGTGTTCACTCGAACGAATATCAAATATTTCGGCATTTTTTGCACTGGGAAGCAGCCAGTTGCTTCTGCCAGGACTGTTTGCATTGACTAATATATCTCGCATCGTACTTCATCAAAACTCTCATCGTCTCTCCGATACTTGTCGTCTTATGAATAGGGAATCTATCTACCTGTATTACAACTAACAACATTCACACATTTTGTTACTGGCTGTCCTTCAAGGATTATATTTGTGATAATACATCCATTGCTGCATCATCATTTTAGTTCACGAACAATCTGCTACCCTCAGCAGCCGTACTTCTCATCCTTCAAGTCTAGAGGCCTCTGCCTCCCCCTGCCCGTAGCTCCGCAATATCATCCCTCCACCCCTTCAACTTCTCTGTCATTTGTACCTCTTGGCTGGACGCCCCTTGAGATGACATCTCGTCGCTGATGATATCAATCACTTCTCCAATCCATGCGTCCAACTTCTCCAAAGCACGTTCAAATAAATAAGGGTTTCCTAGGGCTATAATAAAAGCTAGATTCAGGATCCGAACCTGTGTCTGGCACGGACCCGGCTGGTGCAGCTGGAAAGGGGTTGGATGCGCGAAGAGGTAAATAACAAGGAATAGTTTAGGTGCCTGTGGTATCTGACTTCAGATACACCTGATTGAATAGAACGATGCCTCATTCATTTGAGCTAATTTAGTGATTACATTCCCAGACCCCAATTGTGCGCAATGACAAATGGCTGTCTGAGGGCCAATTTAACAGCCGATTGATGCACAATCGGACATGCTGCGGATATGTTCATCTGTTTTATTCTGCACCATACATGTTACCTGCACGGTATATCAAACTCGTGACGTCGCATTTCCTGTAATCAGAAATTTATTGTAGTTTTCTTTGCCAGAGATACTACCATCGAATGAGCAAAGGCCATGTTCACATGCATGCAAATACTGTGTGAAGTGCGAGGCTGCCTCACCCAAACCAGACGGCAAAACAACCCTGTTGTCAGTCATGGCTATGGCAATTACTCGGAGAAATTTTTCTTGAATTGGGCCAGGCGTTATAACTTACCTCCTTTTGACATACAGATTGTACACGTAATCCATGCAGTCCATACTATGCATCCCCTGAGATGGCAATGATCCACAATCAGCGTGTACATCACGAAGGTACACGCCAAATACATGCTCATGAACACTTTGAAGATGCGCATCAAGATCGCGCTTGAGCAGTTTCGGAAACGACCTTCACGGCCTGCATTTAATACCCAAGTCTTCAGCAATGATCATCGCAGCCTTCTCTCCAACGAGGAGCGCCGTCGAATAAGTGTTCTGAAAGATGGTTAGACCATACATCAACAATTTCTCCTTTACTACTCACCGTACCAACAATCTTCGGCACGATGGACAAGTCTGCAACCTTGAGGTTTGTCACACCATACACGTTTAGCCGAGCATCAACGACTCCCTGATCTGCCCTCGACTTCATGGCACAAGTCCCGAGCTGCACGCACAGGGATAAGGCGCCTCATGTAGAAGTATGACAGATCAAGCTACACGTACCGAATGCCATCCCGTTTGCACTGGGATTCGATTAAGTATGTTACCGTAAGGGAAAATAGATTCAGGACATACTGGTGTCACGGTGAAATCGTTCGATCGCTTCGTCATCTTCTGCAGTGTAGATGATGTCAGGCGCATTCAGGTCCGCTGGACCGGTCGCTTCTCCGCAGACCGCAGCACTCCCCTCTGGGAAAGGAGGGTGGAAGGCGGCAACTTCACCCCGGTAAGAAGGCATGCGTCGGCCGATTTCGCGCAGTTTTTTATATCCAAAGTTGAGAGGTACAATATCCGATGGGCTGGGCGGATTATCGTGGTCAGACGAGTATGGCTAAAATGAAAGATGTGCTCATTCACTCATCTAGGAAGCCTGTAGTGAAGTCGATGTCTTCCTTGCCGTCCTCTCCTAATTTGATATGAACACTACCAACGGATGCGGGGTAAAGCTATAGAACTCATGTTCAGGACAAAGATCACGGAGTGTATGGGAAACAGTACTGTAGTGATTTCGGCAGTCATGTAATTGCGAGGGGGAAGGTCACCTGACCCGAGATAACTGACTATCCTGAGCATTCGCACGTCATGAAAGCAAATGGTTGTACACACCCTGCAAAGACGGTCAATATTGCGACAGCCATCTCCGGGCGGTCCTGGAAGAACTCCTTCCACCGAGGTTCAAAGGTTGAACCCATAACTTTCAACTCTTCATCATCAGGACGCCACTTGATTTTTGCATCGTTGCCGCTGAAATACTAATGAGTGCGTTACAAAATACGAATAATTGTGCCAACTTCTGTGCAATGAGAGACTTTCTATTACTTTTCCATCGTGCAAGGTGTTCTGCTTGACTACTCAAAGGGTGCTGTGAACATAACGAGAACATACTTGCTTACCCTGTATAACATTCTCCTCCCCACGCCAGAGGGGGTCCATAGTAATAGCTCCGTCAGCAGCAAAGTATGGACTAAAGACGATGTTGTGATCTCTTAACCCTAAGTCAACATCATGAGATAAATGGTTAAACACGGACCACGATAATTTTCTCCGACACCAGGCAAGTCCACCAGCTGCTGGATATCGCACCGCTTGAGAATCGCTTCGGCACCGATCCCAGACCTCTCGAGAATGGCCGGCGAACCGAACGCCCCAGCAGAGACAACAACAAGCTTTGATGCCCTCACGATGCTTGACGACTGACCCGCGTCCGGGCAAGACACTGGGTCATCGGTAAACTCGACCCCTACAGCATGCTTGTCCCTTTCAGTCGGAAAGGACGTCAGCAATTGGGCAAAATTGCGATCCGAGGTGCAACACTCACTCGAAGATCACGCGCTTCACATGCTTTCCGACCCAAATTTGTAAATTGGGGTTGTGAGCTTGGTTGTAAACATAGTGATGTGCAGCGTCAGAACGCATTCCAGTTGTCCCGTCGATGTACCTTCTCATATGAGCTTAAGTCACCATAGATTATGGGCACATACTCACTTGAACCATGGCTGAGACAAATTTTGTCAGTGATAGAAGACGGTGGAAGAACATAATGAAGTGGCGCACACTGTAAGTATTGCATGTTTCCAAATCATTGGAGTCATCAGAAAATCGCCTCTTGTGATACTTCATGCCAACACGGATAAATTCTTCGCTGATGCCCATTTTCCACCCACCAGAGGACACCTTGATAGGTCCATTATACCCGTGGGTTGGACGATCGGCCTGCACCTCGTATGTCTCCACCTATGCAATAACAGTTCAGCTTGACAACTATACAGACAGCACGATTTAGGACCTTTTTCATGAGGGGAATCAAGTTCTTAGATTCCCAACCATCGACTCCCCAATCGTCAAAATCTGAGGCAGGTGAACGAGTGTAATTCATAACTGTCTAAGCATTAGAATCCTATTCATTGTCACAACAACACTACGAACAATTCACACTTGAGCCTCCACCAATACAATGGGCGCAATGAACGATTGGCGCACGACCGTTGAGATGTGGTGAGGGGTTTCCAACGTTGATTGTCATCGTAGTACTCGTTGGTGCCTGGTGGATGAAATATTGGTAGGGTTGAACATGCGCAGCTTTATTGAGGGTGTGTTGACCTCCTTCGAGAATTAAGATCCTGAGCGAGGGGTCACATGCTGCCAGGCGACCCGCGACAACACAAGCTGTACTCCCGCCTGCACACAACGGGCCACGCTAAAAGAGCAGGTCGCCACGTGCAAGATGGCAATGCTCACCTCCGGCAAAAATAATATCAAACTCTGATAAGAACGGATAAGACATTGAGGGGATTGCTTTCAGGAAGCTAGTAACTCACAGTCCTTGGTGTGTCTGTGTCCAATTTATATTCACAGCCTGCGATAACACTACTGCGGTGTTTACTCCATCCGGGACATAGCAAGTTACAAACCACGATCAGCTGGGCACCACATGAGCTTATCTGGGTTTTTGCCCCGCACAGAAGAAGTACTTGCAGAAATTAGGTGTGCCACTTGAGTCAGGTTACCGTGAGGACGGTCATGAGAGCCTAGCCGGGCCGCAACTTAGCGGCGTTTGCCCGGCGCGCTACTACTTGGTATGTAATTTAAAAGTTGATACACACCAGCTTCACTGCCATCGTTCTGTACTCTGTGCATAGCATCACATCTCGCGTCCTTGGCACATTCTGCGGTCGAACTTCGGTGTCACAGCTAGCATGTTGTTGCGACGTGAAACATTTTGTGCCTTGCCTGCCCGTACTATTCGTGTCGGCGATGCATAGACACACACAATCACACTATTAGCAGAGACTCGTCTACATCGCGTCGACCCGTTAGGCTAAGGCAAATATCCAATCTCGATCATACCTCTCAATTGCTATATCACCGCGCGACCACCGTCCCTGTAACGACTGCGTCACTCAATTTTTGCTCTGCGGAGCCTATCTTAGAATTCGGACGGTCTTCCAACTGATGCGTTTCTTGTGACCACGACTAACACAGGTAAGACACTTTCATTAGGTCGTGCACCACGCAATCTACCCGTTCATCCTGCGTGCACTTCCAAAAACCTCCATCTGCTATCATTGTCTCCATATCCTGTAATCGAGCACCGACCACGGGAGCTTATCCCTTGCAAACGTCGAAATCACAGGAGGCATTGTATTCGTGTATCAGTTGATAAGAATCCAGCAATTTGATACCATGTGGTCCGTGATTCCATGCCGAAAAGTCGAGATTTAGAGCAGGCCCGGGATCAAATTCAAAGATACGAAGGCTACAAAGCTGCCAGCAGCAGTAAGCAGGAATATGAAGAAACCAATGAATGAAGGCAATATGGGTGGTTGTTCCTGCACAACGGCTGTAGAAGCTACTAGTACTGACCGGCACGCAAAATGTGTGTGGAAGGAGAGGGTCAAGAGTGTGCTGATCCTTGCCAGAAGGTAATAATTTGCAATCCATATATTGTCCTCACAATTTTGAAACATGGGCATCAACGATCGACACATAAAGTACATGCTCATGATCATTCCTGCGAAGACACCTATCACAGACGTGGTCGAGGACTTTCCTCCTCCGACTCACTGTATGGTCTGCATTCAATACCCAGTTCATCAGCAATGATCATCGCAGCCTTCTCTCCAATGAGAAGTGCTGTCGAATATGTGTTCTGGAGAGACAGTCAGACTGCACGTCAAATGATTCCCAACCAGTACCCACCGTGCCAACATTTTTCGGCGCAATAGACATGTCCGCAACCTTGAGGTTTGTCACGCCGTAAACGTTTAGCCGAGCGTCAACAACCCCTTGATCTGCCCTCGGCTTCATGGCGCAAGTCCCGAGCTACACACGCAAGGTTCAGGTACCTCATGTGAAAGCATAAAAGTTTCAGCCGTACGTACCGAATGCCATGTCGATAGTACTGAATATCGACTCAGTATTTTAACATAAGGATGGGATGCGACATACCGCGGTCACGATGGTATCGATCGATCGCCTCGTCGTCTTCTGCTGTGTAGATTAAGTCAGGCGCATTCAAGTTCACCGGCCCGGTCGTTTCTCCGCAGACTGCAGCGCTTCCCTCTGGGAAATAGGGATGAGTGGCGGGGACTTCACCTCTGTATGAAGGCATGCGTCGAAAAATTTCGCGCATCTTTTTGTACCCAAAGTTAAGAGGTACAATATCGGATGGACTGTGTGGATTATCGTAGTCATCAGCGAGATGAAATTGCCGACTCACTCATCCAGGAAGCCAGTATTAAAGTCGATTCCTTCCTGGCCGTTCTCGTCCAATTTGATATGAACACTACCGGCAGACGCGGGGTAAAGCTATTGAAAATTCAGAACAAATATTAAGGAGTAGTAGATGGGGGTAGAACCGTAAAATAGAAAGCAACCAAGTAATTGCGAGGAGGAAGGCTACTCAAGAGTGCCCCAGCGTATCTGGTAATCGTGAGCATTCGTAAGTCATCAAAGCAAAATAATGTGCACACACCCTTCAGAAATGGAAAATATTGCAACAGCCTTGTCCGGGTAGTCCTGGAAGAACTTTTTCCATCGTGGTTGAAAGGCTGAACCCATGGCTCTCAGCTCATCGTCGTCAGGACGCCATTTTATTTTTGCATCGCTGCCACTGAAATGCTAATCAATACGTCACCAGCATTGAAGGTTTTGTACCAACTTTTGGGCAATAAGTGAGTTGCCATTAATTTTCCATTGCGCCAGATTTTCTACATTATTTCCCGGGCGGTTAAAGGACTCAAAATATGGCGAGAACATGCTTACCCTGGACAACACTCTCTTTCCCATGCCATAGGGAGTCCATAGTAATAGCTCCGTCAGCAGCAATGTATGGAACGAAGACGACGTTGTGATCTGTTGACCCTAAGTTAACATCATAGGACAAATAGTTGAACACGAACCGCGAAAATTTTCTCCGACGCCAGGCAAGTCCTACCAGTTGCTGGATATCGCACCGCTTGAGGATCGCTTCGGCACCGATCCCAGACCTCTCGAGAATGGCTGGCGAACCGAACGCCCCAGCAGAGACAACAACAAGCTTTGATGCCCTCACGACGCTGGATGACCGACCCGTGTCTGGGCAAGACACTGGATCGCTGGTGAACTCGACACCTACGGCACGCTTATTTCTTTCATTCGAAGAAGACATCAGCAGTTGGGCATGGGTGTAATTCAACTTGCACACTCACTCGAAAATCACGCGCTTCACGCGCTTTTCGACCCAAATTTGTAAATTGGGGTTGTGAGCTTGGTTGTAGACATAGTGGTGGGCCGCATCAGAACGCCTTCCAGTTGTCCCGTCAACGTACCTTTCTATTTATAAGGTCAATTCACAAATAGATGACGAGCGCAAGCTCACTTCGCGCATGACTGAAATAGATCTCGTTAGCGGACTCCGCACACAGAGAAAGAAAATCAGGTGGCGCACACTGTATGTGTTACATGTTTCTAAATCATCAGTGTCTTCGACGTATGGCCTCTTGTGATACTTCGTGCCAACACGGATGAACTCTTCGCTGGCACCTAGTTTGCATCTACCAGAGGACACTTTGATAGGTCCACTGTACCCGTGGGTTGGACGATTGGGCTGCACCTCATATGTCTCCAGCTAAGCAAAGAATGGTTCAGCTTGAGAAATTAAAGATGATTCAATGGAGAACCTTCTTCATGAGGGGGATCAAGTTCTTAGATTCCCACCCATCGGCTCCCCAGTCAGTCAAAATCTGAGGCAGGCGCACGAGTGTAAACCATAGCTGATCGATTCAACATATCAGAGTCATGCTATTCGGTACAAGAACGCTACGAACCATTCACACTTGAGCCTCCACCGATGCAATGGGCGCATTGAACGATCGGAGCACGACCGTTGAGATGTGGACTTGGATTTCCAACGTTGTGTGTCATCGTGGTACTCGTAGGTGCCAGATGGCTTGGAAATCGGTAAGGCTGCACATGCGCAGCTTGATTGAGCGTGTGTTGGCCCCCTTCGAGAATTAGGATACTGAGCGAGGGATCCCATGCAGCCAGGCGGCCTGCGACAACACAAGCTGTGGTACCACCTGAACCGTGATACAGCGTTATGCAAAGAGAATCACCATCAATGCATGATGTATTACTCGCCTCCAGCAAAAATAACATCGAATTCTGATACGACTGAATGAGACATCGAAGGGTGCTTCAGCGGAAACCAATCGTCAGTGTGTCCAAATTTATATCCCTTGATGGCCGGGAGCGAACAACAAAGACAGCGCTGGCACTTGGCTGGCACTAATTTGCTATATAGATCTGAGGCACATCATAAGGTTTTCCCGCATTGCTGTCATGCTCACGGGTCTTAATAAAGTTAATAAAGAGAGCGCTACGCTATTGCGATGCGTCGCGCTCTCCCGCGTTCATACTAGGCCTACTCAGCTCTGCCGTAGTCAGGCGTGCTCTGACGTGGCCTGGCGCAAGCAAACAGCCGCAATCCACCAGCGATCTGTTTTTGGTAGTTCGTAACAGAGTGACAATCCTCCTGGAGGTAAACCTACGGTATTGATTCCTGCGAGACCACGATTTTAACGAAGTCAAACATCGATTTGATTCCGTCTGCAGAAGAGGGGCAGCCGATTACATAATTCATCGTTGAAATTAAAATACGGCTTTATGTAATATTGCGAGTTGATCGGAAGCGCGGATACTTCAGACTTTCGCTGTAGTGCGAAAATGTCAGTCGAGGGACAAGTTAGAATTCATTTGAACGTGCACCTACTGGCAATGCAAACTCATTGTAGTGGGGGCTCGTTCGACTTCCTCGAGAATACTGGGAGAAATCTTACGCAGGCACCTTTGGGGCGCTTCTGTATGCAAAGGCCGCATGATGATCGGATGTCCGCGTCGCAAATTGTTAGCTGTGCATCAAATCCAATCAAATTATAGCACAGACAGGTAGTGGAAAATGGAAGGCAATCTTATCTTTATTGTGCCTGCTGGTGGAGTGGGCTTCCGGACGGCCATTAATTATCCAGTGCCAACTTGAACTTATTATGCCAACGGTCAATTTCGATTGAAAATGACCAACGCTATTGATCAGAAGCAGTTTGCTATAAGAATCTACGTACGAGAAGCGTTCGTAAGAACAAAGGTGTGAGAAATACATAGCTGAGCGCTGAGCTACGGATGGTAGTGTCCTGTGTGTGTCACGGGATCAATGAGATCCAGTTCCCTTACGTCAACACCTTCAAATGACTTGTTCTTAACACGCCGACTCTGCAGCTCCCGTTTAGCAAGCCAAAGATGTAGGAGATGCAAGCAGTCCTTTGCCTGGAACAGCGTCAGAATGAGGTCAACGTTTATGATAATGGTAACATACGACAGTGAAAAGACCCAGCCCTAATGAATTTCTCCACCTGGATTGTGTCCTTGGTAAGAATCCACACCTTGATCAAAAGGAACAAGTACCTACCAAACAGGATCACATTCTGCCCAAATGGGAGTTCCCCGCCACGCGACGCTAAGACCCATCAGTCCAGCGACGCTAAGCCGCTTCACAGGGCTCAACTGGCGCCACATTTCCTCATCGATCCAAGTCCCCACCAGAGACGGCCGCACATCAGGTGGAAGAGGTGGGCGCACAGCAAGGAAACGGCGTAAAAGCGGTGAATACTTGGATAGTCGATACAACAGTGAGCCCATGAAACTGGAGATGCGTGGGATAATTAAGGCTCCTCCGATCAGTCGCCCAAGGGAGGTCCCCGATACGCGAATGGTGTTCTCAGCAGCAGCAGCAACGTCTCCTGCGATGGCCTCGCCATCGACATTTGGATTATTGTTGACATCATTGTTGGCAACACCTGCACCTCTGTCCTGCTGGCCCTGACCATTAGGCTGGAGCTGGGCGTTCCGTTCTTCGCCATTAGCATTGATGCGAATGCGAAGGAATGGGTCATCATCCTCTAAAGCAAGCATCATGCGCTGTGCGCTATCGGTCGCATCCGGTTGCGTATCCAGCGCCCATCTCGAGAACTGAGAGAATAGGCGGTTATATGTGATACGCAGAGACGGATAGATGATCAAGCCGAGCAATACTGGTGGAGGGGGCCAGCTTGGGAGTATGGGAAACATTTCCCGTTGTGTTGCTTCCCGGACACTCCAACGATTGAGGACTATGCGCTTGTCGATCCGCGGGGGGGTGGACGTTGGCCATGCGAGGAGAAGGGGAACAAGTGGCGTGACACTAGATTTAAAAGGAAGACGCGAGATAATGAGAGCAAGGGGAATGAGTGGAAGGTTGAGGTAGCAATGCCACGGCCAATTAGTAGGGTCCTCCGTTAGCAGGAGATCATACATCCTACAAACATGAGGGTTGCGACTGGCTGCCAAATGAAAGTGACACGTACTCAGCACCCAGGAACTCTTTCAGAGCATAGGCACCATACGCCGTGCTCAGGATATACATTCCTATAAATTCTTATAAAGCTGAATCTTAAAGTAAATGCCCACGGACCAGTCCCAAGAGAAACCACCACCACGGTCATGCTTGCGATGGTTACAATCTTTCCCATCGTCGAGAGGCCCCTGTTTGCTGCGTCCAAGATGCGTAGGATGAGTGGATTATCGCTTTCAAGCTCATACACTGAGCTGCACTGCGGGCACTTGAGAGCATTGGGGGCTCGTGAGAGGTTCTGCTGCGAGGTCTGTATCCATTGCAGCAGACAGGACTCGTGCGCAACAAGTGTGCATTTACATGGATGCGTCCATGCTCGGGGAGGATCTTCGGGTACTAAGAACGGACAGGTCAGATAGACGCTGGCGTGACAGTAGAGCGCTTTGACATACCATCATACCGCTCCTCCTCCCTGCAAATGTAGCAGAGCTTGATCTAGATAATCGTGAGCACCAGGGCTGCGGATATTTCAATGTATGCATACTCTGAGGTCGCTGATGGTGGGCACTCGTCGTTGAGCCATGATGGTTCAGTAAGGAATATAACTTGGCATCAAGTGTCATGTGCACGAGCGCTTTTATATGGGTGGGCCTAGATCTTCTCATATGATAACTAACTTGGCAAGGACAAAAGAAATCAGAGGGCAACTGTGACATTAACATCTAACAAAACGCGGCTACAACATTCACAAAAAAGTCACTACGAGTAGAAGAACAGAGTCTAAGGATTATTTTTGAACGAAGAGACAGAGAGAGGAGTTTACTCATGTCACTGTGTAACCTGGCATAATTTTTACTGCGCGTACGGATTCGGGGTGCGCGGCTGCAAATCACGATCATCATCTTTCTTGTGATCTTCCATTGGAGGAGTACGCGCGTGGTCATGCCTCCTTCTGTCAGGGGAAGGACTCCTTCTCCTATCAGGGCTCCTGCTCCGCCTCCTCCTGTCCCTCTCCCTGTCGACATCACGGTCACGTTCGCGTTCGCGGTCTCTGTCACGGTCGTCATGACGGTCGCGGTCATCCCTGTTGTCTCTTTCGGAGCGACGACGAGGGGGGCTTCGAGAACGCTCACGATCACGACCTGAACGATGAGGAGGAGAAGAACGCCTCTCGTACCGCCAAACAGAAGAAGGGGGATTCTTTGCCCACTACAAACATAATTAAGAACATTAAATTGCTCCTATGAGGTGCTGACTTGCCTGAATGCTCAAGCGAGATCCCTCAAAGTACCTTCCATGCCTACGCCTGACGCGTCAGGCAGGTTACAACTGAGCGTGAGAGAGTAGAGAACATACATATCGTAGTAGGCATCTTCGGCATGGCGTTGGCTTCGAAACTCGACGAAAGCGTAACTGCGAGACGGTGCGAGACATATTGAGCGTAGGTGATTCTCGGAATCCGAAACATCGAATGATATCGCAGCGCAGAGCGGCGAATACGAAGACGAAGGAGACTCGCGAGTGACTAATCGAATTGACGAGACAAGGCAGCAAGGCATCGCAAGGCAATCGTCCCTCGAGTCGCGTTGACTGGACAGAGGTGAAGAAAACAAAAATGATAATTACACTTACGGGTTTGAACTGGCATGAGGGTTACGTGGGGCCGGAACGTCACAGCGGACCAAAGGACCGAATCTAAAAATGAAGAGGAAAAAATAAACATTTTTTTTGACAATGATAAATTGAAGGTCATCGATAAAGCTCACCGTTCAAATTCGAATGCAAGGTCGCGTGCCCTAGTAGAAGGATGAAATCCACTGACAAAGAGGATGCGCGGCATGTTTGAGTGTTGAGCAGATGGTCGTGGTTTGGATCTAAGAGGAGCTAGGGTTTGTGCGGAGTGTGAACTCGTCATATGTGTATCTATTTGGCTTGTGGCGAGCACAACCATCAATTTTGAGATCAAAGACTTAGTTGGATCAGAGGGTCTTGACACCAGGTATGCTTCCTGTCGACAGTTTCAAATGTTATTTTTGATGATTTTTGTAGATGCTGTTCGCGTATGCGGTATCTTGTCTTTTCTCTTTATAGACGATCATGGCAGTCTGCTTCCACTCGACTCTGTCAGAGGACCTATTCCTCTCTCTCCGGCAGTAAACGCCTCGTCAACTTCGCAAAGCAAGCTTCCCTCGTCACAAAGGACCCTGTATGGGATCTCGTTTCTCTACTGAAACGCGAGCGCCAAGACGAACAGATATGTGGTGCTTTGGAGAGCTGTAACATATCATTCCTCGATTACGTTCTCTGGAAACATGTGGTGCATTCACCCAACTTAAACACAGCAATATCTGCAATACAGCAGAATCAGGGCCTCGCAGGTCAACTCCCTGCAGATGATTCTGCCAATGTGCGTCAACAGACGTTGCGGCTTCCCGCGTGGGTTGCTTTCTCTTTACTCTGTCACAAAGTTCAGGACTGCGCAGGATGCGCAGGATGGTGTGTTACGTCTTATATTTGAGCACTCGTGGTCCCTTGGCTCTAAAGACCGCCCTGCACTATTGATTTTGTCTACGCACGCGCTCGCTCACTTCGACATTCTTACACCGATGCGGGAAATCGTGGAGCAGTTCCTCGCACGTATGATTCAGTTTCCTACATTTCACTTCAATGCTTTTCTCCACGGCCTTTCTGGTTTCACTCGTTCAGAAGAGGCAGCCAATCTTGCTGTATCTGTACTCGAGGCAATGTCAGCACGAGAGGTGCCGTTATGGCTTGAAACATACAGGTCGCTGATGCGAGATCGCTTTGTCACTCTCCAATTGACCAAGGTCCTCCACACGAAGATGGCCCATGAAGGAGTTGTGCCAACCGCAGAACATCTAGAGGCTTTTCTTCGCATCTTTTCCAAATACGGAGCCATCCAGGATTCACAAGAATATCTCCGTGCCATCCGGCGATACTGTATAGAGCATAGCTTAACAGTACCTTACGGGCCGGATGTTCACCTCCATAACGCTGATCTCTCAGGGACGGCGCACCCTGCAAACACCCTATATATCAGATCTTTGCGGCATGACCGTGCTTCCGCGTTTCACTACCTCCATAAGCTTCTCCAGCTTGATGCTGCCCACAACCTTGAACCCGTCATGTCCGTCCCGGGACCTTCGTCTCGTCACGCATCTACAAAGTTCTGGTCTGGTACAAAGACCAGCGTGGACGTCTTTGATTGGACGACTGCACTCATTTCCGCAGCAAACGACAAGCAGACCTCCACATCTACCCTTATCGCGCTTTTTGAGCGCGCGCGCGAACGGACGAAGCAGTTCAGACCTACTGTTGTCACATATACTGTTGTGCTTCGTGGCTTACTCTTTCGAGGAGCTTTCGACGAGGCTTTGAGGATATGGAATCAGTTGATCGATTCCGATATTCTGCTTGATCGCAAGGCGCTGACTGTGGGTGTGCAAGTCCTTACTCGTGCAGGGCACCCGCAGGATGCCTTCTATCTTCTGAATTCGTTCATGGACGCACAGCGCACTTCTTCACATACAGTTTCCCTTCCAAATGACAAGCATATATCTCCAGCAACCCATCATTGGATAAATATCATCGTCATCAACGAGTTCATGGTCTCTTTACTGCGCATTCGCCGCCCAGACGTCATCTTCCAGCTGTGGGACCATCTCGAACAGCTCTATTCTGTACTCCCAAACGAAGTCACATTAAACATCCTCCTCAAAGCTGCCACGCTCGCAACCAAGATGGATAATGAGTCCGTACGGGGGACGTTCGCGCACCTATTTCACATGCCTACAGTAGAGTCCAGCAGCCCTATTGACTTGATTATGGAACGGCTTCAGTCTGCACATCCGCCGCCAGTCGTTGGAATCTGGAAGGCCCGCCGCGCGAGTGATGTAGCTCGAGACATTTTCCGCACTATGATATATGGAAATTGGAAGCGGCTCCTAGATGTAAAGGCGCCCGCTTCTGTCGTGCACTCCAAGGACGCCACGGCTACCCCTCTTTACCCGTTGGTGGAACTAGCCAAAAGCATTACAGTCCCATTCTCCACGCGTAAGGAGCGTGATGCGCAACCGAAAATCATTACCGCGGATGTCCATTCTCCCGAAAAGAAGTCGTACCATCCCTATCTATCTATTGTACCCACCGACCTGACCTTCTCAGCCTACATCCAGCTCCTGGGTCTCACCGCGCGCGCGTCAGAAATTTCGCTTGCACTCGCGTGGATGCGCGCGCTGCAGATAAATCCCTCGCGGAAGACATTGTCCATTGCGCTCGTGTTCTGGGCTGAGGTATCCTTGCGCGGACCGTTGTTTGAGGAGTGGGCGGAACGACGAAATAAAGGGGAGAGTGAATATGGGCGGCTAGTTAGGTGGATGTCTGAGTGGGTCGGGGAGGAGGCTCCGACAGAATGGGACATACAAAAGGCGTTGAGAGCGGTGGCCAAGATGAGAAACAATTCTTTTGGTCCATCATGATGTACGATATTCCCCATCTAAATCTCGCATTTGTTTGTTGAAGTTAATGCAGCAATCACTAAGCTCTGAGACACCCGACAATCATTCATCTCACAGCATGCGGGTTGCGCAAAGACACCACAAGAAATACAAATCACTAGTTGGTAGATTGTCCGTAAATCCCGAGCGAAAATGAAATAACGCAGGGAGGAATGATGGATTGGCCAAAGTAGGGAAACCGTTAGTAAGCGGAGGAAATGATCACGGACCCTATCCCGCACATACTAACAGTTTCTGTCTATCAGGAATCAACGTACCGGGAAGGTTCCATTGCGAACCGAGCGGAGGCGGTCGAGTCGCGACTTCGACATTTCAGCACCTCAAGCCAGGCCAAGAAAGGAGCCAAAAGAGTTATTTGTCAAGTGGCCTGTCAACAGATGGAAACGACTGTCACGGCCTGAGAAGGAGTTGGTATAAGTAATATTTCAATAGACATCAGAGACAGACTCACCGCCGAGTTACCGGAGTTGCAGGTCAGAGAAAAAATGGAGAAAAACAAAAAGTGTCGCTCACAAAGAGGACGGGGTTGGAAAAAATTATGGGCGCACTGCGCAGCAGCGACTTATGGCTCGGAGATCCAGAAAAATCAACGCCTCAAAGGACGAGTACAAGAAACTTTGTCAGTTAATGACACCCTCACATAGTCGTGGTCATTCTCGTCGTCCAAGTCCAGATATTAATTTTGTACCGGTGTGGGTTAAATCGCGTTGTCGACCTCGGCTCGTGAGCATCTTGACGAGGAAACAGACTTGGTTTAATGATGGCAGTGTGCCACGATCGGACTGGGGACTCTGAGTGGGCGAGCAGGGTGGAACGTCAGCCATACACCTGCAACTTCAACCTGACGCGGAGACTGAGCTCGGCGGGCATCATTAGTTTCATGAACAGGGGACCCAAGTTCCACATCCCGAGCCACCCACAAAGTCCCGACGTGAACGATACCGACCGCCAATACCTTATAGATGGCATGATATCAGTGGCGGGGCCCGAAGACGAATAAAAGCAGGGCGTACTCCTCATCTCGCGCCCAAGCTCACCGAGCAACAAAAGTGTTGGGTCAACGTGGGTCGGGGTGGGTCAGGCGATCCAGGCTCTGTCCCTGTGCTATCACGGTCCACGCCGCGAACGACGTCCGTGGTGGTCAGAACCTCGAGTGTTAAACATTAAATGTTGATGTCCATTAAACAGGTAGCTGTAGGCGTGGACAAAAAGTAGCGTCAGTGGTGAGGCTGGCAGGTGTGGCGGTAAGACATACTAGCAGCTGTTGCGTCCTGTGGATGTCTCATGCCAGACCCTGGGTGCGATGAGGATTAGTCGCCTACTACATAGACAGTGAGCTCGAGACCGTGACATACTCTATGGTGCTGAGCGTGGAAGATAAAAGGCAAGGCTGGTGATACGACGAGTGTCAGAGGATGCCAACGCCGCGGCATGTACCTCGCAATCACATACCTTAGTCGAACATCCTGCATGAGATGAGGAAGTCGAAAGCTACGTGAAGATGAACGGTTGGAAGAAAGGGCGGATGAAGGAGGTGAGGCAGAACCAAGGGAGTTTATATACCACAGGCGGCAAGCGGCTGACGTTTAATAGAATAACTGTACTGTACAGGGGTGAATTTGCCAAATACGGAATTAGGACGATAGGCATCGACGTCATCAGTAGCTGCACGCGATGGTAGACATTTACGCCAAATGTTTCCAAAGTTGTTTCTCCCCCAAATGTATGTCTGCTCTGCATTTCAAAAGAAACTGTAACCTCAGCCTCCATGGTTTCCAGAGACGTCTTAACTGCATACGCATTGATAACCACATGGACGCATATAGGCACCAAATGATGGTTTTTTTCGGTCGGTCAAGCTTGGAAATCTTCATTAGTAGGCAATGCAGCAGACGAACAGCATCAAGCCTAGCATTCGAGCCAGCACAGGGTCAAACATGAGCATATTATCACCAGTAATTTCATAGTATCACTCCAATACTTCTGGGACCTATGTCGCTTGATGTCTCACATAACGCCCAGTGACTGAATAATCGGGGCTATGTCCATTCTGCGCTCCAACAAAGTAGAAAGTCGGAAAGTGTTCTTGCGAGAGCATGCTACTACGGCGGCTTCAAGAAAGCGTGAATGGTGACCGAGCGTGCATGTTGGAGAGGCCAAAAATGCTGGCATCGTCTTACGAAACGTCGAGGTGAAATTACTATGTAATAGGCCTCCAGCTGGCAGCACTATTTGTGGTGTTGATTCATAATGTTGCCTCGGCTGACCAGTGAGCCATATGGAAGCGCTCCACGTCATCCATAATTAAATAACTGGCACCATTAATATTCTAGATCTGTAAGAGTTATGATTAGCCTGCGCTCATCGATCTGTACACGTACTAAATATTAGTATCGTTATCGTGTGTGTATGTGCTATATATCCTGACCACCATGATGATTATCGTCAACACATGCTAGTGCCTGGTGTACGTACTAATGACACCATTAAGCACAAGCCCGGTGTGCGGATCTCGCAACGACGACGACGCCGTTATTGTTGTTATGTCGAATGTCCGTGCACTGATAGGCTCGTTGGAGCCCGTTGGCTCATGGAAACGTGCTGGCTGTCCCTTTATGTGATCAGGGGTGGCCAGCGGTGACCCTCTACTTCCGCTAAGTTAGTCATCCTTGGACAAGGGCTAGATCAATTCATTGCGGTCTACAACCCTGCAAAAGCCCTGCATTGGCATCTTGAAATATCATTGAACTTTGAGGCGTGCGCCATATACTATGATTTCTAAGGTTGAGCTCGGGTGTTTTTGTTTCCGAGATGACCGCTTGAAACCAACCCTGACCTCAGGTGGATACAATACGTGGAATTGGAGTAAGCGCAGTTTCTTGTAATTGACGTGTACATAAGGGTGCAATGTCATGATACCATCTAGGTCGTGTCATCAATGAGTATGATGAATTGGCGACACGAATAAGAAAACATGTGTATACTAACAAATGAATGTGCAGAGAGGGATCACGCATACTTAATGTTACAAAACGTATCTGAAGTCCCTGTTTTGCCTATCTGTCAAATCCAGGAATTCCTAGTGCAGACAGGGTATCAGCCTTGTATACAAACCACAACCATTGATTCGGAGAACCCACCTTGTCGACCTTAACTTCTACACGCTTCCCATCCTCAGTGATTCTCTCGATAACGTATTCTTCCTCGTCGTCAACAGGCTCAGCGTCACGGAGTTTGTTCTCTCGGGCAAGAACGGCACGGATGACAAGGAGAAGTACCGGGCAGACGACGTAACATGCACCGATCACAGCCCATGGGACGTGGTTACTGCACATGAATCATGACTCCTTCCTTCCTAGAGTCACTCGAATAATAACCTACCGCGGCTTGTATTGTGTCTTCCACATGAAAGGGCCGGCCGCATTGCCAATGCAGTATGCCGAGAGCATAATGGCGTTAGTAACAACCTGCAGGTTGGTTTTGACTTGAGGGGCGACTTCCATAAGTTGCAGAGCACCTACCTTCTTCGTATGGCCAGCAGTCACACTATTGAGCCACGACAACGACAGCACGAACCCAGGTACACTGCACCCAGCTATGGAGCAATGAGTACACAAACACACTCCAGGTATCAAACGCACTCAGGAACTGGCCGATCAGAAGTCCAGTCTAATATTGTGTAATGATGGATATTGAGGTCAAGATCACGGAAGTAAGCCACATACCCGATTCGACCAAGGTAATAGGTTGACCAGCAAGATGCCCAACCACGCCGGGACGAAGTACACAGCACCAACATATGCTCTGGAATTGGGCCGTCGTGCAGCAATCCGAACACCAGTGAAGATTGTCAAGATTTCAATGACACCAGGAACACAGGACAATAGAGTCGTCTGTAGAGCATTGAATCCGAATGAAGCGAGGATGAGTGTTTGCTGGTTTGTCAATGAGTTAGGCACATTGTCCAAAGCCGAGAAGAGGGCAAAGAGCCATGTCTTATAGTCAGTCAGGGCTTCGATCATCCTAGAGATGTGTAGTACGTGAGTCGTGAAATATCACAATTGCATCTAATACGTACTGCTCCTTCTTGAATCTTTTGTTTTCTACGCCTGTTTGGTTTTCCTGCGCTAATTGTAAGATAAGAGCTCATTCATTTCGTTTGACAAACATACTTTGATGCGTTGCACGGCTTTCGCCCGCTCGTCAGGAGTGAGGAACCAAGCGTTCGTAGGTGAGTCGGGGAATAAGAACCTTTCATCCGGCGGTGATGCCTTAGTTAAAGGGGCAAGGCACTAGAAACCTCCACGTACTCACCAGAATGAAAGGGCCAGGACCAGTGTAATTAATCCAGTGATGATCATGAGCCTGCGATCTATTAGACAGAGTATGCGTAGTGAAAAGGGATGCCCGACCATTGCCACGGTTCAAACCCTTTGGTACTAATGTGCAAAGTACCAAAGCTGATGAAACCAGAGATGATTTGTGCTAGAGAGTTGTTGGCTTAGGCGGCAACATCAAGCGTTGCATTTTTGTAAACGCACCAGTGCCATTCATGAGGACTAGGCTCCCCACGCGTTTGATTAGTTGACCTGCCGATCATTTGCGAATTGGAACTTACACCAATAACCAACCCGTAGGGTTTGTTCCGTCCGCGTGTAGAACATGGAGCTAACGATCAAGAACCCGGCAGTGATTGACCCCTCACATACGCCTAGCAACAGGCGCACAACAAGAAGCCCAGCAAAGTTTTTGCACGCTGCATGAGATGCCAGTGCAACTGCCCAGACGAAGATGTTGATACTGATGCATGCTGTTATTGAAATTCATATTGATAATGCTTTGAAGCCTACCTCATCCATTTCCCGACCGGGAATCTTTGGAGGGCAAGGTTCTGGGGATACTCAAAGACAAGATAACTGAGGTAGAACACTGTGCCAAGCCTGGAAGATACCGTAAGGCACATGTAAAATTGAGTAGTGCATATCTTCTCACCAATTGTACCTGAAGACAGTTTCATTTCAGACTTGAGCTTCAACTCCAAGATAAGAACGGCTTACTCATTCGTAGTCAGGTGGGTGGCCTGCCTGATAACACACAGAGTCAGTACCGGTTTGGCTAGTCTCGAGACAGTCCTTACTCAATTCCAAGGATAGCCGCAGAACCCAAGGTTGTCTTGTCCATGAATTGGACCCTGCGTGAGTGAGCGCTGATTCGTGGTGAATACAGTCAACCTACCAGTAGAGAACTGGGCCGTGATTGTCAAACACGATCATTATCGATTCAAACAACTGGGTACTCACCACACATCATAGGCATGATATGTTTGTCGATCTTCTTCCTGAAACGAACTCGAACGATATTGATGTGGATGCAGTTTCACAACACACCTTATTCTCAAAGCCTCATCGGGATGAAGAGTTGAAGTTAATCCAGCGACGAGCTGAGCACCAGTGTCAACATCCTTGGTCGACAAAGAAACTCCTGCATGATGTTTCTGGTCCTTGAATACACCGGAGGATTCCAGACTCATTTTAGAGGACGTGGAGGCGTAGCCGAACTGTGAACTGGGGAAGAAGCTGGAAACCGGCGCTTGGAAGTCGGACTGTCAGAGAAGTTGATTCGCCTATTTTATGTCGCCCCTCCATGCGCACCCTAAAGCTTGGCGCATCGTTGACGTAGATAAGGAAATATATGGGTGTATGAGTGTGCCTGGTTCTGGAGCCAGGTGAGTGTGGTAACATCCTAATCTCTTGATTGGAAGGATATCACGAGAGCGTATGTACACGAAGGCGACCAATACGCAGCAACTTTACATAAAATTATCATTCAAATCTCGGATCCAAAAGTGTCACCTGTCACCAGAAGGATTTGACACTTTTCTCGCAGGATAATTATATTACATTAATACCTGCATTAATAAATATGCTACCGCGGGGTACTGGTAGAGCGAATATTGGAGACTGGACTACCAGTTGTATATACTAAATTATATATACATATATGGGTCCATTTGCCGCTGAGTTGAACTCTATGTAATTGGAGTCTGGCCTCGGATAAATACTTACACCAAGTGTTGGCGCTGTACGCCGTAAGGTTTAGGTACGAGTCCCGTTTAGGACAGGTTTTCTGACACTGGTGCTCGGATCCTGGCAAGTGAACACGAACTACTAAGCCCTAGGCCTGAACGTTGCAACGGTCGCCTGTCGAGACTCGAGCCTGAAACTTCTTTCATTCACACTTAAACTCCCAAACCTTGTACAGACCTTCGAAAATTTCCGGTACGCCTGACTCTAGATGGCATTTGTCTTGCGCACTGAATTTCACGCGACTTCGTACATGAATGTAGATCTGGCTTAGCCGCAGCGCACATACATTTCACGAGTTTCCAGAGACGATAATTCAACTTCTGATAGCTGAACGGGTTTCCAACATGACATCCACCGTCACTGCGACCGCATCTTTGTTGCCGACAGCAACGGGGCAGCTCAGTACACAACCGCCTATCACGCAGATCATTCCCATACTTCGTGCGACATTCAGTCTTCTGCGCACTTTCTTGTCTCAAGCCTCACGAGTTGTGGTCGCGCTCGCCACTCCGTTACTCATCTTCGTGCCCCTTGTATCCCGCCTGCTTGCTCCGGTTATACTCGTCTTCCATATCGTATTAGACGCCACAGTCTACACCCCATACATGATCATTTCTAGCGTAGCTGCTGCACTCTACCCCCTCTATATGTTCTGTGGTGTCGCTTGTATCTTTGGGGCGGTTCTTGGCATTCTTGGGAGATCTTTGGTCACACTCTCGAACAACATCATTGCTCCCGAATTACCGAAGGCTGTTGAGTCGCTGCAGGGATTGTCGATGCGACCAAGGAAGAGAAGGAGAAAGAGTTCTTTCACGGAAGACTCATAGTCTTTTTTACTTTTACTTCGCTGTTCAGCAGATTGGTTGGGACTGTCAGGAATCTTGTAGAGCGCAGGCAGTCCGTCGGTAAAGTCTACCCGGAACCACTTGTCCATGATATCATATTTATGGCCTCAAGGATCCATCCAGGCGGATTGCATCTCAGACTTGACCGTCAATACTACAGTTCATCTCACACAGTTCGGAATAAGATAAAGCTGATACACTGAAGTACAGAGGTGTTGCTACTAGAGCCTAGTATTGACATCGTCATCCTATATTTATTCTTTGCGGTCGTCGGGATGTTGGTTACCTGCTCTGCGACTGCATCATCACATGCCTCAGATCATATACCGATCTAAAAGTAACTTCAGCATGATAAAAGCAGACATTTGCAAAATGACTGACCAATTTCGTCAGGGTGGTCATACGGATCCAAGTAGGAGTAGAGAGGCTCGTTTTGATGCGTTGTTCTGTCATACGTGTCGAATGCCCCGATAACCGATTTGATGGCCTGTGATGCAGAGGTATACAGATCTAAAACCAAGCTTCAGCACGGTCGAGAAAAGATATTGCAGAACAACCAACCATGTTCGTGGGGGTGGTGATGCGGATCTAAGTAGTGCAGTGCATCCTTCTTCAGGTTTTGGTACTCATCCATCTTCTGAACTTCCTCGCGTATCTCTCCTGAAAGTGTTGTTAGCTTTGAATCTTAGCATTAGGCGAGTACTTACTATGAGACGATAAAGATTCCAATGTGGCAGTCATGCGGAGAGCCTCGACAGGATAATGACTACTGAGCATTTCAGCCAGTATCTTGTCATTCTTGATGATTTCACCACGTAACAACTCTGAGGTTTTCATGAGCATCATTGTTACGCGACAGGTTGTCTTAAAACTCTCACCGTGACGCGCAATCTTTGCTAAAACATCATTGAGAGCCAGAATGTTCACACCCGTGGCTTTAAGACACCACAAAAGAGGTTCTATGATTCCGACGCCAACCATCGCCTGGCGTGCGTCCTCTGTATCTTAATCAGCGTACATTCTTGACAGCAATACGTAAGCCAACCGTGATCAGCGATAATGCGCAGGTAATTGATAGCACTATTCTGAACAGAGTCGAGCCGAGTTGTTTCGATCATCTTGCGCAAAATCCCAAAAACATTTGTTGGCTTATCGGAATCATCTGTGGCCGGCTTTTCGACCAGTCTGTGCGTCGTCTTCTTCCATACGTCGTTTGCCGCATTCAAGCTCTTGAGTAGCCGTCGACGTGCATCCTTGCCGCCGAAATTCCAAGAACCGTTATCGAATGACGGTGGATTCTTTGGCTTTAACATCATGGATCGCAAGGCGTCTGCACAACTCGTAAGAACCCCATAGACCGCAGGAATACCAAATTGCCAAACCATTTTTGAATATCTCCGCAAGGATGTCTATGCCCTCCCTTCCAACAGTTCCATCAAAAATGCGTCCCTCGATCATCTGCAGCAAATATAGGTCCACTTTAGTGTTCAGTATCCGTTCCTTGGCGTCGTCTGAACACAGCCCAGTCAAACTTGTTGACAAAATGTCTTGGAGCACTCACCATATTGCATGAGAGTCACAAGTGCATTCGCAGCGAATAACGCATGGTCTGGTTTCGCCAAATTGTCGACTATGCTGTCCAGGCCTCCTCTATCAATGATTCGTTTGCGAAGTTCATCTGAAACAAATATCAGTTTTCCTGGAGCAAAAATTTGACAGGCCGTACCATGTTTCGATAGCTGTGCGAGTTCCTCAGTCGCCTCGTTGCTCTTTTCCACTACTTTATCTCTTGAAAACGCAACTAGTTTGCCGATGTGCGAACCACGTGCGAGCTCGGTACGCACATCCTCTAAGTAGCAATTTATCTGGTAAGCAGGGTCTCCTTAGATGGTTTCAGATACGGACCGAATTCAGCGAGTGTCATTAAGCCACGTGGCCCACCGCTCAAACCTTGCTTATCGAACTCGAACAGGTCGATCAATGTGACGAGGATATTGCTGCGTATAGCTTCCGCACGGAGTTGATCTATGTTCAGAAGAGTGTCAGCGTTGATCACAGGAATAGGAAGGAGGCTTGAACCATTTCGGCAAATCTCGCATAATGCAGCTACTGCAGCTGGAGTGACATGGAAATCACGACGCTTTATGAACCTCTTGAGCATTCTGACAATCTCTATCCGCCTGGTGTCAGACAAGGCATCCTTCGGAATTCCTGAACACAAAATATCAGAATGTACTGATTTCCGCGAATCTATGGGGAACTAACCTTTGCTGGTCACAGCCACTAATATCTTTAATGCAGCAACGACAACGGTTGCGGCTGAGATGGAAATGAGGAAGAAGAGCGGATTGAGAGGCGAAGACTCACATTTATCCCTCAACATAACAAAGATAAAATCGGATCGTCGGGAAAGAATGTCAGATGTTTCATCTTTAGTTTGATCGTATATGAGGGAGTGGGTTTGAAACGAGTTAGAGGAATAATGTGACTAACCAAAGTGTTGGGCAAGATATGACAGTGTCTTCATCGCAATCAATTGGTTTTCACCGGCCGTCTGACAGAGCTCGATGATTCGATGGATTAGATCATCTTTGAGGAGCTTCGCTCTCAGTGCTTTGACTTCGCAAAGAGCCGGAAGAGCTGCACAGGCTCTGCCTTGATGCGCTAGTTTCTCATCTTTGAGCAGGGCGAGAATATCAAGACTGTCTAGTATGCTTTCCGTGATCTCGTCCTTCTTTTCGACTGTACGTCTCTTAGGGTGCGTCAAGGGAGCAATGGAGAGACAAGACATACCGAGCCCGCAGTACGCGACGACTGCGCTGAGGCGCACTTCAGGATCGTGTTCTTCTTCGGCCGTTTTATTATCTGTGGTCTCCTTGGAATCTGCCGGAAGAGAGATCCCCTCGTCTTCTTCTGAGTATTCAATATTCGCAGTACTTTTGCCGTGAATACCAAGTATGGCTTCCAGCGTCTCAAGTGGATCCACCTCCCGCACTGCTTCAACTCCGAGTTCTGCAATCCATAAGATCAGGTCAGTATTTCAAAATCATTTAATATCTCACTAAATGAACACATGAAGGCCAAGCGATCGACGTAATCAAGCATGTGCTTCTTGTGAATCGTGCCGACGAGAGCCTTGGCAGTCGAGCGGTTGAAAGGAACTTCCCAGGCATGAGTTTGTGCCAGCGGGCCTTCTGGTGACCGCAACCGCTCCTGCTGGTCGTTACCAACATGAAAGTAGATCGCCTCAGGCCATTGCTGGAGATTTCTCCAGAAACTTGCTTTCGACCGGTAATTGGGACGAAATAGAACCGACGCATGGACCTTTTGGCCAGGTGAGATGATGCGACCTTTTCCAACATGCGGTCTAGAAGTAATGTATGTATGAGCTGAATGAATAAATATGGTCACTTACAATGACGTATGCTGGTTGGAGTTATTGTAGTAAAGACGTCTGATAGGCAATAGCTCGAGTAGCCACCATCGAAGAGTTAACGAGTTATTCATCTTGGGTGCCTTCAAATCTTCAAATCTGAAAGCTACCTTTGGAGGATGGAGCACAAGCCCCGCCTCGAGAGCTTCTTCACGCATCCATAGTAATGGCATGTCTTGGAAATTAAGCACATTCGTCTTCTCCCTTTGTCCACCGCCTCTGGAACAAGTTGTCAAATAATAGCCTTCCGGTGCAGGGGATACATACACATCTGAATGACTACCAGCAAACCAAACCTCCTTTACGCGATCCTTAACACGATCTTCCGCATGATCTTCCTTGTGACGATATTCGTCCTTGGGTGGTGGCACGAACTGGGATTTCGGTCGATCGCTCATGCCTCCATAGACATACTCCGGTAGGAATTTCACCCTGCGCTCGTCTAGTGCAAGTGCATGGCGAAAGTAGCAAATGTGATCACATGTATCGGTGGACGGTAAAATCTTCTCCTTCCTGATACCAACAGACGAAACGGTGTCCCTATAAAATGTATTAATCATGGTGGTATACTTACTCGGGGATAATGCTCACCATACACCGATGAAATGTATTACTACGCCCTGTCTCGAGAACGTCGATCTGAATCCTTCCGCAAGCAACTTATCCTTGAGCTTTCCACTGTTGATGGCGGAGTAAAGCTCGAAGGCACTGCTGGCGTCAGCTAGTCAGTTAAGAATGATCATCAAATATACCCACTAGGGGATCTGTTCTATGTTGCCAGGTAATATGAGTCCCATCTGTCAAAAGAGTAATGAACAAGAAATATCATAGATCACAGATCGAAGTAGATGGATACTTCGTGGATCAGTCCTGCCAGTGCACGAACTTGGTATGCACCTCTCGAAAACCCTGGGCTTGCATTTTAGTACAGTTGACTACATGCAACGTCCAAGGAACTTGCCAAACAGAAAGATCTTATCACCAGGATTGTACGTGTCTGAGAGCCATCTGTAGGCGTCCATAATGGTTTGGCTGATATTACTTTACTGCGGTTACTACGAGTGATGAAAGGTCAAAGATACGATACTTACAATGCAAAGGCCAGATCAAAGACACTCGAGACCTGCTTCATCCAGTGTGTATGCCCCTTAGCATACGTTCCTACACCACTGTTGTAGTACGTTAACTGTTCGCGATCCTTGACCATCTCGCTATATAGTTCGACGATATTGGTGTTCTGAAAACGGATATTTATCGTCAAGAAATCAGAAGGCATGCGCATCGGACGACCTACTTTATCACCATACTTGTTTGATGTCCCGTCTGCAGACGTGAATAATCGCCATCGAGAACTGTAAGTTAACACGCCCACCGATGCAAATAACCAGATTTCTCCCTGATACCTGGTTCCCGGAACATTTACACGGCGCGTCAAGGACCTCAGATGAACTAGCAGACATTATGATCCTGGGTGAAGCAAAATGGTTAGCGACTCCTCAATATAGTGGGGTCTGCCGACTGGAATGTGCGAGATATTAGATGAATTCCTTTGCATCAACAACGTTTTATACTGTGCTGAACAGCGCATGCCAACGAAGGTGTGGTCATACAACAACCTGCGCATGAACTGCGTGTAGCCCACGTGGACACCGCACCATGGCCTCCTACAGAAGGACCATACTAGATCTATGAAAACTGCAGTATGATTGGGTGCAATAGTTCGCTAAGCACGCGTAATATCCTTAGCGATGCAACGTTGGGCGCTTTTTGTGAACGCAGAATGCAAGAGCCCAATCGGGAAGTGATGAATGGAAGATGGAAGATGATGAGGCTACATTGCGAGGCTACCAAAATCCTGAGATGGAAATGAAGTGGTTGAATGCAAAATCACAGGTTACGTACAGAATTTATATTAAATCATTTCACATCCCCAAACTCTTTTAAGCTAGAAGTGATTTTGTGGCTCACATGACTTGTGAAGCTCTCGAAAATCAATCGATCTTTGCCTTCAACCCAGGTGAACAGAAGCTCGCATGCAATGTCCCCTGAAGTATAAGAAGATGAGTGTTGGCGACATTCAACCGAACAACGCAGGACTGGCAAATCTTGATCTGCGCAGACTGTTTCTTGAAGTTTCCCCCTTCGTGCTGCGCGGGACCAGGTGTTACTTCGGGCATGCACCAGGATGGTAGAAGAATGGTCATAAATTGCAGGCGTAGCCGAAGATGTAACCGTCACGCCACTAATAAGTACGAGAACGTTTCGTAAAGCGCTTGCCAGAATGTTTGCAGATCGAGCGCCCGGAAAGGCGTGATGCAGCGTGTTTCGAGAAGGCATGATGTTCCGTAAGGTTGGATTGGAGACGCGAGCGAAGGTCTGGACAGTGATAAATTAAATAGCTTGCGTGATAGCAAAGTCAACGAAAAGTCATACATCAGGAACCCTAGCATCTTGAAATGACCAGCCAATGGCCCAACGACGAGTTTGACCCTGAACAAACTCTGTTATAACATAGTTGTCCACCTTGCGTCACCAAGTAAGATAGGAGACCGCGGAGTTCCGCAACGCACGCACGCTATGTTCGCGAAAGAGGGAAACAAGATCGGGAATAGATGACATCTTCCCAAGCATAGACGTGTACCACCTATGGGAACGTATCAGCACGTTTGAAGTCGAATTGTCGATATAATTAGGTCACCGGCACTTCGTCCTCAACTGTAGGCTTTCTGAGAAAATCCGAGCAACAAAGCTCGTTTCTCCCCCTGGTGTTATCATTTCCACTTCTGCTCCGGAGCAAACCTGAATCAATTGGTTAAATTCTCTTACATGTGTTGACACTGTCTTTCTCACTGCATTCGGACCAAACTCCTTGAATTCGGCTGAGCGCGAAACATCCTCGGCGCTGCTATAAAACGGTGGGTTACACATGGTGAAGTCAAAATTCATTAGACTCGTATGCAGTGGTTGAAGAATAGGCCCATCAGCTTGTACACGCTCTACAAAAATGCGATTGTCCATAGAATTCTGAGAGACGTTTTGTTTGGCGAATTGGACAGACCGCTCGTCGATATCTGAATCGTATGTCACTATCACATTTCGAAAGCATACTGTTATGGCGCTTACCGGTGGCTACGAAGTTCCAAGTATGTTCAATACTACAAGCCAACAACGGGTAGATTGCCGAGGCACCAGTGCCACTGAGTGATGTTTGCTTCACTACATTTAACCAGGAATAATGTGACGCACATGTCAAGCCCTCTGACGGTGGCGGAACCGCAAGTGAATTTCACTATGTCTTGTAGCCAAAGAACATAGTTTAATCTGTATATCAGATTTCCCGCGCTTTATTTAGTCTTCTTGCATCGATCTTCTAAAAGGTGAAAGCACCTGTTTGGCACCTAATGTGCATCTGGTGTGAGATGAGTAGAAGTACGCGGCAACAAGTCTCACTGGAGGGCAGAGTCTATCATCCGGCAGCGTTAATGAAAGGCCATAGTCAAGACGAAAGAGTGCTTCTGTTAAACACCTTCCCCCATTAGTGTACCGTGACAAACGGAGCTTGGATTTATCTTGACTCACTTTTGTGCAGGAAGGCTTTTGAAATTTATCGTACTTGATCCTGTATGATTGATGAAGACACTGGATAATTTCAGAATCTCTCTGAGGTTTTCGCCTGATAAACACATACTATGGTCTGAGGGGAGGGTAGCGCCTCGCAAGTTCAGTAAAATCAGGAGGTTTGTTGTACGGATTGCGAGGATGCATGTAATGCAATTCCCAAGAGCAACTTGAGAATGAGAGAGACCAAAGACAGCTCTGGTCGTTGTGGCTTTCAAGTTATTCTGAGTCTCGGCTCTGACCCAAATTACTAGCAGCTGACTAAGCGGGAAGCTGAGTTCCTCCGAGTTAGTGAGAGAGAGAGAATTTCTGTGTTTATATACCGCTACAAACTGTTAAGGGTGCCCGAAGAACTGTGCGACGAGTATGAGGTGTAGGTATAGTACGAATAGCCGTGAAGGGTGTGTGAGCTAAGAGCTTGACCGCAGAAGATTACCGGTCATTAATAAATTAATAACCGGTGAGGATTGCACAGGAATGGATAGTACTCTCTTTAGTTCAGGACCGAGGCTCGGCCGCGGCGAGCGGTTATCTGTACCTTTGTCCCGCAACTGTATACAGCTATGTTACCAGGTCAGCTGAATTTGGCCCCACCGCCGGCAAAGCCTGCACCGTAGGTCATACGTATTGTATCCACATGGTAATAAGTCACGCTCCGAACCTTCTCCCAGGGGACGAGCTCATTTATACTAGCGAAACCGAATAACGCTATCCCATACCTACAACTTGAACTCATCCCACCCTTACCCGAGGGCGCGACTGCACTGGCGAGAATGCCACGTCTGACCTTCGCAGTGCTTGGTGGTATACAGCTTCTTGCTAGTGTATCAGCTCAAACATGGTGAGCATCATTCACTTGGATACGCCGATCACAAACTTGTATATGTGGCCAACATTTTTGACCCCTTCCGAAGGTGTAATAAGAACTACATGGCTAGCCAGCCTGTTATTCCGCCAGGAGGCAACTTCCCCATTGCAGCTGCATCGGAAGACCCACTTCTTGCCTTCCGATGTGCGGCTGCTATAAAGCCTTACCTGGAAGAGGATGTAGGCACACCTGCAGGCGTCCTCATTGATTCACCCGTGGTGTACTCAGAGATAGTCGGGGCACAGCCAATTGGCCTCCCCGCTGGGCCTCTTTCCAGTGCGGGCAAATTGGATGTCACTGTGAGCCTGAACGGAAAGGACTCTCGTCAATGCGCTTGTGCCACTCAATGCTTCTGCATACGAGTTATCATTCAGCCTTGATGGGATCACTCCTCAGATGACCCCGTACAACCTCTCTTGCGAAGCCACTTACCTTGCAAGCAACTCAACAAGTTCATCATCACCTCAGACCTATAGCGCTTCAGCAGCTCTTTCTGTACTCCCTAATCCAACCAACAGCTCCGTGACTAAGATGGATTTGAGGACTGGAGCACTTCTGGCAAAGCCAGCAACTGGGCTGGGTGGAGAGTATGAGCCAATCTTTCCGATCGGCTTCTACACGACATTTGATGGATACCTCTCAACAAATATTTCGGCGGTCGATACGCTGAAGGAACAAGGGTAGGCCTCTTATGTTATCGTCCATACAAATCTGATACTGGCCTTTAGGTTTAACATTGTATGTTTTCCTAATGTTTGCATAGAGCAGCCGAGTGTTTAATTGCCAGCGCAGATTCATATTGTCCCCACATTCAATGATACGACCGCCTTTGATATGGTTCTCGATCGTATGCAAGAAGTCGGCATGTATCTCATGTACGATATGCGATACACCTACATGAACAACACTTCCGTGATGGAACAGGTAAACTCCATCAAGTACCGCCCAAACCTCCTACTATGGTACACTGGTGATGAACCAGACGGAACCTCGGACCCACTGAACGCCACGAGTATTGCATACGACCTCATTTACAGCCTGGATGGTTACCATCCTGTCAGTCTTGTACTGAATTGCCAGGACTACGAATGGGCCTCGTACACCGCAGGCACAGATATCGTCATGCAAGATGCGTACATGATTGGGAATAATGTCACCTGGTCCAATGAGTGGAACACGACTTGCACACCCGACTATGGTGACTGCGGTTGCGACAATTGCCTCAGCATTCCTGCAGGAGATAGCACTGCTGTTTCACCCAACTCCACCTATTACGGAAGCACCGTCCCCGCAAACAGCGGTATCGGTTCATACTTTGATATCAGCGACCGGGTTTCCAGCTTTAAAAATCGACTAGAGGTGATGGGATGGGAACGTACCAAGGCGGTATGGACCGTTCCTCAAGCTTTTGGCAGTGCGCAGTCAGTAGTCTTTATCACTTTGCTGTACCCGCTGTTATTGACTACACTCATCAGATATTGGATGCGTACTCCTACAGGCGAAGAATGGGTTGTTCAGAGCATCATGGGCATTAATCAAGGTGCTCTGGGTGTCATCCCCTGGGTAGATCCGAATCCCGAATATATCAAGATCGCGGCGTCCGCATTCGCGCTGAGCTTGCCGAAATTCACGTCATATATCTTCAACGCCGATTCGGTGCGGAGCAACTATATAATCGGGGGCGTTGACATTGCTACTTGGGCGGCAGGAATTGAGACATTCGTCCTCGCTACCAATACCGACTATGTCACCTCGGTGGTGACCTGGAAAGATATCGGACTCCCTGGGACTGGTGTTGAGGTCGTGTATACGAGTGGAAGTGTCGAAACAACCGGCGACAGTTTCACGTTTGGTAGTGTGGCGTCTGCGGCCTTCGTAGTCTGTTCGGGATAACTTCTAGGGTTGGATGTAGATAACAATGGACAAACATTCCACACTACGAAAGAACCAGGCAGTACGAGCTTGATAATTAGAAATGCTGTGGATCACATAATATGGACTCCACTCAAATGACACCCGCCGCCAAAGAAAATGGAACACATGCAAGTAGTATTCCGAGTCTGATAAGTTATGACATTACAAACTATATCTAGATCTATAGCTCCATAACATGTGTATAACGTGCGACACCCCTAGGGCGCCGATTCTGTCCTCGTTTTATACGAGTTCGATCGTTGGATATATTGGTATTCCACAAGCTCGTGTACGTATGATGGTCAACGAGGTCGAGACATGTTTCCAATGCCGTTCGAAAGTAACCCATGTCTGAAAAGCGAGATGAAGTTAGCGAGAGGGTTTTGAAAGAAAAGGCACAGGTAAAAAGGTCAGATGTTTCATATCTCGACATGAATGTTAAGACAGGGATAACTGAAAGATAAAAAATCTCATCATAGAAAAATAGCACCGCTAGGTGTAAATGTAATATCGGGCTGAATCGAAGTGCTTACATTTGATCCAGTAAGTTCGGTGCGATCATGGATTGATGACCGGCATTCGACAAACTAAGACGGGGTAAAAAAAAAAAACTGAGAGCTTCAAATGGCTTGGATAAAATAGTCTCTACAAGTCGGTTTGAAGTAGAGTGAACACGTGAGTATTCACTTCAAAAGCGACAAACTCGTGGAAGGATAAAAACTGCAGATGAAGAGGAAATGGGGACATTTCTGAGACATGGTTGACAGTGGACACGTTGAAAAGTTGAAGAATCTAAAAATTGTTGTCTTTTGAAGTGGCAAACAAGTGGCAAACACTTGTGGGAACCCGGCGGCACAGCTTCGCATGTCAATTTCATTCCGAACCCCAGCGTTTTGTTCCCAACATTGTCACGGTGTTGGCGTTGATCATGATAAAGCTAACGCAGAACTCACCGGAGGCAAAAGCAGGAGGACTATCGCTCTCAGTCGCCTGTGATGTTATGTGCACCTTTTAACTTTTGCGCACGATCTGCTTTCCCTCATGACGACTAAACTCGGACACCCATATATGCTACGATGTAGCACCGCTGCCAGCAGTGATCTTGATGTAATTTCCGATGCGGTGGATGAAGCCGTCTTAATTATCGCAAACTTGGCATGGAGCCGCCATCGCGGGTTCACGGAGGTTCACAACTATGGCGTTCCTGTTATATAGCTGCCCTGAACCTCTGGACAAGGGATCACATTAGCACACAGCACCGCAACAGGATGATCCTGATTCATGATGCAATGATTCATTAGCACATAGAGCGCTGCTGCACAGCCCGGTCGCTCTGATTACCTTTTCTGACCTTGGCAAACAGTCAGGCATTGTATAAGTCGTGATGAGCTGATCAGTGACATCCCGCATCAAATTTCGAATTTTCTGCTGGCTATGGTTGCTTCCAGTATGGTTCGAGGTTCGCTCGGTCAGAGCACGACATAATACCTATGATCCTGCACCTTGCTTACTGTTTTCGAAATCTTTCCAGGTGCGGAAAGAATTTATGGTAAAGCAATCTGCAGTACCCCCTGGCGGACAATTTGTCTTGCCCACGCAGGGTGCTGAGCCACTTCTGTCATTCCGCCGTGCTCCCGCCTTCCGGGGCCCATACCTCGAGAGGGGTACAAAGAGTGCAGCATTTGTAGTTGATACACTAGCTAATTTTTTTACGATTGGATCACCGGTGCTGAGCGTATCTCACTTCGTTCTGGCTCCACTGACTTGGGAAGTCTCTGTGTCACCATTAGCTTGGCTCCGTACACATCATCGCAAACGTCCCTCTGAATGCCACTGGCGTTCAAATTCCTGTTGATATTAGCAATCTTGAGGCCCAGAAGACTGCATATAGGTGTCAGCTGCTCTGCTACATATTCTGCCCCTTCGTCTTCGAAGTTCCAGCCTGCAATGAGTAGACACTCGACACGAGTGCATCTCTCTGACAGATGCTTCCGTCACAAAAGCCGACTTGCGCACTGGTGCCTCTGGGGTGCGGCCTCCAAGTGACGAGGGTGGATTATTTGCTCCCTTCATCCCTCAAAGATTCTACATAAATTTCGACCAGCATCTGGCGAAAAATTTGTCCTTGATCGATCAGCTGAAAGCCGATGGGTTCGTTTTGCATTGCCATTACCTTTTAAACAATCGTTCAATTATTTTCCAGGTTTAACACTGTACGTTTCGCGATTATATGATATACCCCGTGCTGAGCGTTTACACCATAGCTTCACCCAATTCCTCCTCATAACAACTTCACTATTTTCCAACAAGTCATCGACAAGATCATCAGTGCCGGTATGTTCATCATTTATGATCTGCGACTGTATGTGAAACTTTGTGACCTCATCTCGTAATTATTGAATCTTTCTATTCAGGAACTACCAAAACCTTGACCGCTGTCGCCCAACAAGCGAACGCCTACCTCTCGATTTCCAACCTATTGAACTGGAAAACCGCACACGAGCCCGATGGCAACTCTGGCCCAGAAAATGCGACGCGGGCAGGGTACCACTTGACATACCAGATGGACAGATATCATCCTATGTCTCTAGTATTGAATTGCCAAGACTACAACTTCTCGACTTGCGTCAAGGAGACCGCTATCGTTCTGCAGGTGAGCCACCAATATGATTTTTATCATGTGCTCCAATCCCTGTTGAGATGCTTATCCCATTGAGTACCAACGCCACATGGTCTCCTGTGTGGAATACGAGTGTAACCCGGACTTCGGTCACTGGTTGTGACAACTGCCAGGGGGACGTGTGCGATATTAAAGCCTGCATCCAGACTGTTGAAGTCCGAACGATCCGAAGAGAAAGAGAGTGAGGAAGCCGAAGGATCCAACATGATAGGTACGAGCGAGAGAGAGGTCCGAGCGCATGAGGCAGACGGGCCAATAGGCTGTGCCCAAATGACATCAGCTTGCGCCCTGCAATATACATATGTCAGAAAACTTCACCTTTGCATTCCTTACTTACCTTCCTATAAAACCAAGCACCCATCAGACACGCACATCTCAGTTCTAGTTGAAACTGAGATGTGAGTACTTGGAAACATGTATGTCAGCAATTACTGACCAAAACCATAGTGTACCTTTGTGTTCTAGGTACTATACATGTTAATATGAGTTCTAGTTGAAACTGAGATCGTACCTTTGTGTTCTAGCTCCCTCTCCTGTTGTTCACTTGCCTGTTCTCACAACAGGTTATGAGCCCTGCTACAGCCATGGAAATCACGCTCCCCTCCTCCAGCTCTGCCCTATTCAACATCCCAAAGCTAGCCAAAGATGGTAGCAATTGGATTACCTATAAGGAATGAACATTAACAGCAATTGGTGCGAGAGGTCTGATGCGGTTTACCGATGGATGTGCAGTATGACCTGTTCCCTACAAGGTCAACAAGAGGACCAAAACTCCTGAAAAGAAGGATGGCAGTGAGCCAACAATGGCAGAGATCGAGACTCTTGATAAGAAGATTGATGAGTACGACCAGAAGGACTCACTAGTGAAACAGCAAATCTTCAGCCCCATAACTGATAGGCTGCTGCTGCGCGTGCAGAAGCTCAAGGCCACTTCGGTGATTTGGGCTGAGATCTGTGATATTCACGAAGGGAAAACCGAGCTCGTCCAGATTGATCTGAGGCGAAGGCTTCAGGAGACCAGATGTGAGGAGAATGGAGATATAAAGACTCACTTTAGCAAGATGCTTCGGCTCCGCGAGTCACTGGCAGGCATGGGAGCTGCCATTGAGGAGAAAGACTTCTATGCCATGATACTGGCGTCCCTCCCAGAATCCTATCATCCCCTACTCTTGTCCATTAGCACGGCTACAAAGATAACCGGTGCATCCATAAGCTCCTATGAACTAATCAATATTGTCTCAGAGGAATATGAGCATCGACAACTCACCAGTCAGTGACCTACCAAGAAGGGACCCAATTCGGCCCTATCAGCAAGAGGACCTCTGGGAAAAGGGAAGTCCTCGTCCACCTCCTCACCATCCAACCTGGACGCAGTTTGTTATAACTGCGACCGAAAAGGCCACTACAAAAGTGATTGCTGGAGGCCAGGGGGAGGAAAAGAGGGTCAGGGACCAAACCAGAGAGGGAAGAGGGGAGGACATACCCAAAAACAGAGCGTGAATGCTGCAAAGGAGTCAGAGGGCCAGGAGAACTATGCTTTCATGACAGACGACCTTGCCAACATCGCCCAGAGGATGAACATACCTCCTGAACACCATGGAGCCATAGTAGACTCCGGTGCAACCTCCCATTTCTGTCCTGACAGGTCAAAGTTCTTGAACTTTGTCCCTATCGCCCCACAAGACGTATTCACTGCGAATGGGTCAGTTCTCAGCACTACTGGCAGAGGAGACGTCAAGATAGACTTACCCTTGGGGACAAAGAGAACAACTGTCACCCTGAAGGATGCATTATATGCCCCCTCTATGGTGTTTACCCTAATCTCGACCAACAGAATTGCTTTGGCCAGATTAGCAGTCCTGTTTGAAGGCAAGATGTGCCAAATCTTGTCGAAGGGGCCCAAATGTGAAGTCATCGCTGAAATCCCGCAGCTTGAGGGTCTGTATAGTGTGGCCAGTCAGAAAACACATCACGCTCATGTTGCAAGGGCAAAACTTACCTTGGCCAAGGTACATTGTGCCCTAGGCCATATCTCCCAGAAAGCCATCCTGCAAGTTGCAAAGGATCAGCTCGTCGAAGGTCTGGATGTCAACCTCACCTCCCCTACCGAATTCTGTGAAGCATGCACAAAAGCCAAAGTGACTCGTCAGCAATTTCTGCAAGAGTCAAAAATGTGCGCACTCACCTACAGGGAACTTGTCCATACAGACTTGTGGGGCCTGGCGCAGACTACCAGCCTCAGCGGTGTGGGAATCATATTTCAGCTGGCCAAGCTGCTGAGTGGAGAGCAGTATGTTCAGCCCATGGGATTCTGACTTGGCTCAGTGCTCAGAGAGTAGAAATTATCATCAAAAGGGACTGTCATTCAGGCTGGTACTGACACTAGTGAAAGAGATACATGCTTAAGTAAGCAGCAAAAATGCAAACATAAGCTAAAGAAAGTGAGGGTAGGTAAAGGTAAGTAAAGTAAGTAAATCTAAGCCCAAGGAAAACTTGACTGTCACAGCGGCATGACCTATTATATTAGTTTCACAGATGATTACACCTGTGAAACGAAGGTCAAGTTCCTGAAAGCTAAGAGTGAGGTGTTGGAGGCATTCAAGAGGTATGAGGCGCACCTTACTCATCAAAACCCTGGGACGTGTCTATGAAAAGTTTGATCAGACTGTGGAGGGGAGTATCTGAGCGCAGAGTTTGATAAGTATCTGTTGGACCAGGGGATCGAGAGACAACTCACTGTCCACGATTCACCCCAGCAAAATGGAGTGGCTGAGCGCCTAAATAGGACCCTGGTCGAGCTCACTAGAGTGATGCTCATAGGACGAGACCTCCTGAAGTTCCTGTGGGCGGAAGCAGTGAATTATGCTACCTGGTTAAAGAACCGCTTACCCTCAAGTGCCATACCTGGCGCTACTCCTCACCAACTTGTCCATAGGGCGAGACCCAACCTGTCCATGGCCTGGGAGTTCGGATCAAAGCTGTATGTCCACCAGGCAAATGCTGGAAAGCTTGAACCATGCGCTGAGGAGGCCGTTTTTGTCGGGATTGACACAGATAGCAAGGTGTACCGTGTATACTGGCTGGCAAAAAGGCGAGTCTCCATTGAGTGAAACGTAACGTTTGTGCCGCCTGACATGCTTGTTGACCAGGATGTGCTGAACAAGGGGGAGTCAAGACCTATAGAAGAGGAGATGAGTACTGATAGCAATGCACCTAGCATCCAGCCCATCCCGCTTACTCCCACTCCTACTCCAAATGCTACTCCAAATGCCCCAGAACCCAGGGAAAGCTGAGCCAGACCAGCTCCAGGGTACTATGCCCAGCTCCAAAAGGGCCAAATGGCAGCTGTAGCCATCGAATTCCTGAAGGACGCATCAGATTTGGATCTTCTAGATGAGGAAGCTCACATTCACTTAGCCTTAGCGACGGCTGAGCCAGAGCCCACCTTGCAGCAGGCTCTGAATGGTCCAGACAGTCCAGAATGGCAGGAAGCGCTAGACTACGAGATCAGTCAGCTGGAGAAGTTGGGAACATGGGACATTGTGGACTTACCTCGCGGATCAAATATTATACCCTGCCACTTCGTGTTAGCAACTAAGCAAGGCCCCAATGGTGAAAAGCTCAAGCTAAGAGTGTGACTTGTCGCGAATGGACAACATCAGCAATATGGCATCGACTACTTTGACACGTTCACCCCAACGGTGAATATGAGCACAATACGTACTGTATTAAGCATGGCAGCCCAGAAGGACTGGGAGATTCATCAGGTGGATGTAAAGAGCACTTACCTCTATGCAGATGTCAAGGAAGACATATATACAGTGGCTCAAAAAACTGTCCACATGTTTTGACATTTTTCACTATCTATGATATTGTGAGAATGAACAAATGCCTCAAGGACACGCTTATACCACATTGTAGTATGACTTCAGGGCTTTCATTTGAGCCATACACCGTGGGAATCTGTGGAGATATGGTGGAGACATAAGGCTTACAAAATCATGACTCATGCGGACAGTTTTTGAGCAAATATTAAAACTATATAAATCATCATTTATGACACCATAACAATCATGCCACCATTAAATAAATTATAAAGTGGTGTCATTATGTCATTTTAAAACCATATCTAACTATACAAACCAAAAATTTCCATATGTCATGGTTATATTCACCATGAAAGCCACCCCCCCTGCTCAAAGGGATAATATCCTCTCTCTTTTCTATTCTGGCCTCTCTGCTTGTCAAATTTCCTCTAGAACTGGAGTATCCAAGTCCACTGTGGCCAAGTTCATCAAAGAAAGTCACACAGACAAGGAAAACTTCTCTGAAGGGCATCCATCCAAGCTCACCTCTACTGATAGGAGGGCTATTATTCAACATATCACTACAGGAAAGGCTGATAATGCTGTCCAGGTCACCTATTACATCAATTCCACCATCACATTCCCTGTCTCTTCACACACTGTGAGAAACATTCTCAAGACAGCTCATCTCAGGTCAGTAACAAGGAAGAAAAGGCTATCCTCTCTATCACACATAAACAGAGATGACTAACCTTTGCTTTAGCCCATCAGAATTGGATTACATGGACTGGAAGCATGTTATATGATCATATAAGACCACAATAAATAGGATTGGGTCAGATGGCAAGGTATATATGTGAAAAAAGAAGGGTGCTAGTCCTCTCTGCATATGTGTGATAGAGAGGAAAGCCTTTTCTTCCTTGTTACTGACCTGAGATGAGCTGTCTTGAGAATGTTTCTCACAGTGTGTGAAGAGACAGGGAATGTGATGGTGGAATTGATGTAATAGGTGACCTGGACAGCATTATCAGCCTTTCCTGTAGTGATATGTTGAATAATAGCCCTCCTATCAGTAGAGGTGAGCTTGGATGGATGCCCTTCAGAGAAGTTTTCCTTGTCTGTGTGACTTTCTTTGATGAACTTGGCCACAGTGGACTTGGATACTCCAGTTCTAGAGGAAATTTGACAAGCAGAGAGGCCAGAATAGAAAAGAGAGAGGATATTATCCCTTTGAGCAGGGGGGGTGGCTTTCATGGTGAATATAACCATGACATATGGAAATTTTTGGTTTGTATAGTTAGATATGGTTTTAAAATGACATAATGACACCACTTTATAATTTATTTAATGGTGGCATGATTGTTATGGTGTCATAAATGATGATTTATATAGTTTTAATATTTGCTCAAAAAACTGTCCACATGAGTCATGATTTTGTAAGCCTTATGTCTCCACCATATCTCCACAGATTCCCACGGTGTATGGCTCAAATGAAAGCCCTGAAGTCATACTACAATGTGGTATAAGCGTGTCCTTGAGGCATTTGTTCATTCTCACAATATCATAGATAGTGAAAAATGTCAAAACATGCGGACAGTTTTTTGAGCCACTGTATGAGGGCGCCACCAGGATATCTGAAGGACAGTCAGGAGAGAAAGGTACTAAAGCTAAAGCGCAGCTTGCCTGGCTTGAAGCAGGCAGGTTTTGAGTGGGCAGAGGAACTAGCTGGAGCATTTCTGAAGATGGGTTTTAGCTGCTCCCAGGTTGATCAAGTGGTATATTTCAAACGTACCCCCAAAGAGCACATCGTCATCACTGTGTCGGTTGATGACATGGCTATCACTGCCAATCACAAGTCCCACATTCTCCGATTCAAGTCGAAACTTGGCAAATTCTTCGAGATATCCAACCTGGGCGAGCTATCATGGTTATTAGGGCTAAAGGTAACAAGAGATAGAGTGGGATGCACCATTACCCTTTCTCAAAAGGCCTACGTTGACACAATCATTGAGCGTTTTCATCTGGGGGACACTAAGACTGTCCAGACCCCCATGGAACCAGCCACCTCCCTGTCCATAGATCAGTCCCCTGGAACACATGCAGAGCTAGCTGCCATGTGAGATGTACCTTATCAACGAGCCATCAGCTCATTGATGTATGCGGCGACAAGCATGCGTCCTGATATCGCCTTTGTGGTAGCAACATTGTCACAGTTCATGCAAAACCCTGGAAGGGCACACTGGGAGGCTAGTAAGTGAGCTCTTCACTACCTAAAAGCCACTGATAACTTCGAGCTCACCTTGGGATCTACGGATGCCAGGATTGAAGCATTTGTCAATGCAGATTGGGCTTCGCAGCCACACAGGCACTCCATGAGTGGGTACATAGTACTCCTCAATGGAGGCCCAGTGTCCTGGAGCACGAGAAAGCAGCCCATAATCGCCCTATCGACGGCAGAAGCTGAGTACATTGCTCTCACCAGTGTAGCAAAGGAAATACTGTACCTTCAACTACTCCTTGGCGAACTCTACGAACCACCAAGTCTCCCCACCCCCATATTCTGCAATAACCAAGCTGCTATAGTGTTAGCGTCCACTGGAAAATTTCAATCACGTACAAAGCATATCAACTTGAGGTACCACTTCATCCGCTCACATGTGAAAAACGGCACCTTCGAGCTCCTCTACTGCCCCATGGATGATAACATCGCTGACACATTCACCAAGGCATTGCCCCGCCCCCGGCTACAAAAGCTACACACCCACATGGGTCTGGCATGCGCTCAAGGGGGAGTGTTGAAGTCTGAAGGATCCGAAGAGAAAGAGAGTGAGGAAGCCGAAGGATCCAACATGATAGGTACGAGCGAGAGAGAGAGAGGTCCAAGCACATGAGGCAGATGGGCCAATAGGCTGCGCCCAAATGACATCAGCTTGCACCCTGCAATATACATATGTCAGAAAACTTCACCTTTGCATTCCTTACTTACCTTCCTATAAAACCAAGCACCCATCAGACACGCACATCTCAGTTCTAGTTGAAACTGAGATGTGAGTACTTGGAAACATGTATGTCAGCAATTACTGACCAAAACTGTAGTGTACCTTTGTGTTCTAGGTACTATACACATTAATATGAGTTCTAGTTGAAACTGAGATCATACCTTTGTGTTCTAGCTCCCTCTCCCGTCATTCGCTCACCTGTTCTCGCAACACAGACCTACACAGGTAGGCTCAATATCTTGGGTTTTGACCACATGAAGTCTGTATGCACCATCTCCCAGACCTTTGGGAGCAGCGTGTCAATCACTATGAGTCGCCAATACAAGTTCCATAATGACTCTCATTGCAGATACTGGAACACAACTCCCACTGACCTGCAATGGGCAACTATGGGATTTATTTCCTCCACTTATGGTGCTATAGGTAAATTCATGCTGATGTCACATGCATGAATAAAATTTCATTCCACTGCCTAGGTTCCAGGTCCTACCAATACCCAACCACAACTGGTAATATCGAGACGATTGAGGGGACGGTGATTAACCTCAACGTTATCAGAAAACACATCGTTCAGCCCTTCATTGCTGACCCAAATGCCACATTTGCTAGTTACAACTACCAGGTCATGGATACCGGTCTCTGGTACAACGGTACTGTATGCTTGCTCATCATACCCAACCTGGGCAATGCACAGGTTCACATGCCATGGAACAAGACTGGATTGCCAATTACCACCAACGCGACAATGCAGTTACAACACATATGATCTGTTGACATGAATACCAACATCACTTGTCTGAGGTTTCATCCTGGAAGTATTGGCATTTTCACTGTGACGCCCTGAAGCAGTCATAGACTGAGGACCGGTGAGACCGGAAATCAATGGCCCTATCAGATTTAATATCAACAGCTTGTTTTTTATCTTAGATTACTGCATGCATCCACAACTTTCATGGAGTCAAGTATTGTGGGACTTCCTCTGAATGAAGACAAAAACTTGCTGTCGTTTGAATTGGACATCCCGGGGGCATCACTCATGCTCGCTCCCAACAAGGAACAAACGTTGGACTCGTAGCGGAGCCAGACCCTGCATTCACCACCGCGAGCACCTGCTGAACAATATGAGCTGCATACTCAGGCCCCGGACTGCTGTTGATCTTCGCTGATGCTCAAACTAGACTGTGTTGTCATCAGTTTGCTAATTGAATCGCGAAGACAGTATGGCCAGTTTAAGATTTAAAAAAAACGAATGCAGGATCCGCCGTAAGAAAAAGAGGTCTGTATCGTCATTCGTAAACTGTACCAAGTTACAATACCAGCCAACTACCTGGTGATTGCATCGCATCGGTACTGTTGAAAACAATACAGGGCGTGTCATGTGGCTTAGCTATGCAAGTTCCACGATGCTCTGCGGAAGTTCTGGCAGTCCTGGTCTGTCCAACGCAGCATAGGGTGAGCCAGAGTATACCTCCTCAACTCGTCTTCCAGGCGTAGTGTGGCCCAGCGGCTGAAGAAATAACGAATGAATTATATTTTTGGAGGGAGAGTTGGGTGAGAACTTTTAGACCTCAGGTGCGAGGCATGTACTCGGACCCGGGTGAACCGTAAATTCCCAAAGCTAGGAGTAAGAAAGCGTATCCAACGAGGCTTTGAGAATCATGCTCGAAAGCCAAGTGGACTCACGGCACGATTTGTTTTTCGAAAGATGACGGTTGAAACTTGAGATGACATGATGACAATTCATACATACCAGTACCACGGCGGATGGTCCCCAAAATCATGTGGCGACGCGACCAACAACAAACTTTGACGTCAATTTGTGAGACCTTAAAATTCAAACAATTATCAATGCAGTGTAAAAGCACGATTTTAGCTGGCTAGATGCAGCAAGTATATGGGAGACCAAGTAAATGATAATGTGGGTGTCCATGTATCATTCAGGTGTCGTAATCATAATGCCTTCTTTGCAGAGGCTCGTTTGGAGTAGATCATGTCAGTGAATGGTCTAGCATTGTCCTTCAGAAACACCGACACAATTGGCAAATCAAGACACTTACCCTTCAAATCGTAGTGCAAGTAGGTAAACCACGTACACGTACATGGTAACGAGGAGTCCGGCTGGCCGCTCGTACCTGTGCACAACGGACTTAATTCGTGCCCAAATGCAGAGTAGGAAAAAACAATACCACAAGGCCGTCGCAATAAAGCACATCGTACTTCCAACATACATAGGATCCCTCAGGACATTGAACGGGAAACCCTGCACGCGGTGATCCATCAAAATACCGAAGTAGTCCCCGAGGAAAGTTCCAGTTATTCCGAGGGCCCAAGTGGAAGTGACAACAAACAGCTGGCCGATGGCGAACAGAACAATTGGTACCAGGGTGTCATATGGTGCAGGGAGCATAGGAACTCGAGGTTGGTCGCTCAAAGCGCGCTGATATCTGTTGGGTGTCAAGCAGTGTCTACCAGAGTTATCGTCCACCTTGAACATACAAATGGTCACGAAGCATCCCAAATGAAAATATCATGATGGCTAAGAAGTAACATCCATAGCGAGCATTACCACCAAATATGCGAGTGATTGTCTTGTTTCTATACTCTGCAACATATAAACACGTGTCAATGCGAGTTGGGTACAATTTATCAATTCCTTCACCATTCCGAGCCACGATGTTCCAAGCTGTTGGGTTGAATGCGATGGAGAGAAGCGAAACATACAGAGACGTCGCAGATACATTTACAATGGTGAAAAACGCGTCCATGCCTGGCCTTACTGCAGTTCAAGCTGACTCGGAGAGAAGATGAAAATACTTTCAACGCTCTTAACTTCTACGCGAACTTCCCACGGTCACCTGTGACCGCGGACTTAATGGCTGAAAAGCTTGACTGTGTACTCGCCGCGGGCCAGCATGGTGTCCCATATACATATCTGCAAGAGCTATTCATAACGATGAATCATTTCCACTTGACGTAGGGCAGCTCGGGTGACCACTTAGCTATATCGCGGACGTTTTCACACGGGATCACATCTCTTGAAGCTTGATTAGTGATTAGCTGGGTCATCAATCATTTACCATGGATCTTGGATTAAAGGGAGTGCATGTCCTCGTCACAGGTTGTAATTGTATCCACTTACCATGTTAGTGCTGATCTTGCGCTCCTCATACAGGAGCAAGTGGCGGCATCGGGCTCGAGACTGTGAAATTGTTTTGTAGTAAGTCATTCATTTCTCCAAAACGATGGGCATTGAGTTGAGGGTGTCTACTGTCCAGTACTTGGTGCAAACGTGACCGCACATTACAACTCGCAGTTTGGTCCGATCCAGGAACTTTTGGCGTCGAACATCAACTTTCAACACGTCCAGGCGAATCTATCTGAAGAGCAGGCCGTGGTGAACATGTTCGAATCGCTTTCTACTATGCCTTATGGCCCCGTACAAGTAGTCGTCGTCAATCACGCTATATCTCACAGTTTAGCTGTGCCAATTGCAAGGATGACGCTGGATCAATGGAACACCACAATAACTGTGAACTTGACGTCTTCATTCCTCGTGTGTAGAGAGTATTTGAAGCATCTAGAAAAAACTTCCTCGGGTATCAAGGAAAAGGCAGCAATTCTTCTTATCGGAAGTACTGCTGGGAAGTATGGTGAGGCCAACAATGGGGACTACGCTGCGGCCAAGAGTGGTCAGTAATGATTTTTGTCCGCACTTTTGACATGGTCCCATGATATTCTAGCAATGATGTATGGTCTAAACCTGACGTTGAAGAATGAAATCGTGAAGATAGCCCCAAAAGGCAGAGTTAACTGCATTGCACCTGGCTGGGTCGAGACACCCATGGTTGAAAAAATCTTGAAGGATTCTCAAACAGTGTCTCGCATATTGGCTACGTCAGTAATACTATTTGATTCATTGTGTCACTGATGCTGAACATTATGCCACCGCAGGATTCCACTTAAGAAAGTGGCGATGCCGATCGACATCGCGACACAGATTGCGGTCCTTGCATCGTCTACTCTTTCTGGTCACGTCACTGGCCAAGTGGTCATGGTTGAGGGTGGAATGGAAGGGAGACTGCTAAACAGACCTGAAGATTTACAGGGGTACTGAGAATTAGGGGAGAAATATTTGAATGCCTTTTCTAATCTGTAACATGTACCATATCAAGTGCTTCTTGCGAGTGTGTGTATCTGATAAGAGTGTGGGCGGTCCTCTGGGCCGATTGTGATTTGCTTTGTCAGCATTCGCTTGCCCGCTGAGGCTAGCAGCGGACCGGGTGTGGCTTCGCGAACCACTTGATCTTGTACTTCTAGTTCCCTCGCAATTCTTACCCCCTCTTTAATCAACTCCCAGCCAGCCACCCAGATACGATGGTATGCCAGCATTAATCCCCATCGTCTTTGCCACTTATGATTTCAATAGTCCACCAACTGCAGGAGACGGCTTATCCGTGACTTCAAACGTCTCTCTAGTGACCCGCCAAGCGGCATTTCTGGAAGTCCATGTCCGGATAACATCATGATCTGGAACGCTGTAATATTTGGGCCTTGTTAGTCTTCCGTCTCTGTATATGACTCCTTCTGACACCACTTACAGCTGATACACCCTTTGAGGACGGCACATTCAAACTTCTGCTCACGTTTGACGAATCTTACCCCAACAAGCCGCCTACAGTGAAATTTCTTTCCAGAATGTTCCATCCAAACGTATATAACAACGGGGAGCTCTGTCTGGATATTCTACAAAACCGCTGGTCTCCCACATATGATGTCGCCGCTATCCTTACTTCAATCCAGAGTCTCCTGCATGACCCTAATCCGAACAGCCCAGCAAATGCAGAGGCTGCGCAGTTGTACCGAGAAAACATGAAGGAGTACGTGAGAAGGGTGAAAGCCACAGTGGAGGATAGCTGGTTAGATCCAGAAGAGAAGCAGAAGATGATAGTCGATGGCGACGGGGAAGGTAGTACAGAGTCTGCTGCCTGACGTATCCTTTCGTTTGGTTTATGCACTCATGGACAACTTCTGCGATCTCTGTTGTTTTGTCCCGGTTATCAGATTTAATTTAATGAGGTTTGTGTTCGGACTCCTTGTAAATTGACATTTCGATCATACCCGCCAACAGTGGTTTCCCCTGGCCTTGAACAATACTCATCCATGCACAGTACTTCATGTACACGTTAATGTTCTGGCATCGGTCACTCTACAGGATAATCTTCCGTGGTCGAACCTTTAGAAGGAGGGACTATGAGCGATACAAGTGGTCGAATTATATCCGCATCAATCACAATCAGGAAAGAATCGGTGAGTTAACGAAAAAAACACGTTGAATGTTAATGTCGAGCATTCCACAGAACGCAGTCTGGAGGCTTGTGAGCGTATGTGCACCGACAGGGCACGATTCACTGTCCCATGTACTGCTTCTGAAGGCTACTGGTCGAGATAGTTCCGGGATCAATATGAAGCTACTTTCAGGTCTCATTCAGTTCCAGTGCTCAAGACCACCATAGTTGGCCGCAGCACACAAATTCCACATCTTCCAGTTATCATCTCGAGCAAACGACTGCTCAAGCGTTGCTTTCCCATAACAGCATACCTCTCTAGTCTGAATCGGTATGTGCTATGAGGTGATATATACTATTTGATGGAATGCACCATATCTCACCTCACGGGTGAATAATCGGCTGGTGGTCCGTGCTGTTATATGCACTTGGACCAGAAGCTACATCGGCTGTGCTTCGTGATCTCGTTCATTGTGAGAAGACCCTCCATAGCCTCTCATTCGTCCAGAGGCGGCTCAGACGTCGGGACTGCGGACCGCCTTGCAGGATTTGTACTGTGGGTCCTTGGAGCCCTCGGATGGGATAAACAGAATGCTTCTCTGCCCCACTGAAGATCAAAATCGTGACATGTTTCTAAAGATTCAGGAGTGGGATGGCCGCGGCGTTGCATTAGATCTCTCCAGGTATATGCCACACAAGGCTCATCCATGTACGAGCCACCCCCGTGAATGGTTTTGCAGGTCCGGGCGTAGTGTATACACAGCATGATGTGAGTGAAAGACAACGCGAACCACGTGTTACGGTAATCTGTATCAGGTTCCAAATTTCTTGGCATGATAAAAAAAAACTGATCCAAAGTTTCGGTGTATAGTCGCAGGACAAGTCGGGCAACATGTATAGCGCAAGGTCGGGATACCCAAATGACAGGTGACCCGACTCGTACAGCAAGTTATGACACTTGGTGCGCATATGTCCAAGGCTATGATGTACAAAATCCCACATACATCAAGATTGCATCAGCAGATCCTCCGCGCAGCAACTCATCTATTGATGTAGAACGATCTATGCCGAGAAGTTGCTAAGAAGCATGGGATGTAGTGCGTAATCACACGTGCAGAGTACCCTCGTGCGACGTTGCTACGTGATCTTGGTGAAAAAATCATGTGGACGCAGCTGATGCAACGATTGAAAACAGGCGGTGCGTGAGGGCCATACCTCCCTCCCGAGGCATTAACGTTGAGTAATCAGAATACCAATACGTCGATCTGTTGCAATTCTTCAAATTCATCCTTCTGAAACACTTCGTCGTAAGCAGCAGGAATCAAATATAGTTGCAACTCACTTTCAGTAGCAAAATTCTACTTTCGTCCATTAAAGTATCGTCCACATCAAACAACCCCTCGCTAACGATCTCGCGATAAGGCAGCGCAGATCCTAGCGGTTCCGTAAATGGGCAAGAAATGGTACTAGTCAGCTCGCCTTCCACAAGTCGACCACGCCAGTCTAATTTATCTTGGGCGTGATAATTCCGAGCGATGTGTGGATTGAAATCCCTGATGCGTAACCGTCGGGACTCGCGTGACACTTCAAAAGGGTCGCTGATGGGCTCAACAACACGGAAACCATAGAGTGAAGACTGCCAGTCCTCATTCCTTTGAACCCGGAACCACGTCGTATGCTGTGGCCCCCACGTTGACCAAAGCAACTTGGGACCATTCAAGGTCGGTTGGCCGTAAGTCCTGGCGAATAAACTTTCGAGTTCTAGAATGGCACTGCGCAGGATAAAGAAGCTATAGCGGTGGATATCGAATGTGTTCGTATCCATTGTCCCAGTGACGGAGACATGAATGGCTATGAGTTGATCGTTCGTACTGGGGTGAAATGAACATGAAGGTTGATAGGACTTTCGAGAATATGGAGGCATGGAGCCAGGAATTATATTTTCGCCCGCGAATGCCTCTGTGTATGAAACGTGATTCATGAGAGAAGGCAAAAAGAATTTCGCGGTGCATTGAGGGGGCTTCGATTTGTCGGCAACGTGATATATCTCCACGGTCCCTCGGGAATCAAGCACGAGGAATTTATCCTCTGCAATGAAGGAGCAGTCGTTGATACCATTGTGAAACCAAAGAATGAACTGTGGTACCAATAAGCCTCTAGCAGTCTTAACTTGTAACAGTACTTTGATTTACCTGGTACCCACATTTGCATATAGTCTCCGACCATGCCCTCATTTACCACAACACCCCACAGCAGCATACTAATGTAGTTCCCCATGATTTGGACGCTCACAGGGCTGGTGGATTGGATTATTTCGCGGTCAATGATATCCTTGTCGAGTGCCTTCAGGATTGGTTGCGCTGCATCGGTGTGAACGTCGTTTGTTGTCAGTGACCTCAGATGGATATCGTATGCATGAGTCCGGCTTCCAGCACAATTTAGCTTGAAAATGGACTGGAAAAGACTGTAAACGCTCACGGGTCTGGTGAATATGCCACCACGACAAGTAGATCTTGCGCAGCACAGAAAGTGAAGTCCACCGAGGTCGTGGCGTCAACAGGGTGACTCCAGCAATGTAGATCATTGGAATCAGTCGCGGATGGTAGACGCGTAAAGTGGATGCAGCCTTCCCCAGCAGAGCCGTATACACCACCCAAAAATTCAAATATAGGACCCAGCATCATTGAGGGGAGCGTGCACTTCTGCTTGTACTCGAAGCGTTGCCATGCAGCGTCATGTTGTCTCAGTCGTTTGCGGCATGTAGCTGGTGGGACATCCATTTCGGAGGTTCCCATTGGAATCATTTGGAAATAGCTGAGGTCGATAACATATTGTAACATCTCCGAATTGTCGATCATAACTTTCAGCGCTTTGCACGTCTATGGCGGATGAGCATAGTAAGATGAATCCTGTGTTCGCTTACCTGTCGTACCCGTACTAGGTCGTATGCGTCAAGAGGTGACAGTATAAGGTACAAAAGCTCTGGTGGGAGGTGTACCAGTGTTGTAGCTCTCAGTGTGTGGCCCATCCGAGAGAAATTCTAGGATATATCACGGCGAGAGGTCAAGCACAGTGCATCGGAACCAAGAGGAGATGTTACCAGTCAGATCAGATCTGCAGAGTAACTTATACTTCGAAGTTCGCACTGTGAAGGATGCAGCTCAGTAATTAAGTACCTTGTAAGTCGTCACGGTGATGAGCGAGAAAGTACAACCTACACTCAGGCTCAGGCCAGAAGCAATAGAAGCCTTCAGTTTTTGAAATTCACGCGTAGTACGACCTAACCTGCCGAACGCCAAGTTCACACGCATCAGCATGCACCAACAAGGACGTTCAAAGCCTCGAGCTCTACATCAAGTAGTACTTGTGACTTTCTGTGTACGACCAACGACAGTCAGCTCTTCGGCGGGAACACTAATCATGGCGTTTCTTCTGGCCAGCCACTCAAATATGCAATCGTGAAGTTGATTTTGCATTTCCGCTGGTGTTCACATGTGACATGGTATATTACTGCTACTATGAGCAGCAGAGGTATTCAGCGAGCATGAATACGACGTGTGGCCGTCCCTAGTTGAACGATGTTTTCACCCCAAGCGTGTCAGCCCACTGCACAATGTCAGTGAGACACGTCGTGTATGGGAGAACAGCATGGAGGTTCAGGAAGGGGCAACGGTGAGATGAGTATGGACTGCTAGGGTTTGCAGAAGGCGAGTGGAAGGAGGAGGTCAAACACAGTGCATCCCACCAGAAGAACACGATCAGTTCTACACATATCGGCGCGTCAATCTTGTGTGCCAAGGCCATTATTCTTCGCCACGTAAGGTCGTCCCGCTTTCGTTTGATCGAATGGCGACCTGTCGTGTAAAAACTATTTGAAGTTGACTGTTGTCCCCAAAGGACTCAGACTGGTTCAAATATCTGATAGTGGAAGTCGCTGGCATCATCTCGATACTTTCCACCGGCAGGGAAACGAACAGGGTGAAGATGTGCATCCGAGACATGCAACCGAGTCGAACTGGCGTTGAACCTTGGTCCGCCCAACCAAAGTCGAAGTCAAATATTCCGTCACCGAATCGCTCCCGCGTATGTTTTAAAGTTTGTTTGGTATTATTTGTCAATGGCCTTCATGCTTAATTGCTGTACCTAGTCACGTACGTTTTGGCAAGTGCTGCCGCTCGTTTATCGCAGCCATACGCGAAGATGGGTGATACGTCCAAGAGCACACCAAAGAAGACATCGCGCATCCTGGCTGCGCTGGATTACTCCATGCTTGCTTCTTCCTCAAGTTCTCATACCACTATGCAAACATCCCAAATTCTCGGCAAGCGTAAATCAGATACCTTTCCTGTGTCGCCAGTGAGGAGAGTACAGACTCTCCCGGACATCGGTTCCACGATTCATGGACCACACTCCCCATTCAACAAGCCTGTGCATGCAAGTAAGAGAACTGCAGATATCCGTTATTATCATCTCATGAGCTGGCGCTTCATCAGAAGGTGCTTCGTCTGGAGCTGGTAGATCTAAATCAAGAACCAAGAACGACATTCAAAGCAAGCTCATTACATCTGGATTTTCTTTGAGATACGACGACGAAACGCCTGTTAGTCGCATTGACCAAGGAGGTCCTGATCAAGAACAGAGGTATTTCGTCCGAGCGGTGGAACAGCACCCGTCGCTGACCCACGTACAAGATTGGCAGAATTTGTCTATAACTCTATTGAAAACCTCGGGGATAGGCGGTCCGTTAAGGATGCTATCCAGAACCTCGGTCTTCAGAGGTACACAGTGGATTCAATATAACATTTGGGATAGTCGTACTGATATTGTATAGTGACAAGGATCTCCTCCCCGGTCTTGAAGTACGGCTTTTACCTCACCAACTCATTGGCGTCAACTGGTACGACTACTACTATAGGTTTCTGTGCATATATTAATTTCAGAGCGCAGGATGGTGGACCAGGAAAAAAAGTCCACGCACAGGGGTGGAATCTTAGCGTAAGTAATTTTTTATCTTCAACCCGTATACCTTATATATTGACCTGACTCAGAGATGAAATGGGTCTTGGTCAGTTGCTTTAAGTTCGTCAAAATGCACCCGTGACGAGGTATTCTGTCTCAGGCAAGACTGTCCAAATGATTGCCACAATGGCAGCTAATTTGCCAAAGGACACTGATGCTGTGAAGACTACTCTCGTCGTTGTTCCTGCTGCGCTCCTTCAACAAGCTAGTTTGTCTTCTTTGATCGGCTTTGCCCACGTTGACACCATTGCCAGTGGAAAGAGGAAATTGAAACGAAGTCGAACGACTTGTTTACTGTTCATATACACCATGGACGAGACAAACTTTCCACCCTGGTGGATGTCAAATCTAAAGATGTACGTCATTCGAATCATCACAGCTTCACAAAGTGACTGGGGTATCGTTAGGTCATCATCACTACATACCAAACCCTGAGCATGGAGCTTACCATTCCAAAAAACGTTGAAGAAGGCGAGGAACTGGCATATCTCGAGGATCACGGGTAGGCAATACGTTATTTGCACTATGTCGACCCCTTCAGCTACCTTGCAGAGGGGTACTTGGTCGTATGAGATGGTATCGTGTGATTTTAGACGAGGCCCAATTTATTCGAAACAGGTATGTTCAACATTATTCCATTTACTGAGTTCTTTGACACTCCCAACAGAGGAACACATGCTAGCCGCAGTGTTGCTCTTCTCCGTTCAACTTATAGGTGGATGCTTACAGGCACGCCTGTAACGAATACACTGTATGCCCAATCTTTTCACAGCATTTCTTGGTTACCCAACTACTTCCAGTGCTGACATATACGGACTTATTCGCTTTGGGCGTTTCCGCCCTTGGAATGACTGGGAGTCATTCAAACAATATATTGTGCGTTCCTTCGCGTTTTGGACGTTCTGCTTCTTATCTTCGTTTAGGCAAAGGTGCAGCAGGAAGATGCGCCGCTTGCGGGTGAGTGAACCTTCAATTCTGATGTAGTTCTTGAGCTCAGTCACGTAGCAATGCGAGCGCAGGAGATTCTGAAACCCCTGTTGCTTCGCCGTACCAAGCAAGCTAGATTGGTAAATTGCTAATAGGATATCTTCTTCCTGTATCCTCGCTCATGGATTATATAGGAAGGAAAGCTCATCCTTCAGCTGCCCCCGAAAAACATCGAGCTCGTGACTCTTGAATTCTCAGCAGACGAGCGGCAGGTGCGTTCATTGGGTACCCTGGCATTTCGCATACCCATATCTCCCAGCTGTATGATGATTTTGAAAAGAAAAGCCACGTTCAAATCAATCGCTTCATCAAAAGAGGGACATTATTGAAGAAGTATGCACTCAGTTATTTCTGCGTATTATTTACTAAATGCAATTTCCGTCTCAGTGCAACTGCTATCTTGGTACTTTTTCGCATTTGCATTCCTGTGGTCATCTTTAATACATTTTACAGGCGATGATCCTTCGGCTTCGGCAGCTGTGTTGTCACCCGAACTTAATCCTGGCACGTCTTTTGTTCTTCGATCACATAGATGAACTAACACACCCTACAGTGCCATACAGAAGAGCACGAGGACCCTTCCGTGCTCATGTCCGACGACAAGGGAAGGGAGTTTGCGCGAGCGATCCGAGTCATGGGGCCAGCTGGGTCAACGATGTGAGTGCTGTTGGTCTACCCATGGTCAGTATTAAACTAGTTGCCTACAGGTCAAGAAGAGGTTTGGTTCACTCTATCATGTGACAAGTAAAGAAGCTGACAATTTGCTATACTCAGGTTCATGACGCGCGCGCTGGAGAGTAATCTACTCGCCTTCTCAGATGAGGAGGGTGCTGATGCAACGTGTCCTATCTGCAAAGATCGTATGTGCTCGTCTCTCACTCATAACTGATGCTCACATGTATGCGAAAGTGTACGCCAACAACGCTGGCCGTGTCCTTACCTGTGGCCATGAGATCTGCTTTGGTACGTGAACCCTTATCATGTCATTGTAGTTGTTGATCGAGCTCCTGTATGTCTAGATTGTATGCTCATACTTTCGAACTCGCCGATTGTCCACAATGGGGAATTGTAAGCTCCTAATTCCAACTTCCTCCGTTATGCCCAACAATTACCCAGTGGTCATGGAAATGAGAAAGAAAATCTTCGTGCCGAACGCGAGTATGAAGCGGCTGTTGCAAAAGGTCACCGACCTTGTGCGTATTCCTCTTTTCTTCGTCGCGCTGTTCTCTCACTCTTTCATGCAGGTCCTACGTGCAAGAAGATGAACGACCTGAGCCCAACTAAGGTGTTCAAGTCCATTGCATTCGAGCCAGAGGAGAATGAAGTCGAGGAGGCAAATCGCGCTCGTAAACGCGCTCGCCAGCTTGCGCCTAAGAAGGCTGTGCACCAGGGCACAGTTTCAAGTGAAGAGTTATCTGACTCAGATTCAGAAATCGAGGTATCTGCGCCTTCACGCTTCAGGGGTGCAACGCCGGAACTCGACAGCTCGGACGACGATATGCCAGATTTTTCACAGCTATTCGCGAACGGAGGACAACTCAAGAAGAAGGGAAAGAAGGCTGGGGGGAATAAACGGTCGCGTCAGCAGTCTGATGACGTGCGTACAACTTTTTTATTTCTTGGCACTGAGTTTGACTATACTACAGGACGAAGTGATTGACTTGACTATGAGTGATGTGTCAGACCACCTCGATGGTTCCGACGTTGAGCTCGGAAGGGGGCACGCCGTGCGGTCCTCAGAGAAGCATGATGACAATGGAAAAGGAAAAGCCCCCCTGAGGGACAGCGAAGAAAAGCCTGCATCGCAAGGCGCAGAAAAGGCAAATTTGGAAGATTCCAGTGCCCCTTCTCGCGCACTTATCGCCATGTGGCGAAAAGGTGATTATGACCTGGAACCGAGTACGAAGATGCTCGCCCTCATCGATTTCCTCAAGTCATGGGACACGAGCGGGGACAAAACAATCTGCTATTCGCAGTGTTCGTACTTTAAGCGATGACCTTGCAAGTTATTGCTGACTCAGTATCACACAGGGACCTCAATGCTTGACCTCATAGAAACGCTATTCTCGCGATATGGGATCCGCAGCCTGCGGTACGATGGTTCCATGGACCGGATATCGCGGGATAACACCCTTGTGGCATTCAAACGACATGATGGACCGAAGGTCATCCTCATCAGCACGAAGTGTGGTAGTGTAGGCTTGAATTTGGTTGCGGCAAATCGAATCATCAAGTACGTCTTGCAGAGTTTGAATTATTTGCATTACGATTGCTGACAACTATGATGATGAATAGTTTGGATCTATCCTGGAATTATGCGTCCGAGTCACAAGCATATGACCGCGTACATCGTCTGGGACAGGAGAAAGATGTTTTCGTCAAGCGACTTGTTGTCAAAAATACGATAGAGGAGCGGTAAGTCAACTTGTTTCCGTTATCCGAACGCTAACTCAAGTCTACTGCTTTTATTTACTTACCGGCTGCCTGCCTCCCTCACAACAACCTTGCAGAATGCTCCGCCTTCAGGAGGTTAAAACTGACCTCGCGGACGCCGCGCTCGGCGAGGGCACGGGAACGAAGTTACAGAAGATGAGCGTCAAGGAGATCAAGACTGTATGATATCACATTATCCCTCGCTATGATTGCTGATCTCCCATTTTCGTAGTTGTTTGGGATGAAAACCTAATCCACAAGCGTGGACATGTCACCTGTCTATCTTATTTTCTCCTATGAAAGTGCTCTGTGCGACTTGGTACGAGCGTAAAACTGACGGCTAAACTTGTTATTTACCTCGCAGTCATGTTCTCATTCAGTTATTGGAGACATGTCGTGTCCACATGCATTAACACCTAAATGACTATTTTTACTAGTATACCTTATTGCGGCTAAATGGTAGCATAGCACAATGCATAGACTAGTAGTCACTCCCCTGTCTAGATCTAGCCAATCCAACGCTCTATCGTGAACAGACGTGCATGACCGCTCTCACATTGTCCATGGATAAGCTACTGGTACTTTTTACACCAGAAAGGCGAAGACGCCGAAGAACCCTGCCACAGCTCCCGTTACCAATTCAGTATTAGCATACGAGCCTGCCATTGCTGCACCTGTAGACGTGGCAGTCATACTCGTCGACGCGGACGTCGTTGTACTATTCGGCCCGAATGTCATGGTAGGCGGTGTTAAAGTTGGGGCGGTTAAAGTCAACGTAGGTAAAGACATGGAGGCGGGCGGAGAAAGGGTGACGCTGTAGGGATTACAGTCAATCTAGTAGCTTATGACAGCTGGGGGGAGGTACTTACGTCGGGAGTGTGAGACTGCCAGTGGGTAGTGCTGAGACATTGACTGAGGGCTGAGCCTGCACACCAGCAACGAACGCGAGGATGAGAGTAGAGGCAAATTTCATGATGGGGATCAACAACGGGTACGACCGTGACAATTTGACTCGGAGGTCTGGAAACACAGTAAATGCTTAGGTTCGTCGAGGTTGGCAGCGACAAAATCAGTGTGTGCGATCACTGGGGGCCTGTGTAGGGTCACTAGAGTGTAGGGACGCTCCACTAATATTAATAGCGAATTTCTTGAGACATCCATTACATACCTTGTAACCATTCAGTACGGGCGTAAGAAAGACCGACCACTGTATGGGCGAGCCAACTTGAACCTTCGATGCTGAACCGATTAGTTGCTGTTGACAGGCTGCGGACGTTACGAGAGCGCAAAAAAAATCATTCGATGAACCTGAGACTTGATGTCAACGTGCAAGTAGTCTGATCCGTACGGCATCAGTGACTGATGAAACTGCTGTACGTTGAACAGTTCCACGTTTCGCAGCCTGATCTCTATTAATATCCCACTCACCATACCGTCGCAATCGCCTTTTGAGTTGTAGCACTCCCGTAGCGACACCCTTCTCGTTGTCTTCTACAAGCGCTGAATATCGAGTCCGACTCGAATGAGATGGACTTGTGCGCTGGACCAAGTTCAAATGATAACTCGTCATCATCATGCACGACTCCGATTCTCGGGCCATGCCAAACAAGATTTTGGATCTACTGCGCCGACCGAACACATTGATAGGCTACGGTGGTTTGATTTACTTCTAGGTCCGTAATATGTTTGTGCCACCCAACAAACTCGACGCAGAACATGACCGAAGCGAGTTGCCAGCCGTCACCGGCTCACCCTCCATGAGGACAGGCTGATCGCCTGCAGGAAAGCGCATGCCAAACTCTTCTGTTACTGTCATGACTCGAATCCGGAAGCGTCCCGCAACAGTGGTAGGGATCATCGGGATAATATTTACACCAATGCCCTCGCAGTCTATCAACGCGTGTCTAGATGCTAGTACTACCTGCTGTACCATCAAAAGGAACTTCACGAGATGACGCCGCACAAGTTGAAGGTGAAGCAAGTCAAAGGATCTCAAAGTTTGCTCCGTTCCCCTAACAATGAAGACTTGTGCAATTCACAATGCGCCACTTTATCAAACTGTGGATGTGGACCTTTCCCGGGAGCTTACAAAAGCCGGCACTGCCAGTGTCCGCATCTGTAATTCCCAAGACTCACAAGTCATTTTACATCCCCAACCTCCGAATTCTTGCTTAATTTCTAGCTACAAGACTTCGCGGATTCATAAATGATCATCGGCCGTTTGCACGCAATCCCGAATTGGGACGCTGCAAGCACTTCCAGTGCGGAGTCAGATGACCTATTGTCTCTGACGGACGCAGAGTGGGAGAACTTGGAATGCAGTCAGTACAAGTTGAACCCTTTGTGGCCTGAGAATATCTCAGACTCCCTCCCCCCCGAACTTCAACCGTTTCTGCTGTCACGTCCAGTCCACCGTCAGCACCTACGAGACAACCGGGTCAAGCTGGCTAGGGATGATGAGAAAGATCACTCCATTAGCAAAGAATCTTCCCTGTTTGGGGACGAGAATGACCACAGCGAACAGTCTTCCCTGTTTGGGGACGACGAGACGAACTGCACCATCAACGAAGAGTCTTCCCATTTGGGGGACTCGGATGAAACAGACCACTCCATGAACGAAGCGTCGATACCCGCAAGTTTGCCGCGGGATCACACAGCATTGCCTAATGTCGGGTTTCAGCCTCCTGTTGGACAGCATTATGCTTGGCTGCCCTCTCACGTCGGGCTACAGCATCCCAGGGTCCAGCATGTTGCTCGGATGCCCTCTAGTGTCAAGTTTCAGCCTCTCCCTGGGCCGCATTACTATTGGATGCCGCCAAGTCAGGGGGCCAACGGCATAATCATGATGCCACCTTCGAACTTGACACATCCCTATGCGATGAACACCGCGTTTCCACCAAGCGCTCAATTCTACCCACCTGCCAATTTTTCCACAGCCCCACCCTCGAGCATGTCATCATTTAGGCATCGTGCATAAATATCGAGGACAGGGAAGTGGACAAAGTGTTGAGGAGGAATCGAAAGGTCACGTTGATGTAGATAGAGAGCTCGATGTTATATGACCCATTAATTATTCATTTCTTGAGGAGTTCATGCTATCACGTATATACAGCATTTGAGTCGAGATTGTAACTACGCATAGGAGAAAGACAAGAATGAAATAGAGGAAAGGTTACGATGGCAGTAAACACAGGTGGAATGAAATCTAGACCAGAAATGACGTATAAGGCAGAAAGTTTTGGGGCAGAATGAGGGAGATTACAGTACAAGTTCGGCATAGGGTAGCCAAAGCAGCGGGTTATGGATAGTTGTCGATGGCTTTATAGTTACAGCACTGAAAATGTGGTTGTATATCGGCACGCCTATAAACAAGAGCAGTGAGAATTCAACAACCAATCGAGCACGACGCACTCTCTGATTGGTGTCATACGAGAACTTGTGGACCCCAAGACTACCTTTCAAGCAACGGAAGTGGAGGGCATTGTGTCTGTCAAACGATCTATGCGCGTCGATTAGATCGAGAAGCTAAATTCGTTCTTTGCGTGTTAGCTAGTGTCGCCATATACTGCCTCGTAAGAACCCAATGGAAATGAAGCCATGACACCAATATGTCCATCGACGCTTGGGACGCTACGCATGATACATGGGATGATTGCCTGCGCATAAGCAAGCTTTCGAGCATTTTCTGCCACCGACGAGTTCGATGGCACAGGCGATTCACGTTTGCCAACCTGGTCATTAAAATTAGAATAACCTACAGGGCCGAGAAGGGAAATGAGTGATTGAAGGCCAGACTGCGGATTAGCTAGTATGGCTACGAAGGTGAAAAACTCGGGTTGGACGTTAAGAACGAGGACTGGATAGAACAGCATAATGTGTCCAGTTGGACTCTCAAGGGAAATATGGCGCGAGGAAATAAATACCAGAACTGCATCGTATTAGCCTAGGGACACACAGGAATGCAGGCTTGCGGAATTGTAGGACTGCGATGGCGAGGGGTTAATGAAGGTGAAGGAAGTGAGGATGTTGTCCAAAAAGAGTGTTGAAAGCTTAATCTGCACAGCCAGTGCTAAAGCTGTGAAGTGAACACGGGGACCATGCAAGGAAGACGCACGTGTAGAGGACTTCAACAACCACTCCCCTGACTTGAAACTCTATCGAACGAAACACCTACTCCGTCGCAGCTTTCGTTCAGCATTGGTCTTTCTGTGTACGAACCGAGTGGCATCTGGATTTTGAGTAAGTGATAAATTCTTACAGCAATTGACAGTAAGAGCTGAAGTTGTTACGCACCCATGAAGTGAATCCCAAAAGAAAAACCGTAGGGCATCCAGCCCCCGCAAAATACAATAACTCAGAGACAATGCCTTGCCGAAAGATCAAAGTGAAGAACGACATCGAACACATCCTACACCTGCCCGGTAAACAACAGGTCATCACCAATTCATTTGATGGGTCATTTCGAGTCTTTGACTTGGAGAGTGGCACGCAAGTTGGGGAGGAATGGGAGAACAAAGAAAGAGGAGTGCTTGCCTTAGCATTATCGCTGGGAGGTACGACAGTAGCAAGTGGGAGTTGGAAAGAAACGGTGAGACTGTGGAACGTCGACACAGGAAAGGTTATCAGAACATTGACGGGGCACACAAAGCTAGTGCAGTCTATGTGCTGGAGTCCAGACGGAGGGCGAGTGGTGAGCGGGATCATCGGAATAGAAGGTGGAACGTTCAGAGTACGGGATGTCGAGAGTGGAGAAACTATCCTGGGACCAATCAACACAGGGGAATGCATGGATGGGGTTTACTACTCACCTGATGGCAAGATGATTGCCACTGGCGGGATAAAGCTGAAAATCTAGGATGCCGACACAGGCGAATTGCTCAAAATACTCGAGGGAGAAATTTGGTGCTTGGCATGGACCCCGGATGGGGAAACGCTCATCACCGGGGGATCTAAGGTCAGGAAATTCGACACAGCCACATGGACTGTTCTCGATGTGCGCGCGCAAACCAACGCCGATATCATTTTACTATCTCCTAATGAGCACATCTTCGCAAGCACAAGATACCTTGACAAGACAGCGCAGCTATGGAATCTCGAAACCAACCAACCCATCGGAACACTACTTTACCATGAAGCTAACGTGAACTCTGCAACTTTTTCTGCAGACGGAAAGTTCCTCGTCATTAGCTGTCGCGACGGCCACATTTACATATGAGATGTTTCCGCTATCGTCAAAGAAGCTGGCCTTCCGTCAGATATTGTAAGCTTCGATACATTTCATTCTCGATGACGCTGATAATAGATCCGCTCCCCCAGGTTGATGTTGCATCGCGACTAGCCCCAAAGATGAAAGGTGCTCCTCGAATACCTCCAGGGTTCTTCGACGATGCACTGTGAGAGGCTAATGTATGTAATTTCTATCTATTATTCAATGCTTTCACAAGCATGTTATCAGTTGCGCAATCGCATAACCCAATCGCATAGGCCGCATAATTGTCCCACCCCAGCTCCATGTCAGCGCACCCTCAGTCCTCTTTCCTCATTCTGGCACCGCCATGAGCCACATGGGAAAACTGAGCTGGACACCAAATCTCGATCCCGACCTCTCAGTTGGACTCGGAACCTAGTATCTGCTATACTACGCAAGCGAGATGGATCAGACATCCAGTTGCAAGAGGTCAAAGTCCCTTGCACAGCAGGCAAGCTCTTCAACAGTTCTTTATCGCTGACTCGTTTTCGCGCAGAGAAACTATCACGCGAGAAAGAAGCCACTGTCTCGACGTCCTAAGATCCATACCACGCAACGACCTAGTGCAGCAACTCAAGGTGCACCATCATCACCTCCAACGGCTACTACCTCGTCACTTCTTGCCGTCGCTGGTACCGCGGCGACAACAGGAACAATCTCAAGTCCTCATATTACCATTGCTGGATGGCGCGCTCGTTTTGTGAGCTGGGTTTGCTGCATGCCTATTCAGAACACAGATGGTCAACATCAGAGACGCAGTCGCAACTACGGAGTTGGCTGCTAGAACGATGTTGCGACTTAATATCGCTATAATACACGATGGATGTTGGATTCATTTCTTGCTTTGGATTGGCTGTGCGCCTGTTGAGCACAGCGGAAGAAACTTGCGGTCCTTGTTTCTCATTGACATTTTCTGTTGTATTTTCTAGTTCCCATAACCGTCCCGTGCTCCGTCGTTGTATCGTACCTCCTCCTTCCTCCGGTGCCGTTTTCTTTTTGACCAAGTCTAATTCATTAACCTATGTATAGCCTGCGGCACCCTTCACGGGACATAGACTACTTGCAGTACGTACGTGCGCTATCAACTTTGCACTCGGTTGTTGTCGATGCTCGAGGTTTGCATAAACGAATGCTATGCTGAGCGTGTTATCGTTGGCGTATATATTATCCCTCTCGCTAAATCTCTCTGGCCCTGCTATACAACAAATTTGAAATGGTCTGCGTAATGGCGATCCCCTTGGTAGTACGTGGAAGTTTCTCCTGCTGAATGAAGTACCGCAATTTCCATGAACCTATCTCCTTTTCTCGATTGTACTTACGCAGATGTGACGGCAAGTCCATAAAATAATTATCAGTCTGCGCTGTGTTCGCGGCTTACGCCAGGTTTTCACCAGCGTTGACTTTAGGTTCCAACCAGTTCAAGACGATTCAACTTCTTCGTACTTCCAGAGGCATAAAGTTGCACAAAGCACCATGCCATGGCCATGACACATCACAGGCTGGGTGAAGTCCAGCGAGCATCTTCAAGACGATCTGACACTGCGACCGCGATATTTCATCTTCGCGCGTACCCCTTGTGCAATATCATATATTGCAGCATATATAGTGACGTTAAGCTGTCATTTGTAGGCACATGCAGATCATCATGCATGAGCCTTGTGTTAAACGACTGAAGCTCTGTCGAAGCTAAACCACTTTTTCAAGATTTGTACAATCTGCGATGGCCTAAATAGCGGTCCATAAGTTACTCTTGCAGTGTAAAAAAGACATACGCTTCGATATCGTGTCCGACTGATCTGTCCAATGACTGTCGAGCGGAAATTACTTGAAGACAGGAATCAACTTGTGTGGATGTCATTGATCAAAGGTATTGCGATGCTGCATCTGTGCTGCAACCAAAGAATCACAGCTCAAAGCTTTCCTTAGAAAGCATTCCTCGGAACGTTCATGACTTACCTGGCATGCATTGGTCAGGACTCGTTTCATGTTCCCACTGATGCATATACATGTGTGCAGTCGTAAAGTTAACAGCGTGGTCGAGGTAAGTCTTCAAGTTCCACCGAGTAGCCATCGCCCATCTGGGTATATGTATCATCACTCCTGCAGCTGCACAGAGAACTGGTCTAGGCGATTATTTTGAAGAATTTCTACGGAATTAGCAAGAATGCTCATTTCACAACTAGACTATTAAGCGCACACCGAAGTGTGAGTCTCCGCGGAAGGTTAGGAAATATGGAATATCACCAACAACATGTGTCTCCGGTGAGCACCAAAGTCGCTCGTATAGAGGTGCACCCGGGCTAACCGCGGATGATCGACGAGGCAATCGACAAGACATCATTGCACTGCTGCCTTTGTTACATTCGAGAATCTTTCGACAGGCGATGAACATATGGGCACTAGAGGTGCAACTTCAAGTATCGGGGACATATAAAGAAGCCGCATCACGTGGTTGTAGTCTTGTTATAATTTCGTCCTCAGAAGATATGTTGGGTGTTCAAGAGCAGTGGCCTGGCAACATTGTGTTATGGTACAAACTCTGACTATGCGGGGCCGCATCTCGGCGTGATCAAACAATGATAATCCTCTTCAGTAGCACGTCTATGGTGAGATGCGCGCGTGATCAAAGTAGTGAATTCCTGCCTGATTGAAGGATAGTAATTCTGTTGAATGACTGGGAATGGCTCTCGAGATATGCGTTGAAGATGTCCACATAGTAAATGAAGTGATGAATAATCTCTTACTGTTGACGGGGGATATATTCGTTTAGCATTGCGCATACGCGTTCATGCGAGTTTGGAGACGTGGAGCTGGAGCAGATGAGACATGATTGATTAGACGACGACTATGAAAATATGATCGGATGGCCACACTGTGATTTAGCTAGTGAGACGGCGATGACGACCAAAAACTCACGTTGTACGTTGAAAACCAAGGTTAGAGAGAAGAGCATGATGGATTCTCAACGGGAATGTGGTGTATTGACACGAAGACCGGAGAACCGTATTGGACCAGGGGAGAAACACAAGTGTACGGAATAGAAGGACCGTGATGCCGAGGGGTCAATGTGGATATCGTCATGATTGAGCGCTTAAACCGCACAGCCTGTGCTGAAGCTGTGGAGCGAACAGAAGGCAAGGAAGACACACCTGTAGAAGACCTCAACGGCCTCCCTCCTGACTTGAATCTTAATCAAAAAAAAAACGCCCACTCCGTCGGCTGGCTATCGTTTAGCATTAGTCTTTCTGTGTACGAGTCGAGTTCATCTGGATTCTGAGTAAGTGATGAATTCGTACAACAATTGATAGCAAGAGCTGAAATTATCGTACACCTTATGAAGCGAATCCCGGAAGAGAAACCATGGAGCATCCAGGCCCTGCGAAGCACAAGAACTCAGAAACAATGCCTTACCGAAAGATCAAAGTAAACAACAGCATCGAATACATCCTGCACCTGCGCAGTGGACAGCGGATTATCATCTGTTCACGGGATGGGTCATTGCGAGTCTGGGACTTGGAGAGAGGCACGCAGGTTGGGAAGGAATGGAAGGACAAAGATGGAGGAGTGGAGGCCATGGCATTGTCGCCGGACGGTGAGACAATAGCAACCGGGAGTGTGAATGGCGCAGTGAAACTGTGGAACGTCGACACGGGCAAGGTCATCAAAAAGTGGACAGGACACATAGAGAATGTGTGTTCTGTGTGCTGGAGTCCAGATGGAAGGCGAGTGGTGAGCAGATCCGACGATGGAACATTCAGAGTGTGGGACGTTGAAAGCGGGGAAACTATCATCGGACCAATCGAAGCAGGGGGACGGCCCGGAAGGGGGGAACAGGTTTGCTACTCGCCCAATGCCAAGATGATTGCCACGGGCGGGTTCTACCTGAAAATCTGGGATGCTAACACAGGAAAACTACTCAAAACATTCCACCTGGGCTCCGGAGGAGATGGGTACCTGGGATGGACCTCGGATGGACAAACACTTTTCGCTGGGGATACCCAGATCGACACAGCCACCCTGCACGAAATCTACGCCCGGTCCATTTCACTATCTCCCATCATAATCAACGAGCGCATCCTCGCAAGCGTATCACGCAGTGACAAGACAGTGCAACTATACAACCTCGAAATCAATCAACCCATCAGAACACCACTTCACCATGAAAACTACGTGAACTCTGCGACCTTTTCTGCAGACGGAATGTTCCTCGTCACTAGCTGTCGTGACAGCCACATATACACATGGGACCTTTCCGCTATCGTCAACGAAGCTGACCCTCTGTCAGATATTGTAGGCTTCAATATATTTTATTCTCAATTGCACTGACGACGGATCTGCTCCCCAGGCTGATGCACAGCCAGCCCCAAAGACGAAAGATGCTCCTCGAATTCCTCCAGGGTTCTTCGACGATGGACTTCGAGAGGCTAATGTATGTGATCTCCATATACTATTCAAATTCTTTGACAAACATTTTGTCAGTTGCGCACTCGTCAATCCCAATCCCATGGGCCACATAATCACCCCACTCCAGCACCACGTCAACGCGCCCTCAATCGCTTTTTCTCATTCTTGCGCCACTTCAAGCCACATAGGGAAACTGAGCCAGATACCCAATCCCGATCCCACTCTCTCAGCTGGACTCGAAACCTAGTATCTGGTATACTACGCAAACGAGATGGATCGGACATCCAGTCGCAAGAGGTTCCTTACACAGCGGGCAAGCCTGTGCGTTTTTTCTCTTTCATGGTTTCTCCCCAATGACTTTTTCACGCAGAGGAACTATCACGCAAGAGGGAAGCCAGCTGTTAGCTCATCTCGACCTCTCAATAGTCATACCACGCAGCAGCCCAACGCAGCAACCCAGAGCACGCCGCCATCATCACAGCAATCACCTCCCACTGCTACTCCTCCGACACTTTCCGCTGCTGCAAGTACCCTGGGAATAATGGAAGCACCCTCGCGTCCTAATGTCACCATAAGAGATTCTGGTTGGCGCACTCGTCTCATGCTCTGGGTTTGTTGTACGCCTATTCAGAACACAGACAGTCAGCATTAGAGACGCAGTCACAATCACGGCATTGGCTACTATAATGGCGTTGCGGCTAATATCACTGTAATACACGGTGGATACTAGACTCGTTTCTTGCTCTGGATCTGCTGTGCGTCTGTTGAGTACAAGAAATAAACTTGCGATTCTTGTTTCTCATTCACAATTTCTGTTGTCTCATCTAGTTCCCATAACTGTTCTGCGCCATGTCGTACTTCCTTTTTCCTGTCACTGTTTTCTTTTTTGACAAAGTCTAGTTCATTGACCTATGCAGGCCCTGCAGCACCCTTGATTGGACACATACTCTGCTTGCAGTCCGTGCGTGCGCTATCAACTTTGCATTCAGTTGTTGTCGATGCTCGCAACTTTCATGAACGAACGCTGCACTGAGCATGTTATCATTAGCGTGCACATAATTCCGCTCGCTGGATCTCACTGACCCTGCCAAACAACAACCTTGAAATGGTCTGCATAACGGCGACCCCCTTCGTACTTGGAAGCTTCTCCTGCTAAATCAAGTGCTGCAGCTTTCGTGAGCCCATCTCCTTTGCGCCTTTGATTGTACTTGCGCAGATGTGACCCGTCAGCAGCACAAGTCCATAACGTAATCATCAGTCTGCACTGTGTTACTTACACCAGATTTTCACAAGCGTTGGCTTTAGTTTCTAACCAGTGCAAGACGATTCAACCTGCTCGTACCTCTCAACTGGGGCCTGAGGTTATACAAAGCACCGTGCCACGGCTACGACACGTCACGGGCTGGAAGAAATCCAGCGAGCATATTCAACTTGAAGTTGATCTGAAAGTCACTGCGACCGCAATATTTCTTGGCCTGTGCCCTCTATGCAATATCTTTCACCCAGGTAAGTGTCATATATTGCAGTGCATGTGGTGGCGTCAAACTGTCATATGTAGGCATGTGCAGATCATCATGCATGAATCTTGTGTTAGATGACTGAACCACTTTTTCAGGATTTGCGCGTTTTATGATGGCCTAGATACCAGACCATAGCTTACTCTTGGAGTGTAAGAAAGACAGACGCTTCGATTTCGAGTGTTCGACTAATATTTTATTTTCAAGCAGCCGAGCGGAAATTCTTTGCAGACAGGGATTGGTTTGTATAAATGTCATCGATGGAAGGTATTGGGATGTTGAAAAGAATCACAAGTTAAGCTTTCCTTAAAGAATATTTCTAAGAGAGTCAGAACGTTCGCATGACTTACCCGGCATGCATGGGTAAGTTTGAAGGGCCCATTTCATATTCCTATGGATCAACACGTGTATGTGCAGGCGGTCGTGATTTAACGATGGAGCAGGGCTAGCGGCCTAAACCTGGAGCAAGGCAGACAAGCTGCGATGATGATGATAGATGCTAGCTACGAACATAGCGAAACCTAGTCTACGCGCTGACTAAGCTGTGGAAAGGGCCGATAGGCCCTTCGGTGCATAGCTCCTGCCCTTGGGACCCCTGGTTCAACGAGTGAGGCGGCGATGACGACTAGAGACTCGCGTTGGACATTGAGAAGCAAGGTTAGAGAGAAGAGCATGATGGACTCTCAACGGGAACGCTATGCGAGGAGATAGACATGAAGACTGGAAAGCCATATTGGATCAGGGGGAAAACACGGGGATACAAGTGTACGGAATAGAAGGACCGTGATGCCGAGGGGTCAATGCGCATATTGTCATGGTTAGGCGCTTAAACCGCACAGCCAGTGCTGAAGCTGTGGAGCGAACATGAGGCAAAGAAGACACACCTGCAGGAGACTTTAACAACGACCTCCATCCTGACCTGAATCTCTGTTGAACGAAACGCCCACTCTGTCGCAGTTTTCGTTCCCCATTTATCTTTCTTCGTACAAGCTAGATACATCTTTGGACCGAGTGAGTGATGAATTCGTACAGCCATTGATGGCAAGAGCTGACATTATCACGCACCCATTAAGTGAATCTCAAAACAAAAATTACGCTGCATTTAGCCCCTGCGAAGCACAGGAACCCAGCGACAAAGCCTTACCGAAAGATCAAAGTAAAGAACGGCATCAACCACATTCTACACCTCTCTGATGGACAGCGGATTATCATCAATTCAGATGATGGATCATTCCGAGTCTGGGACTTGGAAAGGGGCACGCAGGTTGGGAAGGAATGGGAGGACAAAGAAAGAGTGCGCACAATAGCATTGTCGCCGGACGGTGAGACGGTAGCAAGTGGGGGTTGGAGTATGAATGGGACGGTGAAATTGTGGAACGTCAACACAGGCAAAGTTGTCAAACAGTGGACGGGGGGTGCAGGGAGAGTGAAGTCTGTGTGTTGGAGTCCAGACGGCGGGCGAGTGGTGGTGTGTGTAATGGCGAATTTCAGAGTGTGGGATGTGAAGAGCGGAGAAAGCATCGTCGAGTCAATCGACACAGAGGAATTCACGCGTTACATGGAAGGGGTTTGCTACTCACCGGACGCCAAGATGATTGCCACAGGCGGGAAATGGCTGAAAATCTGGGATGCCAACACAGGCGAACTACTCAAAAAATTCCACCTGGGTTCCACAGGATTTGGGTACTTGGGATATTGGACCTCAGATGGAAAAACACTTTTCGCCGGGGAAGCCATAATCGACACAGCCACATGGACCATTCATCGACACGCCATTTCACTATCTCCCTTTACAGTTCATGAGCGCATCCTCACAAGCGCATCATGCACTGATATGTGCACAGTGCGACTATGGAACATCGAAACTTATTAATCCATCGGAACACCACTTCACCATGAACATGGTGTAACATGTGCGACCTTTTCTGCAGATGGAAAATTCCTTGTCACTGGCTGCTACGACAACGACCTATACATATGGGATGTTTCCGCCATCGTCAAAGAAGCTGGCCTTCTTTCAGATATCGTAAGCTTCAATGCATTTCATTTTCAATTATACTAACAACAGATCTGCTCGCCCAGGTCGATGCTACACCGCAACCAGCCTCAAAGTTGAAAGGTGCTCCTCGAATACCTCCAGGGTTCTTCGACGATGCACAACGAGAGGCTAATGTATGTGATCTCCATCTATTATTGTATGCTTTGACAAATACGTTTTCAGTTACCCACTCAATCCCATGAGCCACATAACCACGCCACTCCAGTACCACGTCAACGCGCCCTCAGTCGTTTTTTCTCATTTTTGCGCCGCTTCAAGCCACATAGGGAAACTGTGCCAGATACCCAATCCAGATCCCACTTTCTCAGTTGGACTCGGAACCTAGTATCTGGTATACCACGCAGACGAGATGGATCGGACATCCAATTGCAAGAGGTCAGGGTTCCTCACACATGGGCAAAGCCTGTGGGTTTTTTTTCCTTCCTTTTTCACGGTTCTTTGACAATGACTTCTTTTCGCCCAGAGGTACTATCACGCAACAGGGAAGAAAGCTTCCAGCTCGTCTCGACCTCCCAATACTCGTACCACGCAGCAAACCAACGTAGCAACCCAGAGTATGCTGCCATCATCACCGCAACCATCTCCTACTGTCACTGCTTCAACACCTCCCGCCATTGCTGGCACCCTGGGGACAATTGGAGCACCCTCATATCCTCATGTTGCCATTGCTGGATGGCGCGCTCGTTTTGTGGGCTGGCTTTGCTTCGTGCCCGTTCAGAACATAAACAGTCAGCCATAGTGACGCAACTACTGCACTGGCTACTGGAACAGCGTTGCGTCGTAATATCCAGGCCGGATGCTAAATTCCTTGGGTGCTCTGGATCGCTGTGCATCTGTTGAAAGGACACTTTCTGTCATCTCATATCGTTCCTGTGGCCACCTACACCTCGCCATTGTACTGTATCGTATTTCCTGCTTCATCCGCTCCGGTTTTATTTTTTAAATGAGTCTTATTTCATTGTCCTGTATGGACGCTACAGTACACTTCATCGGATGTAGGTACATCACTTTAATACATCCCCAGCAGGACTTGACAAAGGATAGTCTGTTATATGAGAGGTTGGTTGTACGTGTCTTTCAAACGATATACCCATGTCGATTAGACTGAGAAACTCATTTCGTTCCTTGTGAGTGGTCATTAGAAATGAAGCCTAAAATAATCATCAGTCTAATCACCAACCTGCTGTAACATGGTCAGACTGCCGCCCGCATAACCATTACACCAAAAGGTGAAATACTGAAAGCTTAGCTTTCAGCATCAGCGACAGTATATGTACTGATTATGGGAACTCAGGTAAGCCGGCGTGCTTACACCTGCACTGTGTTACTTACACCAGGTTCTCATAAGCGTTGACAGTTTCCAACCAGTGCAAGACGATTCAACCTGTTCGTACCTCTGGAGGCCTATAGTTATACAAAGCACCGTGCCATGGCTATGACGCATCACGGGCTGGATGAAGTCCAGCGAGTGTATTCAACTTGAAGATGATCTGAAGAAGGCCACTGCAACCACAACATTTCATCTTTGCGCGTACCCCTTATGCAATATCTTTCATCTAGATGAATGTCATATATTATAGTAGCGTTAAGTTGCCATTTGTAGGCATGTGCAGATCATCGTGTACGCGTGATGTCTTGCGATAACTAAAGCTCTGCTGAAGCTGAACAGCTTTGGGTTTCAGAATTTGTCAGGAAAATCGCTTTATGATGGCTTAAATACTGACCATAGGTTATTGTCACAATGTAAGAAAGACAGACGCTTCGATATCGTGTATTCAACTAATATTTTCAAGTAGTCGAGACTCAAGTGCAAGTTCTTCGGATATAGGGATCGGCTTGCACAGATGTCATCATTAGCGATGCTGCAACCAAACAATCACATCTTAAAGCTTTCCCTCAAAGAGCATTAATATTCCTCAGAACGTTCCTATAACATCATTGGTAAGTTTGAAATACTCATTCCATATTCCTACTGAGACGTGTATGTGTAGACAGTCGCAAAGTCAACGGCATGGCCGAGGTACCCATCATCCATCTGAGTATATAGTATCATCACTCCTGCAATTGCACAGCGAACTGGTGCAGACGATTATGTCGAAGAATTTCGAGTTCACAAGAATGTTCATTTCACAGCTAGATTATTCAGCGCATGCTGAAGTGTAGGTCTCTACGGAAGGTTTGAAAATATCACCAAAGTCGATTGTGTAGAGGTGCACCAGACTCAACCGTGGATGATCAACGAGGTAATCGACAAGATGATATCATTGCGCCGCTGCCCTTGCTATATTCAAGAATCTTCTGACAGGCGAGGGGTATGTGAACACCGGAGATGCAACTTCGAGTATCAAGGACATGTAGAGAAGCCACATCAAGATGCATGGAGGCAAGGCGTTGACTGTGAATACCCATTCGAACTATGAGCACCAGCTGCCGAAGATGCAGAGGGGTCTTGGTGGTTGTAGTCTCGTTATAATTTCGCCTCTGGAAGATAGGCTGGGTGTGTTCAAGAGTAGTAACCTGGTAACATTGTGGCTATGGTGCAGACTCTGACTATGCGGGTATGGTGAGATGCGCCAAGGATCCGGGTAGCGCATTCTTGCCTGATGGTCGAATATCAATTCTAATGAATGACTGGGAACGGCTTGTCAAGACATGATGAAAATTGCGTACGGTGTCCACGTAGTAGATGAAGCGATGAATGATCTCTTATCGTTGATAGGGAATTTAGTTGTTCAGCACTGTGCATATGCGTTCCCGCGAGTATGGAGACGTGGAGCTGGAGCAGACGAGACATGATTGATTAGACGAAGACTAGGAAAATATGATCAGGATAGCCAGATTATGATTTAGCTGGTGAGGCGGCGATGATGACAAAAAACTCACGTTGGACGTTGAGAATCAAGGTCAGAGAGAAAAGCATGATGTACTCTCAATGAGAATGCGGTGTGAGGAGATCGACGTAAAGACCGGAGAGCCGTGCTGGACCAGGCAGAAACACATGGATACAAGTGTGCGGAATAGAAGGACCGTGATGCCGAGGGGTCAACTGTCATGATTAGGCGCTTAAACTGCACAGCCAGTGCTGAAGCTGTGGAGAGAACACGAGGCAAAGACACACCTGCAGAAGACTTTAACAACAACCTCCATCTCAACCTGAATCTCCATAGGAAGAAACGCCCACTCCGGCGCAGCTTTCGTTCTGCATTCGTCTTTTGGTGTACAAGTCACGTACATCTGGATTCTGAGTAAGTGACGAATTAGTACGGCAATTGATGGTGAGAGCTGAAATTATCACACCCATTATAAGTAAATCCCGAAACCAAAATTATGGATGCCGCTGCGAAGCACAAGAACTCAGCGACAATGCCTCACAGAAAGATCAAAGTAAAGACCGGCATCAGGCACATCCTACGCCTGCCCGGTGTACAGCGGGTCATCATCTATTCATGGGGTGGGTCATTTCGAGTTTGGGACCTGGAGAAGGGCACGCAGCTTGGGGAGGAATGGGAGGATAAAGAATTTGGAGTGTGGACCATGGCATTGTCGCCGGGTGGCAAGACGGCAGCAACCGGGAATGTGAGTGGCGCAGTGAAATTGTGGAACATCGACACAGGCAAGGTTATCAAAGAATGGACGGGGCAAACAAATTGGGTGCAGTCTGTGTGCTGGAGTCCAGACGAAGGGCGAGTGGTGAGCGGAATCCTCGCAATCGGATTAGGAGGTGGAATGTTCACGGTACGGGATGTCGAGAGTGGCCCGGGAGAAACTATCCTGGGACCAATCCGTTGCAAGTCAGGGAACATGAACGGTGGTTTGCTACTCGCCAGATGGCAAGATGATTGCTACAGGCGGATTCTGGCTGAAAATCTGGGACGCCAACACAGGCAAATTGCTCAAGACAATGTTCGAGGTCACCGGAGTCATGTGCCTGGCATGGACCTCGGATGGAAAAACGCTTATCGCCGGGGGATGCTACATCAGAAAATGTGACACAGCCACCTGGACTGTTGTTCTTGACGTATTGGCAGACTCCACTGTGATTTCACTATCTCCCAATGAACGCATCCTTGCAAGCACATTGTCCTTCGACAAGACAGTGCAACTATGGAACCTCGAAACCAACAAATCCATCGGAACACTTCACCATGAAAACAGGGCGAACGCTATGACTTTTTCCACAGATGGAAAGTTCCTCGTCACTGGTTGCAACGACGGCCACCTACACACATGGGATGTTTCCGCTATTGTCAAAGAATCCGGCCTTCTGTTAGATATTGTAAGCTTGAATACATTTCATTTTCGACGACGCTGACAACGGATCTACTCCCTCAGTCTGATGCTACACCGCGACCAGCCCCAAAGATGAAAGGTGCCCGTCGGATACCTCCAGGTTTTTTCGACCAAGCACTGCGAGAAGCTAATGTATGCGACCTCCATCTATTATTTAATGCTTTGATCGATATGTTGTCAGTTGCGCATTCGTCTATCCCAATCCCATGGGCCACATTACTGTCCTACTCCAGTACCACATGAACGCACCCTCAACTCTTTTTCCTCGTTCTGGCGCTGCTCCAAGCCACATGGGGCAAATGAGCGCGACATCCAATCCCGATCACGACCTCTCAGCTCGATTCGAAACCTAGTATCTGGTATACTACGCAGACGAGATGGATCGGACATTCAGTTGCGAGAGGTCGAGGTCCCTTGCACATGGGCAAAGCCTGTACATTTTTTACATTCTCGTTCTTCTTCACCATTGACTCTTTTCGTACAGAGGAACTATCACGCGAGAAAGAAACCAGCCGCCATCTCGTCTCGACCTTCCAATACTCGTAACACGCAGCAACACAGCACGACAACACAAAGCACACTATCATCGTCACAGCAACCGCCTCCGACTGCTAATACCTCGACACTATCCGCCGTCCCTGGTATCGCCGAGGCAACGGGAACAACCTCGGGTCCTCGCATCACTATAGACTCTGGATTTCGCACTCGTTTCATGCTCTGGATTTGTTGTGTGTCCATTCAAAGCGTAGATGGTCATCATTGAAGTTCATTTTAGCTGTATGTTCATTCGTTTATTGTCGCATGTAATTCCTTATGACTTTCCTACCATCATCGTAGGGTATCTTTTCAGCATGCAGTATGTTCGGCATCAGGTCTCAGGCCAATCGTATGATATATGCGCGTCCACAGAAGGGAATAAAGTTGATCGTGAACTTGAAATTCTTCACATTGTATGCAGAAGTCGTTAAGATAAGCTTACGTAAATGTTCTCCCTCCACCCGCAGACAAGGACAACTGATGCCAACATCACTATCGTTGCGAACTTGAAACAGAATGACCGTTGATCACGAGTGGAGCATGGATCCTAGTGGAGGACAAGGCAACTGGCATCAGCCCCATTTAGAGTGTTGATCCATCACTAGCATGAGCACCATTTAAGGCTGACTATGGCCACCGCGAGAGCTTGCCCCCTCCAAAAAAAACCGCCCGCCTGTCTGTACAGGAAGTATCCCTGAAATTGTCTATGTGCAGGAGTCCATAGTTCCACATGCAGAAGCGAGGCTAGCAAACTTGAAGGAAGCATTATCGGCAGCGGATCAGTGAGTACCGATAATACTCAGCAAGGGCTTGTAGTCCGGTGGGCAGTCGAGAGTTCCCGAATGCTATGGTCAACCATGCTCTGAGTCTCATGTGGCCTAGCCTACATGGGTGTTTCGTGAGACGAACATCCGATCAGCACGTTCCCCGGCCATTGAGTATAAACGTGAATCTTCTCGGTCGTCCGTGTATTCGTCACAGTGAGCAGCAATACAATTCGGAAGGCATGCTATCAGGGAAAAGTGATTTCGATAACGGATGATGTCAACCGTCGCGAGAATAACTCGACGTGCGCTCGAGGGAGTAGTGGAAGGAGCAATTATTATGTCTCTGTTTCGGCATTGAAACATCTTGGAACATACCAAAGCAAGATCACCTCATTGAGTTTTTTATGAAAAGGTTTGTGATAACAATAATTTGCCGAGCCTGAGCCTGCACTCGAACAAGTATGAAAGCTCGACCTTCCAAGGGATTCAGAATTTTTCGAGCTTCCATCAAACCAAGTTTGAGAGACTCGCGTTGACCTGAAAAGTGGATTGACAACTTGAACAGGAAGACGGAGGAGAGCCTACCTGAGATCTCAGCCAAAGGATCAAAAATCTTGCATGTCATTAGGCAACAAGTCATTGCCGGTTCAAGAGAGACCTTCTTCAGATTATGGAGTCCTCGAGCTGTGGAAACGACTTGTTGCGAATCAATTTGCAATGTTGGACAATGGCTAGGAAGGTGTGACAAAATATGATTTGGTTGGTGCTGCGAAGACAACGATTAAGAACTCACATAGAACATGAAAAACAACAGCAAAAGGGAATAAAAATTAACCGTGTCGAATCAGGAGGGAAATACAGGAATACGTACTTGCACGATAGCAAAACTATCAGATGTGATGCATGGAGTCGCTTTTCTGACGTATAAACTTGAAGTCTATGGATAAGACGAATGGTAGTGCTCTCCAGAACTTTCGGAAGACGGTTAGATGAACGTGTCCAGTACAGAAACGACTCTCACAACACCCAAGTGTTACAGTCTGAAACTGGACAACAAATGGTGGGAACAACAGTTTGCAGCTATGATGTTGCGAATCCGATTTTGCATGAGTTTGGTCAGAGCTTGCCTTAGGAGGAGAAATCTCAGGTGCTATTTCCCAAAATTTTGTCATAGCCCCTACGGCGAAATTTGAGGAAATAGGCACCATCGCTAATACCTTACACACTAAAAGCTATTCAATGACCCCACCTTCACTGGGACCTGCATTCCAACTACAACCTAACGGCGTCCTTGAACCTGCTATATCAGTACTACCACAACCCCAAGTTCCGCGGTCCTGGCATTTGTAAACTGGACCCCAAACTCACGATGGACATGCCAGGCGCCGTATCAAAGATCTGCCAGCTTCTTTGTCATGTCTTTGCATCCTTGCCCGCATTGAGGAGCAGTCCAACAATGAGTTCACTCATGCTCGTCTCACCGAAGCTGCTCAGTGATAAGAAGCGTGTCCGATCACTGATCATCTGGAGGCTAGTCGCCGAGATATGCGATTTGAACAGTTCTCGTCCAAAAGCGTCTGAATTATGGGTGTTCTTGAGAGGATAGTATAGAGTCAGTTTCGATGGCAGTAGTATCGAGCGCGTACGTACCCAAAGATTGAGTGCATCGAGTGCAGGTGTCGTGGTGTAATGGGATGGGATGTGGACAGGCCTAAGGTTCTCTACACACGGACAAGCAACGGCTCTGTATGGAAGAGCGAGGCTGAGGAAGGGGACGAGGACTGGTTAGACGAAAATGAGGAAGGTGTAGTAGGCCAACCAGATTACGATTCAACTAGTAGGGTGAGGCAGAAAAAAAACTCATGTTAACCGTTGGAAACAAAGGTCGTGATGTGTCCAGTTGGACTCTCAAGGGGAATGGACAGTGAGGCAACAGGTACGGAGATTAGAGTGAAGAAATCATATTGGAGTGGTGGAGAATCCAGGGATATCAATGCAGGCTGGCGGGATTGTGGGACTGCTATGCTGGGCCGGATCAATGAAATTGGGCAGATTGTCAGAAGAGAATTTGGGCGCTTAATCTGCACAGCTAGTGTTGAAGCTGTGAAGTGAACACCAAGGAAGACGCACTATGTATGAGATTTACATAAACAACCACCACCTTCCTGACTTAAATCTCAATCAAACAAAACGCCCACTCCGTCGACCAGCTATCGTCCCGCATTTATCTTTCTGTGTACAAGTCAAGTACATCCAGATTCTGAGTAAGTAACGAATTCGTATGGCCATAGACGGTAAGAGCTGAAATTATCACCCTGCTCATTAAGTGAATCCCGAAACCAAAATCATGGGGCATCCAGCCCCTGCGAAGTATGAGAACTCAGCGACAATGCCTTACCGAAAGATCAAAGTGAACAACAGCATCGAACATATCCTACATCTGCGCGGTGGACATCGGATTATCATCTGTTCACAGGATGGGTCATTGCGAGTCTGGGACTTGGAGAGAGGCACGCAGGTTGGGAAGGAATGGAAGGACAAAGATGGAGGAGTGGAGGCCATGGCATTGTCGCCGGACGGTGAGACAATAGCAACCGGGAGTGTGAATGGCGCAGTGAAATTGTGGAACGTCGACACAGGCAAGGTCATCAAAAAGTGGACAGGGCATATAAAGAATGTATGTTCTGTGTGCTGGAGTCCAGATGGAAGGCGAGTGGTGAGCAGATCCAAAGATGAGACAATCAGAGTATGGGATGTTGAGAGCGGAGAAACTATCATTGGACCAATCAAGGCAGAGGGAGTCGACTGTGCGGGCGGTTTGCTATTCGCCAGATGCCAAGATGATCGCTATGGGCGGGTTCTACCCGAAAATCTGGGATGCCAACACCGGTAAACTACTTAAAACATTCTTCCTGGGCTCCAGAGGTGTTGGGTACCTAGGATGGACCTCGGATGGAAAAATACTTTTCGCTGGGGAAGCTAAGATCGACACAGCCACATGGACTGAGCTCTACGCGTACACCACTTCAATACGTCCCATTATAATTAATGAGCGTATCCTTGCAACTGCATCACACAGTGACAAGACAGTGCAACTATACAGCCTCGAAACTTATCAACCCATCGGAACACCACTCCACCATGAAGACTACGTGACCTCTACCACCTTTTCTCCAGATGGAAAATTTCTTGTCACCGGCTGCCACTACTCCAACTACATATACGCATGGGACCTTTTCGCTATCGTCAAAGCAGCTGACCTCCTGTCAGATATCGTAAGCTTCAATATAATTTATTCTCAATTGCACTGACAACGGATCTGCTCTCCAGGCTGATGCTACACCGCAACCAGCCCCAAAGATGAAAGGTGCTCCTCAGATACCTCCAGGGTTTTTTGATGATGCATTGCGAGAGGCTAATGTATGTGATCCCACATATTATTCAATGCTTTGCCGAATGTATTTTCAGTTGCGCACTCAATCCCATGAGCCACATAACCACGCCACTCCAGTGCCACGTCAACGCGCCCTCAGTCGCTTTTTCTCATTCTTGCGCCACTTCAAGCCACATAGGGAAACTGATCCAGATACCCAATCCCGATCCTACTCTCTCAGCTGGACTCGAAACCTAGTATCTGGTATACTACGCAAACGAGATGGATCGGACATCCAGTCGCAAGAGGTTCCTTACACAGCGGGCAAGCCTGTGCGTTTTTTCTCTTTCACTGGTTTCTCCCCAATGACTTTTTCACGCAGAGGAACTATCACGCAACAGGGAAGACAGCTGCTCGACCTCCCAATACTCATATCACGCAGCAAACCAATACAGCGACTCAGAGCACGCCACCATCATCACATCAACCACCTTCCATTGCCACTGCTTCGACAGTTTCTGCCGCTGCCGGTACCCCGGGGAAAATGGGAGCACCCTCGCATCCTCATGTCACCGTTGCTGGATGGCGCGCTCGTTTCGTGGGCTGGCTTTGCTTCGTGCCTGTTCAGAATACAAACAGTCAACCATAGAGATCGTGACATAAGGTCATTGCAATGCAGGCCGGATGCTAGACTCTTTGAATGCTCTGGATCGCTGTGTGTCTGTTGGACGGACACATTCCATCGTTTGATATCCTTTCCGTGGTCATCTGCACTTCGTCATTGTGCTGTATCATATTTCCTGCTTCACCCTGCTACGGTTTTTTATTTTAAACGAGTCTTATTTCAGTGCCCTACATAGATGCTACAGTACGCTTCAAGACAATTCACGCTTGTCGACCCGGTTATTAAGTTAAAATGAGAGTGACCTGCAGCACCGAGAAGGTAAACGAGTGAATGGACAAAGACTAAGGAAATATGACCAGGATGACCAAACTGTGAATTAGCTAGTGTGGCAACGAAGAAAGCAGAAGACTCAGGTTAAATATAGCATGTCGAGAACAAGGGCAGAACAGAAGAGCATGAGTTGGACTTTCAATGGAAATGCGGTCTGCAGCATCAGATTAGCCTAGGAATGCAAGCTTGCGGAATCGTAGGACTGCTACGCCGAGGTGTCAATGAAATTAGGCATATTGTCAGAAAAGAGAGTTGGGCGCTTTATATGCACAGCCAGTGCTAAAGCTGTGAAGTGACCACACAAGGAAGACACACGTGTAGAAGACTTCAACAACCACCCTCTTTGAATCCAATCAAACAAAACGCCCACTCTGTCGACCAGCTTTCGTTCTGCATTCAACTTTCCGTGTACGAGCCGAGTAGCACCTGGATTCTGAGCAAGTTATGGACTCGTATGAGATTTGATGGCAAGAGCTGGAATTTCCCTGCACACATCAAGTGAATCCCAAAACAGAAACCATGGGGGATCCAGCCCCTGCGATGCAAAGAACCTCAGTGACAATGCCTTACCGAAAGATCAAAGTAAAGGACAGCAACCGCCTCCCACTACCACTGCTCCGACACTTCTCGCCGTCGCTGGTACCGCGCCGACAACAGGAACAACCTCAAGTCTTCATATTACCATTGCTGGATGGCGCGCTCGTCTTGTGGGCTGGCTTTGCTGTGTGCCTATTCAGAACACAAACGGTCAACCATAGAAACGCAGCCGCAGCTACGGCACTAGCTACCGGAACGATGTCACGACGTAATCTCACTGCAGTACAGGCCGAATGCTGGACTCCTTGGGTGCTCTGGATCGCTGCGTATCTGTTGAATGGACACTTTTTATCGTCTCCTATCGCTCCCGTGGTCGTCTGTACCTCGTCATTGTGCTGTATCGTATTTCCTGCTTCATTCGCTGCGGTTGTGTTTTAAACGAGTATTGACGCTACAGTGTGCTTCATGAGATGTAGGCACACTATTTTAATGCATCCCCAGGAACTCGGCACTCAATCCTCAGTACTCAGTACTTGTCCATGCTCGTGACTTTCTTGAACGAACGCTGCACCTACTTGAGTCAGGCGTTCTCACTATGATCGTTAGCATGCATCTCTCCCTGGTCCTATCATATGTTGCTCCGAAATGGTCGGCCCCTCGTATGTGGAAGTTTCCCCATTGAATGGATTGCCACCGAATCCCCACTGGTCCGACCGACAGCGCCATAGTAGACACGCCAAACATCTTTTAGCGCCGACGAAGACGAGAATATACGTCCGGCTTTGCTGGACGAGAAGGATGCGTCTTGCGCGGGATGTGACCTGGATAGGTCCGCATTTCCTAGTCTGATCTCCACTCTCAAGGCAACCCTGGCGAGGGACAGTCTGTCATACGATAGGTAGACATTTCGGGGGAATCTCCTGGGGCCCCTGCTAGCTTCGGCGGTACTCTTCCGGGAAACCATTGCATGCCATTCTGCGTTTGCGTCTTTGAATTTGCCATATAGCCAGTGGGTCCATCTTGCATCTCGCCCGGGTGAGGAACATAGCAAGTTGCTTCTGAAGTGGGTCGATAGCAGAGGGAGGAACTCTTCCGGTTGTCTTTCACTGGCGTGTCACTAGTAGCACGTGCCTTCTGTCTTCTTTCAAAGCGATTTGATCGAGCGGCTGATAAGCTCGACCACGGGGAGGGCATTCCGCTAGGTCTTTTTGCTTGCATCAGCATCTATAATATCCGCTAGATCATGAACAATTCCCGATGCCTGCCTGTTGCCTGACCTCCTTGTATGTATTATTGATTATCTGTCCGCGCCACCCTCACAAAACTGAACTTCATGGTGTTCTTTGATAAGACTAGTACCCAGTAGCTGGACATCTTGCATAACGAGGATATCGACTGATATATCGCTGTCAGTGCAGTTTGTAGTAATTCTGGGACCGGCGGAGATACAGAGACCTCGTGCCTCGTGGTTATCATGAGCTCCGGATGGCTCGGACTGAGAGCTGAAATTGAGCCCATGGAATACAGGAAGTGACAGCGTTGCCAGTACTAGATAGATGGGAAGTTGGGGGCTGCTGACGGCGGACGGCGACTATCGAACTAAGGCTACTGACAGGAATACAACTCCGGTCGAATCCAACCATAGTCTGCGACAGACTTGCCAAGTCCAGATTGTCCATAACCAACACTTTTTGGATAAACACCCTTCCGGTGGCGGCTAGAGTCAGAGGTCCTTTGCCTGTGGCTGTGCCGATTGATTGCTAGCCCCTGTAAGAGTTTCAGCCTGAGGGAGTTATGTAGGAGCGTCAATCAAAGACTATTTCAATATCCTGTGTTCCGTAGTGATCGTCAGGTAAATAAATATACCAAACACCCTTTCCGGGCCGCAGTATACATGAACACAAGACCTCTCGACTTTTATCCCCGCACGTTGTCCTCCGATCAGTATGAACACATGCGTCACTGCCGCAAAATGTACTTATTCAGAATAAGAATACAAGTAAGCCCGCAGCAGCTCCCGCAGTCAACCCCAGTCCTAGCACCGCCTCTGTTCGCCCTGCAGCGCTAGAAGTTGTTGTGGCTTGTGCGCTCGTCGTGCTTGATGAAGACCCACTGGACGAAGGAGGCGTTACGGTGGGAGCAATTGTGCCGATGGAAGTAGGTATGGAAGTGGGTATGCCACTAGTAGGTACGCCGGTGGGGGTGGTAATGCTGAGGGATGAGAGCAAGCTCTGCACAGATGCTGACTCGGAAGAGAGGAAAGAGGAAAGCGAGCTGGTATCATACGAGCCGGAGTCATAAGTGATAGTAAAACCGTTTGAGTCCGATCTATATGCCAGTTATATATGAGTGTTTTTTGTTTTGAAGGGAAATGGGCATAAAGAGAAAGTCACATACGCTGGGATTCCGGTCACTGTTGTTCCTGCTTGCGCACTAGCGATGAATAAAAGCACAAGGGCGGACGTGAGTTTCATGGTGAAGATGAGAGTACAACAAGACTGTCGTTCGTCAGGAAGGGAGATTATTGAAACTGAGACTACTGTAGTGGTCACTCGTGTCGTGTACTTGTCGCCAAGGACTTTATGATATACGGTAAAAATTCAACTGACCATTGCTGCGTACGCAGCAGGGGAACCTTCTCTTGATATATAAACAAATGATGAGTCACCTTTGCGGCGCAAGCAAGCGCCCATCGTGATGGGACACAGCTAGAACCATTCCATCACTGCGGAAACGAGATTTTAACTTGCCACCTGCTAATAAGCGCATCCTCGCAAACACATCATCCAAGACAGCACAACTATGGAACATCCAAACCAGTCAACCATGAAGACAGGGTGAATTCTGTAACTTTTTCTACAGGTGAAAAGTTCCTCATTACCAGCTGCCACAACGATCACCTATAGTACACATGAGATGTTTTCGTGACTGTCAGAAAGGTTGGCCTTCTGTTATATATTGTATGTCTCGATACATGTCATTTTCGATGACAATGACAATGGATCTGCTCCCCCAGGCTGATGCTATACCACAATCAGCTCCAAAGATGAAAGGTGCTCCTAGAATACCTGGCGACTATGCACTGCTAGAGGCCAATGCAATGTGATCCCCATTTATCATTTTATTATTCAATGCTTTTGACAAATATGCTGTGCACTCGTCAGTTCGCTCAAATATTTCCATCGCAGCATGTTAATGCACTCATCTGCCGAAGATCGTTCAACCTTGCTTGGGCCCCAAAAGCATGCCGTCGAGAGCTGAAGAAAGCCTGCCTACTGGTTGGTAGATAAAAGAAAAACATGCGTTGTACACAGATTTTTGACATTAAGACGAGGGGGGCGAGGTAGAATGCAGAAGTTGTCTTGAGCCGTGCGTCGAGGTGACGGAATAAAGAACACACAGAACTAGTGCATGAACCCCGCTATTCCCAAATTAGTGGGTCTCCGTGACAAGCGTTGGAACGGCGTGTTCCCGTTTGATCGTCGGATCAACTTGAGATGTCGCACCAGCAGAAAGATGCTAGGTTTACGGTGAAGGAGAGACTCCACGAAATCTCTAGGTGTACCTGTTCAGGACTCCGACACACCTTCCTCTGAACATGGGGACCTGGATCCGGGAAAATAAAATTATTGAGGGCAAAGGCTATGGAGGTGTCATAGAGTTACGTTGTACAAAAGGGGGATTCCAAAATAGATTGCGCGAATTGGAGGACACGAGCAGCTCAGTGATGTCCTTGTTTGCATCGAGGGGTGTCCTAGCGAGGGAGGTATTCGTGCTCGTCTCAATAAATTCACTCGCTGATAACTGTGCCCAATCGCTGTATATCGACAGGGTAGTTGGTAAGGTGTGAGTTATCGTGCTTGTCGGTGTCGTTGGCAGCCTTATCCTCCTACTTTCAAGAATTCTGCTAGAAGGCGAAGATCGTCTGTACCAGCGATGCAACTCAAGTATCAAAGGCACGAGTGCAGATGCCGTACTTGGACATTTGGAAATGTGATAATTCATCTCGTCGTTTGAACTTCAGGCCTCCTTTTGAGCACTAAACGTCGAGAATGCTGAGACGGCAGCGTGGCTGACAGCCTATTCCAGAAGTTAACGTGCTGAGAGGTTGCCACCGGAAGATCGATTTGGGAGGAATTTTTTGTTCGGTACGGTTTCTCCGAGTACCATGACCGAGGGCGTTCCGTTGGTTCTTTTCTCTTGCCTCAGCATCCGCAATATTTGTTAGACCATGGATTTTGTCATAGATTATCTGTGCACACCACCATTACAGAACTGAACATCTCGCATCATGAGGATATCGACTGATATATCGCCGTCAATGCAGCTTATAGTAATTCTAGGACCGGCGGAGGTACAGAGAGCTCGTACCTCGTGATGATCATGAGTTCCGGATGGCTCGTACTAAGAGCTGAGATAGAGTGCATGGAAGGCACAAAAGTGGCGGCGCTGCCAGTTAAATATAGACGAGAAGCGTTAATGTAGAGAATTGCAAAGTGACTTACTTCTGTAGAGGCTGGCAGCCGCCGACGGCGGTTGTCGAGCTGAGGCTGCTGACAGGAATACAACTCCAGTCGAATCCAACCATGGGCCAGAGTCCGACATCCTGTCCATAACCAACACTTTTCGATAGACACCTTTCCGGTGGCGGCTAGAGCAGAGGCCTTTGCCTGTGGCTGTGCCGACAGACCGAAACAACTTGCTGGCCCCTGTAAAGCAGCCTGAGGGAGTTATGTAGGCACGTCAATCAAAACCTATTTCAATAGCCTAGGGTGATCCGTAGTCATCGTCGGATAAATACATATACCAAACACCCTTTCCGGGCCGCAGTATACATGGACGTAAGACATCTAGACTTTTACCCCTGGACGTTGTTCTCCGATTAGTATGAATAAGTACATACGTCACCATCGTAAAACGTACTTATTTAGAAAAAGAACCCAAGTAAGCCCGCAGCAGCTCCCGCACCCAACCCCAATCCCAACCCCACTTCTGTTCGTCCTGCAGCGCTAGAGGTTGTCGTAGCTGGTGCGCTCGTCGTACTCGATGGAGACCCGCTGGACGAAGGAGACGTCGGCGCTATGGTGGGAGAAATTGTGCTGATGGAAGTAGGTATGGAAGTAAATGTGTCACTAGGGTTGGCAGTGCTGAGGGATGAAAACACGCTCTGCAGAGATGCTGACTGGGAAGAGAAGAGAGAGGAAAGCGTGGAACCTGATCTATATGTTGGTTGTACGTGAGTATTTTTGTTGTGATTTGGTTTGAAAGGAGGTAGGCATAAAGAAAAAGTCACATACCCTGGGACTCCGCTGGGTAGGATCAAGGTTGAATGAGTTGTTGCTGCTTGAGCACTAGCGATGAACGAGAGCACAAGGGCGGACGTGAGTTTCATGGTGAAGATGAAAGTACAACGAGACTGTTGTTCGTCAGAGAGGGAGATTATTGAAACTGAGACTAGTAGTCACTCGCGTGTCATGTACTTGTCGCAGATCCAGGATCGAGAGGCAGCTCACAGCGAGGACTTTATACTTATACGGTAAAAACTCAACCGACCATTGCTGTGCACGCAGCAAAGGAACTCCTTGATATATGAACAAATTATGTCACCTTTACGGCGCAAGCAAGCGCTACCGTGATGGCTCTTGTTGAACTAGAACCATTCCATCAGTGCGGAAGCGAGATCTTAACTTACCCAAGCCTTGATGAGCACATCCTCGCAAGCACATCGTCCAAGATGGTGCAACTATGGAACCTCGAACTATCAGAACACTACTTCACCATAAGGACAGGATGAATTCCGTAACTTTCTCTACAGCCTGAGTGGAAAGTTCCTCGTCACTGGCTGCCACGACAATCACCTCCACCATGAGATGTGCCGGGATAAAGAACGTACAGAACTAGTGTGTGAACTCCGCTATGCTTAAATCCATGACAAGGATCGGAACGGCGTGTTCCCGTTTGATCGTCGCATCAATTTGAGATATTGATACTGATCTTGATCGAGGAATATATAAGGAAAACGTACGAGATGTCGCACCAGCAGAAAGAGTCTCATGATGCATTCCCGGTGAAGGATACTCCATGAAAACCTTAGGCATACCTGTTCAGGATACCTTCCTCTGAACATGGGGACCTAGAGCTGGGGGGAAAATATTATTAGGAGGGTAAAGGCGAGGAAGGTGTGATGGAGTTACGTTGTACAAAAGGCGACTCCAAAGTAGATTGCCCGAATTGGAGGACGCAAGCAATTCGGTAATGTCCTTGTTTGCATCGAGGGACGTCCGAGTGAATCCATTCACTGATAACTATGTCCAATCGCTGGGTATCGATAAGGTGATTGCCAAGGTGTAGTTTATCGTACTTGTCGGTGTCGTTGGCAGCCTTATCCTCTAACTTTCGGGAATTTTGCTAAAAGGCGAAGAGCGTCTGCGCCAGGGATGCAACCCGAGTATCAAAAACACAGGTGCAGATGCCGTACTTGGAGATTTGGAGGTGAGATGATTCGTCTCATCGTTTGAACCTCAAGCCTTCTTTTGAGTACTAGTCGTCGAGAATACTGAGGCGGCAGCGTCGTTGACAGCGCATTTCACAGGTCAACGTACTCAAGGGGGTGCTATCGGAAGATGGTTTTGGGAAGAAGACCGTTGAATGTGTTTGTTCGGCACGGCACAGATACGTTTCTCCGAGCACCTAGGCGTAGATCTGGAAGAGAAGGGAAATGACTAATTGGGCGAAGACTAGAAAGATGTGACCAGGATGGCCAGATTTGCAAATTATGTAGTGTGGCGACAAAGAAGGTGAAAAACTCAGGTTGGCCATTGAGAACAAGGGCCGTTGAGAGAAGCATCATGGGTCGAGTTGGACTCTCAAGTGAAATGCAGTGCGGGGGACTAGATACGAAGACTGCAGAACCATGTTGGCCCAGGCAGGCTTGTGGGACTGAGGGACCACGATAGTGAGGGGTCAATGCAGATGAAGGAAATATGAATATTGTTCAAAAATAGCCTTGAGCGCTTAGCCTGCACAGACTAATTAGTGTTGAAGCTGTGAGGCAAACACCAGGATGAAAAGGAAGATGCGCCTCTAGAAGACATAGACAACGACCGACCTCCTGACTTGATTCCTCATTGAACGAAACACCCACTCTGCCGTAGCCTTCGTCCCGCATTCGTCTTTCTGTGTACGAGTCAAGTACATCTGGATTCTGAGTAAGTAATGATTTCGTACAGCAACTGATGGTAATAGCTGAAATTAGAGCGCATTCATGAAGTGAATCCTGAAACCAAAATCGTGGGGCATCCAGCACATGCGAAGTACGATAACTCAGCGACAATGCCTGACCGAAGGATCAAAGTAAAGGACAGTATCAGTCACACCTTATACCTACCTGATAGACAGCGGATGATCACCTATTCATGGAATGGGTTGTTTCGAGTCTGGGACTTGGAGAGGCACGCAGGTTGGGGAGGAATGGGAAGAAAAAGATGAAGGAGTGTACGCCATAGCATTGTCGCCGGATGGTAAGACGGCAGCAAGCGGTCGTGAGGATGGCACAGTGAGATTATGGAACATCGAGACAGGCAAGGTCATCAAAGAACGGACGGGGCATACAGAGGAAGTGGGGTCCGTATGCTGGAGTCCAGACGGAGGGCGAGTGGTGAGCATATCCCGGGATGAAACATTCAGAGTATGGAATGTCAAGAGCGGAACAACTATCCTCGGACCAATCGAGGCAGGAAAATACGTGTGTGCAGTTTGCTACTCACCGGATGGTAAGATGATTGCCACTGGTGGCGGGTACAACCTGAAAATCCGGAATGCCGACACAGGTAGATTGCTCAAGACCGTGACGATCGAGGGTGATTGTACGTGCCTGGCATGGACCTCGGGCGTATCACCGGGGGAAACAAAATCAACACAGCCACATGGGTAGTTCTTGATGTGCGCGAATTTCACACCCACTGATCATTTTACCATCTCCCAATGACCGCATCCTCGCAAGCGCATCAATCAACAAGACAGCGCAACCATGGAACCTCGAAACCAATCAACGCATCGGACCACCACTCCACCATGAAGACAACGTGATCAACGCGACTTTTTCTGCAGATGGAAAGTTCCTCGTCACTAGCTACCACGACGGTCACTTATACACATGGGATATTTCCCCTTTTCTCAAAGAAGCTGGCCTTCTGTTGGATATTGTAAGCTTCGATATATTTCATTTTTGGTGACAATGACAATGTATCTGCTCCTTCAGGCTGATGCTCCAGCTCCGAAGACGAAAGGTGCCCCCAGAATACCTGCAGGGTTCTTTGACGATACACTGCGAGAGACTAATGTATGTGATCTCCATTTATTATTCGGCGTTTCGACAAATATGTTGTCAGTTACACACTCGTCTATCCCAATCCCATGAGCCACATAACCACCTCCCTCCAGCACCACGTCAACGCACCCTCAGTCCTTTTCCCTCATTCTGGCGCCGCTCCAAGCCACATGGTGCGACTGAGCGCGACGCCCAATTCCCATCCCGGACTCGAAACATAGTCTCTAATATGATGCGCAGGCGAGATAGATCAGACATAGAGATGCGCGAACCACCTGTAGTCGAGGTCCCATACACAGCGGGCAAGCCTGTGCATTTTTTTCTCTCTTCAACGGTTCTTCGTTGCTGTTGACTCGTTTTGCGCAGAGACATTATCACGCAAGAAAGAAGAAGTCAGCTACTAGCTCATCTCGACCTCATACCACGCAGCAATCCAGGGCACACCATCATCGCAACCACCACCGCCTGCTGCTGCTTCAATACCTTCCGCCGCCATCGGTACCGCGCCGACAACTGGAACAACCTCGCGTCCTCATGTCACCGTTGCTGGATGGCGCGCTCGCCTTGTGGGCTGGCTTTGCTGCGTGCCTATCCAGAACACACACGGTCAACCATAGAGATGCAGTCGCAACACCATACTGGCTACTGGAACAATGACGCGACATAATACCACTGCAATACAGGCCGAATGCTAGACTCCTCGGGTGCTCTGGATCGCTGTGTATCTGTTGAACGGACACTTTTTATCGTGTTATATTGTTCCCGCGGTCGTTTGCGCTCAGTCATTGCACTGTAGCGCACTTCCTGCTTCATCTGCTTATATATCGCCAGGAACTCGGCATTTAATCCTCAGTACTTGTTCATGCTCGTGACTTTCTTGAACGAACGCTACGCTGAGCACGGTTTCGCACCTACTTGAGTCAAGCGCTCTCTCCATTATCGTTAGCATGCATATCTCCCTGGTCCTATCATATATCGCTCCAAAATGACCTCCAGAATGATCGGCCCCTTCGTGTGTAGAAGTTCCTCCCATTGAATGAATTACCGCCGAATCTGCAATGGTTTGGTCAACAGCGCCATAGTGGATACGCAAAACATCTTGTGGCGATGACGAAGACGAGGACATGCATCCGGCTTTGCTGAATGAGAAGGATATGTTTTGCGTATAATGTGATCTGGATCATGCCGTGCCATTCCCTACTTCGTCTTTGGAGCTGCCTTATTGCCAGTAGGTCCGTCCTGCATCTTGCCCAGGGTGGAGAACACAGCAAGTTGCTTCTGAGGTGAAGTGATAGCGGAGGGAGGAACCTTCTGGATGTTCTTGACCTGCATGTCACTAGTACTTGGTAGGCGTCTTCTGTGAGAGTGATTTGATCGAGCGGCTCAAGGTCTGGACCATGGTAAGGGCGTTCCGTCGGTACTTTTTGTTTGTTTCAGCACCCGCAATACTAGAATGGTTCCTGACTGATCACCCACGGAAGACAGGAAAGCTTAAGTGGCAGCGCTTGACACCACCGAGGGCCGAGGCTGCTGACAGGAATAGAACTCCGATCCAATCATGAGCCAGACAGTCTCGCCTGTCCATAAACTCACACCAACTTTCACCTTTCCGGTGGTGACTAGAGTCAGAGTACCTGACCGAAACAACTTGCTGATCCCTGGGAAACAGCCTAAGGGAGGTAGGCGCATCGGACGTCCGTTCAAAGTCTATTTCAATCTCCTGTGATCCACAACTATCGTAAAATATGCTAAATACCCTTCCCGGGCCCGCAGTTGCCCCGCAGTACACACGGACGTGAGACCTCTCGACTTTACCCCTGGACGTATCCTCCGACCGGCATGAATACATGCGTCCCCACCGGAAATGGACTTATTCAGAACACGAACCCAAGCAAGCCCGCAGCAGCTCCCGCAGCTAACCCCAGCCCCAGCCCTGCCTCTGTTCGTCCTGCAGCACTAGAGGTTGTCGTAGCTTGTGCGCTCGTCGTCGGCGTAGACCCGCCGGACGAAGAGATGTTACGGTGGGAAGAATGGAAGTAGGTAAGTCAGTGGTGTAGGATGAGAGCACGCTCTGCACAACTGATGACTCGGAAGAGTAGAGCGAGGAAAGCGAGGAAAGCACTGAAGTAGCAGCTGTGGTGTCAAAAGAGATGGTACTGAAAGGCAAGCCGCTTGATCTATATGTCGATTACACATGAGTATTTTGGTTTTGATTGAGTTTTTGAAGGGAAATAGGCATGAAGAGAAAGTCACATACGCTGGGACTCCGCTGGGTAGTATCAAGCTAGAAATTGTTGTTGCTGCTTGCGCACTGGCAATGAATGAAAGCACAAGGGTAGACGTGAGTTTCATGATGGTGAAGATGGAAGTAGGACAAAACTGTTGTTCGTCAGAGAAGGAGAATCTTATTGAAACTGAGACTTGTAGTCACTCGTGTCGTGTACTTGTCGTAGATAGGTCTGGGACGCAGCTTACGGCGGGGACTTTATATATGGTAAATTTTTATAATTTAACTGACCACTGCTGCGCACACAGCAGAGGAATTTCTTAGCTTTATAAATAAATTGTGTCACCTTTACGGCGCAAGCGCCACTGTGATGGGACGCGACTTGGACCTCGTGGTCCTGTGTATCCACAGCTACTCGGAATCCAAATTTGCTTGAGTCTGTGCTGTCTTGACGTTCACGATATAGCACTAGTGCGCCCCCTCACGATCATATACGCCGGTCCGGGAATGAAGGTGGGACGATTATTCACACCGCTAGCTGTAGTCGCTGCTACACAATCTGAATTTAACTATTTCATGGCCAAAGTCTCTTCAAAATCCCTCTCAACCCACCCTCCTTCGAGTTCTCTTTCTCTGCCTTCGCCGTACCTTGGACCTGAGCCTCGACGTCCGTCCCACTCTGCGCGTAACGCCGTTTGTACTGCGCGGGGGTTTCTCCCACTGTACCATGTTTCCACATGCCTCTGCGCGCAACTCTGGAGAAGGCATAATGGATGTGAGGTTGTTCGCCACAAAAGTGGAACAAATCAATGTGCGTCAGTGTAGAAACTTACCGCGACTCAGCCTCAGCTCTCAAAAACGCATCCTTTCCATACTTCCCGTACTCGGCACCTGCTTGTTCATAGGTCAGGCCCGTGCCGGCCCGGATCATTTCAAGTGCGAGACTCCGGCCTGTAATAAGCCAGCCTGGGAGGAACGGTGGCGGAAGAGTGACCACAGATACCTATTTGACGTGAGTACGAATGTCAGCCAGTGGGTACAATGGGAATGTGGTGTCAGTGCATACAATACGAGAATATTGGTCACGTCGAACGAGTTGGCAGTAGACTATCCTGCCCTCGATCGCATCCTTCAACCACGCGAGAGCTTCTACAGCGTATGGCTGGGCTTGGCGACCAAAATGTGATCCCTGCACGCAATGGACAAACAATTCAGTCAGGGTGGTCTCGTCCAGAACTCTCTAGAGCCCTACTTGTATAACCAACGCACCTCGGGCGCATCAACACCTGCAATACGAACAGTGGATCGTTTGCTCTTTGAGCTCTTATTGATTGATTCAAGTGAGCACATATTCCGTGAGGAGGTGGGGGACACAATCGGACCTTTGCTCAAAGTTGGTACTCTCCTGAATTTCAGTGGCCACCTCCACCCAATGCCAGGGGTATGATACAGCCTAAAGTTATCTGCATCCCCTACACTTGGCGTACCCATTACAGATCAACCAAGTCCAAAGTCTACATAGCGTTGGAACTCAACTCACCTCGTCACGACACCCCTCACCCATCTCTTCCGCCGAAGTATATCAGGCGTAACCCACTCAGCTGTCCTCAAACGCCTAAAATACCGTCTGTACACGAATGTTACACCAAGCGTCGAAACAGAGCCAAGGAAGAAGCCAGATAAAACAATATATGCAGCGGGCCGTGACCCGAGCTCATACGCTTTGGCTCTGAGGCGGTTTTTGATATTGGCGTTGTACTCTTGAAGAGTATCTTTCGTGTAATCTTGCGCGGTAGCCACATGGGTCTTCAAAGTGTCTTTCGTAGCAGACCAGCGGTCTCTAAGTCCGCGCTGTTCAGAAGGTAGGGACGATGTGCACTCTTCCGATGACCGCTGCTTCTGGCGCCATGGAAGATGCATTGGTCAAAGTGGTCACAGTACTAAGCTAGCACTAGTAGTCCACTATGAGAAGAAAAAGAGACCAACGGTGGTCATCTTGGGCTAGTAAGCGTACTGCATAGCGGACAACTTGGATCTTTATCACATACAAGTTTTAAATGCTCTAGCTTTGCCTATGATCTCTATGTAGAGTCAGATCACAGACCGTTGGACCGAAAGATATCACCATCACCAACTGGGTTTGCGGTACTTCGACGTGAACAACTACTAGTAGCCGAATGACTAAGCTACGGGAAAGTCCGACAAATCTGATAAGTCCGCCTCCACCACTACAATTAGTCTTGAAATTAACTTGGGCAACCAGAACATGCTACATCGAAATTTGAAGACCCTATGGGGCAGAAGTATGTTGACTCGTTGGTCTCAACGATTCCCGTTTTCTGCATCCAGTTCAACAGGTTACACACGCATGTTCAGAACTAAGCATTGCACCTACATTGTAATAACAGTCGCAGAAGTCTCCTGCGGGGTCATCGCCTCTGTAGCTGTATCACGCCATGATGTAAGTCTCTTACTTTGAGCCCATTTTATGATTTAGGACACTCACAAGCAATGGTATCCACTGCGCACTGTACATTGCTCCTTGAGGTTGTATGTCACGTTGTTGTATATGACGGATGTCGCGCATTCCATGCACTGTGCGGTAGCGTACGCGGCGAGCATACAGAACACCGTGATGGATGTGGGGACGCGCATGGTGGATGCGCTTGGCCGGAATATCCAACCCAGGCTCATATACCTCGCTCGTTACCCCATATCTATATAATACTTCCGGGGCAATCGGCTTTAATTTCGTCAACGTATCATTTATGCGGGTCAATGATCTTGCAAAATATTGATTCTTTTTCTAGAAATGCATTTGTCGTTGTCGATGGTCTGGACACAGAGCGCGCATTCGGCGCTGTAAAGCCACTGATCGCTCCAAATGTTGGAGTTACTGTGTCATAGGTGCGGCGAGTCTTGCATTCGATCTATCGCAAGCAGGTACAATGGCAACCCATCGGTGAAGACGTGAATATTGACTGTTGATGCGGAGTCAGCAGTCTTGGTGATACGTCATTGCCCTGGGAGAACAGGTAAATGCTACGTAGTTTCGCTGGATGATATTTCTTCCGACCACGCATTGCACTCAGATGGCAATATTCGCCTAAGTAATTCCTAAACAAACCTCACCATCGATACAAGTCACGATGTCTGACTCCCTCCCCTCCCGGAAAGTGCTTCAGACCTGTACTCCCGACTGTGCAACTTCGCCCTACTATCTGCTAATGGTGTCCAGTCTTGACAGAGATAAGGTTTCGAGCCATCCTGCTACGTGACGAAGGTGAACTTGACACTACCTGTTAATTTCATTTGCACCATAAGCACCGCTGGTTATATGACGCCTAGATTCGTTCCCAGATTCTGTTTCTACGAGCTACTCCACAAACACAAGGATACGGGCAGGACCGATGGATGCAATGCACCGCAGCCCTTCTACGAAGGATGATTCGTACTAGATCCGCGAGCGTGAATCTATGCCGAAATCCTCCCAGTTGGACTCATATCGAGTATTGCAACTGACGCTCATCACATTATGATCTTGGTGCTCTTGCCCTTGAATTCCTGACCTTCGCAATGATCTCGAGGGCGCGATCATGTCCACATTCGATCATGGAACTATGCACGATCGAGTTTGGAAATTCCCGCCTTGATAAGCGCACCAATTGTAGGTTTATCTCGTTCGCCGTGAAGTTAGCAATCTAAATAAAGACAGAAGCCGGAAATCCGATGTCGGACCAGATAAAACTGACAGCTACAGCGCAAGTTGAGACTCGAAAGCCCTAGCTCTGACATAGCCAAAGCTTCAGTGGCGCTCTGGAGGTACGCAAGTGGCAATTGCAGACACAGTTCGTGGTCGCGCAAGAGGCGCTTGTGCTACTTGCCGATGTATCGCTTGGCGAGGAATCGTGAATAATTCTGAGCTGGCTAGAACCAGATTGAGGCAGACGATCTTCACCTGCCTAGACTGAGGTTGACTATTGAAGGCAAGATACTGATATATCGGCACTACCTCGTACTCGCTCATAAATTATACGCAGGATGCATGAGCTACCATATTGAATGGGACCCGTCCCCTGTCCCGTGCCCTCCTGTCCAACTTCCGCAGGGGAAGCTGAATGCAACGCGGAAAAAAGAACCACTGTTACAGCCTGTTCAAAGTGTCCCGTGATTGTCCAGGCATGTGGCAAGATATCTATCGTATGCCTCATGCTAGGTCTCGGCAGATCTCTTCTTCTTTGGCCAGCACACTTGTAGTCACATTTGAAGCTTGCCACGTGATAGTGACTGAAGGCGTATGCACGCCGAGGATCCCGTCTTGTTTTCTTATCGGTCTGACATTTTCGTGCGCTTGTTAAGGTCGCGTCACACCATATAAATGAAATATGCTCCACCAGGCCGCATGTCTGATCTTGTGATCCCTGAATACAGTCCCGATTGTCCGAATATCCATGAAATCCGTGAAGAGAGGTGTCATCGAGTACAGTTATCATTGTGTCGTGGAAATACTGCCTGTTGATGTCGTCATCTCCCGAGTTTCCTCCGCCCTCCACCTCAAGGCTTGAATTTCTAAATAAACCATCACGACGTCACTTGTATGGAGAGCTCCCACGGCAAGATGATGTGCTGTTCGCGATTCTGTGATTAGATCGGGGTAGACGATTGAAGAACATATAGTGCGTTGGGGCAGACTCAGTTCCATAGAGCATAGTTTTTGTTTGAAGGCTGGTCAACCGACCATTTCACACAATTCAGTGGGAAATGGACATAAAGAATCAGCAGGACATGATTGCGGACCAGAGTACGCGTGACGCGTGGTGTTTCAACGGCGGTTGGAGTCATGTGTGAAGGACCTCTCCCATGAAAGGTTATACATAGCCCATGAAATGCTGGAGGTTATCGTAAGTCAGCCATGAAAGTGAAGGATGAAATTGTGAAAGATTATCTGGTGACCGTGCGCCAAGTGGCGTCGTCTGGTTTTGCAACGAATCTTTAGCAAATTTGTATAGACTTATGGGGAAATTGACTATTTCCCCCAGAATCTGGGGTAAAACTTGTGCGGTTCTGACAAATTGCAATGTGAACGATGTGAATAACAACCGTTCATTGCGGAGAGCTAATTTAATCCATCAGGACCAGTCAGTTATAATCAGCAGTAACAATGCAGGTCAGTAGCGATTTCATCTGGATATCCCTTCCCCGTTTGGGTCCCCCAGGATGGCTCCAAGGTCGCTTTCGTTCGTGCTGCTACTTGTGTCGTATGCGGTCGCGTCGAGTTCTTCGGCCACGGTCCCGACGGTTTCTGCTTCTGCATTCAGTAGCAGTACCCCTGTCACGAGTAGTACAAGCTCATTGAGCAGCGCGAGCACGTCAACCAGTGGCATCGCAACATCCGTGTCAACCTCCTCCTCGATGACTTCCTACCTTGCTACTGAGACTGGTCCTTTAACTTTGCCCATCTCACACTACTCTTTCACTCCGTTTCCGACTCCAACGCTCGCGCCAGAGCCACCAGGTTTCCCTGCAACAGATCCTTTATATCCCCCTCCTGTTAGTGCAGACCCAGTGATTGTGCCTGACTTTGCTCCAGCTTGGGCAGTCGCTTACACGAAAGCAACGTCTATGGTATAAGGAGTGAATGCGCTTGATAATGCAATTTTTCTGATTTTGCGTACAGATATCGAACTTCACTATCGAGCAAAAAGTCAACATTACTACGGGCGTTGGCTGGACTAATGGTCTCTGTGTCGGGAACACTCCTCCTGTCGGAGACTTCCCTGGGTTGTGTCTTCAAGTCAGTGAATCATGACGTTTATTTTCGACGAGTGTTAAATCTGCTGGCGTATCCTCTACTCTAGGATTCACCGCTTGGAGTCCGGGATACTGACTTCGTCACTTCATTCCCCGCTGGTATCACTACCGCATCCACGTAGGTCTTACATGTGACATTCTTTCACCTCAAATGATATATTGTGATGTAGCTGGAATCGCGCTCTCATGCGTGCCAGGGGTCTCGCAATTGGTCAAGAGAACCGAATGAAGGGTGTCAATGTCGCTCTGGGACCCATGATGAATATGGGCCGCATCGCTCAAGGTGGACGCAACTGGGAGGGATTCGGCGCTGACCCGTTCTTATCTGGCGAAGCCGCTTATGAAACAATCCTGGGTCTACAATCTGGTGGTGTCCAGGCCACCGCGAAGCATTACATGAACAAGTGCGATTTAAACATGTCATTGTACTAGACTAACCTTGTAATCTAGCGAACAAGAATGGAAGCGCACGCAGGAGTCTTCCAATGTCGATGATCGTACCGAGCATGAAATTTACGCACAACCTTTTATGCGTGCTGTAATGGCGGGTGTCTCATCGGTTATGTGCAGTTATAGTGAGTGTCTCCTAAAGTCGAATGGTCAGTGCCTCATGCGACCCAACATTCAGACTTGGTCAATGACACTTATGCTTGCAACAACAACAAGACCCTCAACGACATGATGAAACGCGAGTTTGGCTTCCAAGGCTGTGAGTCAAATTTGATATTTTGGATGAATAGCCCCTGAGCTGTATATCCTTGTCCAGTCATCCAATCTGATTGGTCTGCGACGATGAGCACCCTTTCCGCTGTCGCTGGTCTTGATGTAAGTGTAGTGTTGATTATGTCTCAGAACACTGATCCGATTTCATTAGATGACGATGCCTGGAGACATAACCCTCGGTTCAGGGACTTCTTACTATGGTCAGAATCTCACGGACTTTGTCATGAACGGCACTATTTCTGTGCAGAGGCTTGATGATATGGCGACGCGGATTATTGCTGCATGGTACTACTTGCATCAGGATGAAGGTTACCCAAATGCCACTGTTTCTTCGTTCGACCTCTACAACCCCATTAATCAGGAGGTCAATGCGCAAAGCGATCATTATCTAATTGTACGCGAGATTGGTGCCGCTGGTACAGTTCTTCTAAAGAATGAAGGCGCCCTCCCTCTGGACAAGCCGAAGAGCATCGTTTTAGTTGGGAGTGATGCTGCTCCACCAGTTTCGGGTCCCAACGAGTACTACAGACCAGGGTGGTGATCCAAGTGGCATCCTTGCGATGGGCTGGGGTTCTGGGTAAGTGGCAGACTTGCGTGCATTACAATATCTCTCAAGCGCTTTTACCTTTAAGTACCGACAACTTCACGTATCTCGTTTCCGTGAGTATCTTGGTTTTTGTACAATCGTTCTGTTTAACGATTGCCTTGGCCTTTCAGCCCTACGAAGCCATTCAAGCACGCGCCCGGGTGGATCAGACTAGTGTTTTCTGGAACTTTGATGACTGGGATCTCGCCAGCGCAGGCAATTCCGTCATTGGCATGGAAGCCGCCATTGTTTTCGTTAACTCCGACTCGGGTGAAGTGGGTCGTCCAACCTTGACTTCGGTTCTTACGGCTTACTTGAACACAACGCTTCTTAGGGTTACATCACTGTCGATGGAAATGCGGGTGACAGGCAGAATCTGAGTGCATGGCATCAGGGTGACCAGCTCATTCTTGCTGTCGCTGCTCAAAACAACAACACTATCGTGGTCACCAACTCTGTTGGTCCTTTGATCATTGAACCTTGGGTCGATAACCCGAACGTTACTGCCGTGAGTGCTGCATCGGATAGTTCATACACGCACCTGCTGACAACTGGATATACAGATTGTCTGGGCTAACCTTGGCGGCAACGAAGCTGGCAATGCCATCGCAGACATTCTTTACGGTGCCTGGAACCCATCTGGAAAACTTCCGTACACCATTGCGAAGAGTCCCACAGACTATCCTGCCCAGCTCGTAACGGGTGGTACTGCAGCAGATATCCTGTCCATAAACTACACCGAGGATCTCTTCATTGACTACCGTTGGTTCGATGCAGTAAGTACTACTGTGCTTTCCGCAGTTTTAGCTGGCATTGACCCTCCATAGCAAAACATCACACCTCGTTATGAGTTTGGCTTCGGATTGAGTTACACGACTTTCGAGTACTCTGACCTTGCCATCACGGAAATTTCTCCCGCCGACTCTGCACAAATGGACCTGGTTCAGAACTGGGAAGACGGTGGTGCAACACCCATTGCTGAAGGGTCGACAACTGCTCTTTGGTCTGTACTTGAATACGACAATTCCATTGCATCAAACTAATCATCTACAACAAGGCTGCATATGCCAGCATACACGGTTACCTTCAATGTGGAAAATACTGGTACTTTATACGGTGGCGAGGCACGTCCTTCCTCCCATCATCCTTTTGCCCAAATCATCGAAAATTGACCCCTAGATTCCCCAACTATACATTCATCACCCACCGTCAGCCGGTGAACCGCCTTCAATCCTCAAGGGCTTTACGAATGTCGAGGTCTCACCGGGGCAGACTACCTCCGTATCGATCACTCTGTCCCGCTACGATCTTTCTATTTGGGATGTTGTTCGCCAGGGGTGGGCAAAACCAGAAGGAACTATCACTTTCTCTGTTGGAGCAAGTAGCAGGGACTTTAGGCTGAATGGGACCATTCCTTCATAGATTCTTAGGTCCTTGCATTGTAAACAATCTTGAAGTTCTTTAGACATGGTAGATGGTGCACTGGTATATGGTGCAACGCTGGAACCCTATTATGATGCTTCGTTGAGGCGTCGGAAATTCGGTCGGAGCTCTACCGGGTCTTTCGGCCACTTTGCGCAAACCTCACCCATCGGACCGTCAATCTTTCACACGAAGTGATTTTCACATTGAAGTTCAGAGTTCAAATAGGCCTACTCTCCCGTAAACAAGTAGTTAAACCTTGAAAGAAGGAAGACAACCAGTCCTTCTTTCTAGCTATCTGATAATCTGTCTTCATGTTCATCAATCGTCCAACATATGTCTACACACGGTGATCATGGAACTACAGATGATCAACATTCATCTGCATCTCGCGAACTTTTGATCCTCTACGCTACGGAAACAGGTACAGCTCAAGAGACTGCTGATCGCATTGCGAGGGAATGTCGAAGAGTCCATTTTCACTGTCGTGTGCAGAGCATGGATGTGTATCCACCAGTAGGCGGCTTCTCACTTGTTGTAATATTGTGTTCAGGTTCTGCTGCAGGAAACATTGATTTCAGAACACTTGGTCATCTTCGTGGTTTCGACCACTGGTTGGGGCGCTGAACCCAGAGCCATGACTTCATTATGGAACATGTTGCTGAGGTCTGATCTCCCAGATGACCTATTCGAGGACACGGATTTCTGCGTGTTCGGCCTTGGAGACACGGCCTATGAGAAATTCTGTTGGCCGGCAAAGAAGCTATCGAGAAGGATGCAGAGTTTGGGAGGCTATGAGATTTGCTCACGAGGAGAAGGAGATGAACAGCATCGCCTAGGGTGGGTATCCTTTGTTTTCCGTGTTCCATGTGGCTAATCAAAGTGCAGGGTAGATGGTGCATTGGATCCTTGGATCGAGCGTCTCCTAGAAGTCCTCATACAGCTCTACCCATTACCGCACGAGCAACATAACATTCCGGCTGGTCGACCACCACCTCGCGTATCCTTTAGCAATTTGGGATCTGACACCTTTCCGAATCCAGATCCTCTAGACGAGGACAAGAAGTTTCATACAGCTTCTGTGAAGTGCAACAGACGGATCACTGCGGAAGATTGGTTTCAGGACGTACGCCATTTTGAGTTCTCCTTCGAAGACGATATAAAGTACGGGTCTTTGTCTTTTGAATTCGCAGCTACTGATGGGGAATCTCAGACACAACCCTGGAGATGTTGCTGTAATTCATCCATCTGCAGCCGCATCAGAAGTCGACTCTTTCCTTGTCGCCATGGGCTGGGCAAATGTTGCAGACGATTTTTTCACAGTAGAACATACAATGTTAGGTATGACAAAAGCAGGATCCAGTAGACCCCGTCTAATATTTTACAGATCAAACATTGCCCGACCATCTACCGAAAATCGTTTCCCTTCGAATCCTATTCACGCGCTATCTCGATTTCAATGCTGTGCCTCGCCGCTCTTTTTTCCGACTGCTGCAATATTTTGCTACCGACGAGCTCGAATGCGAAAAACTTAACGAATTTGTATCGATAGAAGGAGCGGTACGTCGGTTTCCTCATCTTCTCTTCTTTTATTGAGGATGTGCAGGACGAATTGTATGATTATTGTCAACGCGTGAAACGCACGACCTGGGAAGTATTGTCCGAGTTCCGGTCTGCAAGGATACCGAGAGAGTATGTCTTTGACTTCTTTCCTCCACTAAGGCCAAGAGAATTCTCCATCGCTAGTTCCATCGAGGTGAGCTCATGTCGAAATGCGTTTGCTGCAGCCCAATTCATCTCTGGGTTTCGGCAGCTCCATCCCCGTGAGATCCATCTCTGTGTTGCTATAGTGCGCTATCGCACAAAGTTGAAAATTCATCGGAAAGGCGTCTGTACTAGTTATCTATCAGGGCTTAAATCAGGTCCGCATGGCGTTCTAGCGCAGTCCCTGAACTCATCATTTCTAGGAGATACCCTTCGTATCGGTCTCAGAAAGGGCTTCATTTCCCTTCCTACGGATCCAAACACACCGGTGGTGTGTGTGGGCCCAGGGACAGGCATTGCACCTATGCGTGCCGTCATCGAGCAGCGCATACACGAGGGACACACCAGTATGTTTGGCCGTCTTTGTATATCAGCTGATCTTTTATGACCCCAGATACTACCTTATACTTTGGTTGTCGTTCTGCACACAAGGATCAGCATTATCACTCGGAATGGGAATTTCATGCGGAACAACACAAACTCCGCTACCGCGTTGCGTGTTCTCGTGATGGACCAGAGGGTGTTAAACGGACGTATGTGCAAGATCTGATGAAGAAGGACGCACAGTATATTTGGACAATGCTGGGGCAGCAACGAGGCATCCTTATCATCTCAGGGTGAGTCTAGATTATATATAGCGCATGATGAATCTTAAGCTCCTATAATAGTTCCTCGAACAAAATGCCTACTGCTGTCCGTGAAGTTGTGCGAGGTGCAGCGGAGATGTTTGGAGGAAGGTCGAATGCTGAGGCTGTGGAGTATGTTGCTGCGATGGAGAGGGAGGGAAGGTTGATTGAGGAATGTTGGAGTTGAGATATTCGACACTAGTGAGCACCAAATCGTGAAGAAGTTGATGCACTTTGATAAGCAGATTCCGCAATTAGAACGCTTTCCGTTGGTTGCCATCAAACATTCAAGCTCAAAACTGAGCTTGCGGCCATTGTTTGAGTCGCTCTTCAAGCGAATGTCCACGTACAGCCTTGACGATCATCAGATGGCAGCTATCAGATCTCATGTAAAAGTTCCGCGATTATAAGTTACAGCCAGTGATATTATAATTGGGACCATTGGGCGCAAGCGCTTAGGAGTACCTAAAAAGAGGTGCCCTTGTACTCCCCTCTTATCACAATACTACAACATGTCTCAACACTCAAACCGTCATCCAACAGACCAGTCTGGTCTGAAATATATCATCAATCATGTGTACTGCCCCCTCAAGTTGCCGCAAGACAGTGACCATTCCCTCAAGAACGACCTAGCCTTAGCTCAGGCGGTTGTGGACGCTGCTCTTGCCTTCAGCGAGCAGCTGCCGTCCGATAAGCAACTCCTTTGGATGAGCAGCTTGAAAATGCTTCAGAACCTTAAAGATTCGGTCAGATTTAGCGTGATGTCTGCAAAGGAAGTCGAATCTCAAATTAGTGTCATGGACAATAAAGGTTCGTTGTTATCATTCCATTTGTACATATTTTAGGCTGAGCACCAACTTGCAGATGTTCTTGTATACATGATTCGCGCACAAAATGCTGCGGTGGTCATGAGAAAACTCGAATCCGACACCATATTTGAATCATTCGAGATGTCTCCTGACCCTACCGCAGTGATGGGCGCAAAGGGAAAGCTGATTTGTTCTTATCCTGGACCTGCTATCACAGTTCCGGATACGAACATTGATAATGCTACCTTTCCCGCCGAGCTCGCGAATTTTCTCGTTCACATGGATGAAGATGTCCTTGATGCGGCAGCGACGAGGACAAAAGCCAAATCCACTATTCTCGAAGAGAGGGATACAACGCATCCCCGATATATCACAGAACTCCTGACTGGTATATTGCGTGGCCTCGGGAGCATCGCTGATGTTCCTCGCATCCGCAAGCGCATCGGAGATGACGTGCTGTGGGACAGCGCGAAATTGCCGTGGAGGCGATCTCCACTTTGGCTTGTTACTCGCGTTGCCTTACAGACGACTCTGGAGCGCAGTGCTCTTGGACGAACGACGTATAAATCGTTCATCTTGTTCTTCATGGCGAGGCTCACGACCATTGCCCTCGACCATGACTTGTCGAATGACATCTTACACTTTATGTCGGCAAAGATCGCACGTCGTCTTTTCAAGCTTAGATCCTCTGCATCTCCGGAGTTGTCGCAGATGCTCCATAAGGTCACCAGTGATGTAAGGCGTATCCTGGAGGAAAGATGGGGATCTGTTCAGGGCGCGCAACGGGCCTCGCCTCATTGGGCTCCTGAGACACTCCGAGTCTTGCAGGATACCCATCTTTCCTTGAACACGAGTCGAGAGTACATACGTCAAGCTTTGCAGAACGAGCATTCATCCCCCAAAACAACCTCATTCTATCCCAGCCACCACACGCGCGGGACAATTGATGATTTCCTTGACGCTGAAACTAGCTTCCTGGTAGCTGTTTATGCCTCAGAACCATCTCTTGCCCTCGCCGATTTCGAGACCGCCATTAGTTCAGGGATCGACGACTGGGTGGCGCGCGTTCCACTCCAGAGTATTGATTCTGTATGCGTCTCGATTGAGGCATGCGCCTCTGCGTACTCCTCGAGAGCGCTTACGACTTATAAAGGAAACCCGGAGAATTTATCTATCATGCTTCTCACCCTTTTTGAGCTCTGGGTAGCCATGGATAAGATCGTTGTTGGACAAATTCCACTCCTGGCAGAATACTCCCCCGAAATCCCATTGACACTTTGGGAATGTCTTTTAATCCGCAAAGCTTCTGGCCTTGATCGTTTGAAGAAGTTGCACGCCTACCTGAAATCTCGTCATTGCCAGGCTTCTAGCCGTCTGTCAGCATTCTCGTTCACCAACGATGACAAGTCGTTCTCGGCGCGATATTTTTCCCAGTCACCAAAGCTACAGAGTTTGAAGGTTCGCATTGAGGCAGATGGTCAGAAACAGCGGGAGAAGAAGTTGATTGAGCTCCAAACCATCAATGGGAGGTATACTGATAAGGAGAAGCGTGCGGAAAATCTATCGCACACATACCGCGTCTCTTCACGTGGCAAGCAAGTGCATGAGCCCCCCCGGAAATGTGACAAGTGTCGCCTGGAAAAGGAAATGCGGTCGATGAATATTACGGTTCACGAGTGGCCACTACCAGCCAGTGAAAAGGAGGCGATCGCGGTGGTGTTTGAACTAGGGTGCCCCATCATGTTGGACATGTGGAGATCTACGACATTCCATGTCCTCGTTGATGTCTGTACTCCACAGGAAGAAATCTCACACACTAACGCCTTCATAATACTGCCGGACTATCATGCGTTGCAGCGTTATCGCCAGCGTCATCCAAGGCAGAGGCTGACTTTGGCATCGAATGCCAAACCATTCACCAAATGTCACTACAAGACCGTTCGCATTCCCACGGAGGATGTTGACAGCGTCTGTGTGAATAATGGGCTCGTATTCCAGCCTTTCGATACAGTCACTGCCACATGGACCGCCAATGTATTACAGCGCTGTGATTCTAGCAAATCATGCACTTTCCTCGTTCCCAAGGGACCATATGATGGTTTGCAGCAGTACCTTGCAGGGACATCCCACACGTCAAACGAGGTTATAGCCAATCAGGCAGATTGTCACAAGGACATGACTATACACGAATTCATCGCGTTCGGAGCCTTGCGGACTGGACCTCGTTTGCAATGGATGAACGTGCTACGTGAACTCCGTGCAAGGACGCTCAATTTTCGACGCGAAGAGGTCCATCTACTGTTGGCGCAAGCTGTTTCACAGGTTGGCCCATTTTCGTCCGACGATGGCCTTATTTGGCACGAGGAATTGAACAGCGTGCCCTTCCTGGGTGCACTACTCGGAGAGCTGGAGGATTTGATGGCGAGCGTTGAAGGGAATTGGCTGGAAGCTGTTACGATCGACACTATCATCATGCTTGTGTGCCGTGTCTTGTCCTCCACTCAGGAAGAGAGTATCAAAATTCGCGGATATTTGTTGCTTCGGAGGATACGAACTGCGACTTTTACGTTGCTGACGCAACTATCGGGGAAAATGCAAGCTGGCAACGAGGAGACGGACTTACAAGGGCGCGTTCGAGATATGGCAGTCACCTGTCGCAGCACTTTCGATGTCGACGGAGACGCTTCACTGCTCCTGACGTCGAACGATGACATCAAGATATTTGCATATTGTGCGGTCATGATTTATGACAACACTCCAAGCCAATTGAGCAATTTTTCGCAACATTCCAAGCTACTGCTAGAGCGAGACAAGAGATGTTGCCACGCATTAGAACCAGCTATTCGTCGATATGCAGAGCTTCACAGGGAGGGTCTTGATTGCGCGATTGCCAAGATTTGGGGCAGTTACAGACCAGGAACTCCTTGGAGGGCACTGATGGCTCCAAATTCTCGTTGGCTTGCGACACAGACTGCGCCATCGTATTCCCAATCGCCACAGGACGTGCACATCAATTTGATTAGCGGATGCTTACTTGTTGACGGGAAGCAGCTGGGCAGGCTCCCTTCAATGATAGTGCAACATCCCACTTACCAATCGATTTTCGGCGATGTGAGTCTTTGAAAGTTGTAGCTTTGTTGCTACACGCTCACCTATCAACTACAGCAAGTTCTGGACATCGTTCCAGCTGATATTCCTGGAATGGAATATGCGACACGGGGGAACTTCTATGACTATCAGGTTAGTAGTTACCCTCGTTGCCATTGCTCAGTAACTAATGATGCAATCGCTTGTTCCTGAAGGTATCTTTCTCTCTCTGTGACTCGAACGATCTTATTATTCGTGCGAAGCATATCAAACATGACTCACCCATCCTCCAGCTCATTCCGAGCCACAAATTCGTGGATGACCTACCGACCAACTTGGTCGTGGGTCATACTCATTGGCTTAACCTGCGCACGAGCGAAATTGAGATTCGGGCCGCAGAGAATGTGTGGAAATCTTCGCCTGATAATTGGGTCTTGACATTTGCTGTTTCGGGTTCCTCGGCGGTGCAGAATTCCAGTGGTGCTACCCTTGTCGACATACGCAGCCAAACGTGGTACATGATCTCCAAGAGGCTGCACCCTCTAGAGGATGCACGATTCATCATGGTCACGTATAATACAGCATCCGGCGGCACAGCCTTATTGAAGGCTGATTTGCCTCGATATGGCCTCGAGTTCTTTGTCGATGAGGAAGGGGAATTGCAGTCCCGTAACATGCGCAACATGGTCGTTGATGTCATTCAATCTACTGGCACCTTGTTTGGATTAGTCAATCAACTCATCTTGCGCCCGAAGTTGCAAGTCGCAGATGAGCATCCGCGCACCGTCATCATCCCAGATGGTCGTGTCTCATACTCTGCGAATGGTCATCATGTCCGCGTCACCATCGCTCCTGAAGGTACTCGGGTGACATATCAGTTGTACAGGGTTGATACAGATCTACGCTGTCTCACTGGGAACGTGGGTCTGACAAGTAAGCTCTATCAGGCGCTCCTTCACGCTGTTACCAGCGGCTGCCTCCCTGATCCCCTGACAGGCAGAACAGGGACAGAGGAGGCATTGCATCTCTTGCATTCTGCAGCTTGCCGATCGTTTATGAGGCTTCGCTCGCGTGACACAGATCTTTTACGCGAGATCAGTTCTCTGTCAACCAAGCGCGTCTGGTATCCCATTCATCTTCAAAAAATGCAGACAATTTCGTGGTCATGCCTTGTGCCCCTTGCACAACACCATGGTTTTCATCCAGCCGCAAAATCTATCATGGATTATGGCATGCAGCTTGCAACTTTCTCAGAAGGGTCTGCAAACCCTCCGCTCACCTATGAGCTTCCGCAGTTCACTGACCACCTTCTTGAGCGCGCGTCAGTTCGTGCCTCGGCAATCTATCCTAATCAGTTCTCTCTTCCACTTTCGCCCGGTGATACGGACGTTATCTATGCTTCACGTGATATTCCCGACAAAGTCGCGGAAGAGAGGGCATTCCAAACTGCCTTCATGGTCTACCAGTGGCCAAGCAGCCTTCCAGTGCAAAAAAATCTCCTTAGTTTGTTGACTCAGTGGAAAGATGTCCAGGGCATTGGCGAACCGTTCAGTTTGCAATACTCCAAAGACTGGCTTCAACCGACTTTTCCCGACGTCTTCCTTCCTGCGTACAATTGCTCTCGGAGTGCTACGAAGAAAGACAGATTCCAGTTGGTGTTCACTCTGGCTTCAGTATCATACAGCTTGTTGGACGATTACGCCCTCGTCCCGACACTCTTAGCCTTCGCCACGATTCCCGAACTTCGCAGCCTGGATTGCCTCCCAGACTTCACCTCCTATGATCTCTCGGATGGTTTCATGCCGTCCGATGAGAGATTGAATAATATCATCAATTCGTGTACCAGAGATTATGAAACCAGCGAGGAGAGCAAGCTAGCTGCGAGTTCCGAGGAAGATGAAAAGACTCTGTGGAAGCGTCGTTATGCAGCTTTCAAAGAAAAGTGTCGCTCTGAAAAGCAAGTCATTCTCAATCAAGTTCGGGACGCTTGGCCATGCGAAGATCCTCCGTCACTTGATACTCTCCAAGTGAACTACTACGATCTGAATGAACTGTCGGGGAAACTTTACTCGGTATTCTGTAGCTGTTGGCGAAATTATCGTTTGAAGCAACACCTGGAGGTCGTGCAGCAGATTCTCAAAAAATGCTACGCTCCCAATTGTCCGTCAAAAGGACCCTCACAATACAATCTCGATTCCCATTTTGAACTCTCGGATGTTGCTTCGTCATCCTCATTCATCGATGCCCGGTACCTTTTCGATCGAGATGCGCCTGGTATATCCATGCATGGGTCTTCCAAAGTTCTTCACACTTTGAGTCGGAGAGATTTCATATCTCCAGACTCTCGAGTCACAGCGAGGTTGCAACAGCTGATCAACGACTTTCGCGCCCGAGGAAGTGACAAGTTTTGCCGCAAATACGCCGATGATCTGGACCAGAGCAGGTCAATTTACTGTGATGAAAAGATCGTTGCTCTACCAGATTCTACGCCATACACGATGGAATTACTGCTCGAGTACCATTCTCTCCATAGCCGGCAATTCCAAGATTCACTCGCATCTATCTCATACGCCCTCTCCCCTGCCTCTGCTGCTGAAAACACATTATACAATGCTGGATTATGGCCTCGAGTTACACCAAATTTCCTCTTCACTCGCATGGCTTCTGCAGCAGGAAGTTCTTTGGGGGAGGCCTGGCGTGATACTCTTGTCCGGCTGTCGCAGATACTTTTGCAACTGCAACGCTCGCGAAGGCTGTTGGTGTTTGCCGCTAACAAAAACTGGGTCGAGTTCTTCAAGGAATTGGAGAGCGAAGAATGTGAGGGATTTGATCCAGAGCTGTACCCTGACTGGCTTTTAATACAGGTACACTATAAAGAAATCAATCACTGACTGATAACTGATAGTGGCATCCTCAGATTGAGGGTCGGTTCTTGGCACGGCCAGTCCAGGTCAAGGTTGCGCTGGAGATGATATCGCCATGCACAGGAGGAAATACTTCTCTGCAGCTGAACATGGGCGAGGGCAAATCCTATGTCATTGTTCCTCTCGCAGCAGCCGCACTTTCTGATGGCCACAGACTAGTCCGAGTAATCGTGCTGAAGTCGTTGTCGGCTCAAATGTTCCAACTCCTGGTTGAACGACTAAGCGGCCTTGCACAGAGGCGCATTTTCTATATTCCATTCTCCCGCGCACTCTCTATTGACTCATCGAAGATGCAAATGTATCGTGACTTGATGCAAGAATGCATGGATGCCAAGGGCATTTTGGTCGTGCAACCGGACCATATTCTGTCGTTCCAGCTGATGGTTATTGACCGTCACCTGTCCCCTCAGACTGAAGCTGCTGAAGATATGCTTCAGACTCAGCTATGGCTCGACAATCACGCACGCGACATCCTGGATGAAAGCGATGAAATTCTGCATGTCCGCTACCAGCTGGTGTACACTGTGGGTCTCCAAAGGTCGCTTCAAGGTCATCCCGAACGGTGGACGACGACACAACAAGTGTTAAGCTTGGTCGCGAAGCACACTGTTCGGCTCATGAGCAAATTTCACTCATGTTCAGAAGTGTCCACTCGTGAGCACGGAGGGTTCCCTTTCGTTCGTGTTCTACACCCGACAGCAGGCGATGCATTGGTCCAATGAATCGCAGAGGATGTCATCAATGGCGCGCTTGAAAACATCAGCTTCGATCAAGCATCGCCCCACGTGAAAGAAGCTGTTTGCCGCTTTATCGCAATTGAGCATATATCCAACACTTGTGTCAGTGTAGTGGAGGATCGCTATAGAGACACTATCATATGGCCCAGCCTTCTAGTCTTGCGAGGATTGCTGGCGTACGGTATCTTGGTGTACGCCATCAAAGAACGTCGCTGGCGCGTGGATTATGGCCTTGCCCCAAACCGAACTATGCTCGCTGTTCCATTTCGCGCTAAAGACATGCCCTCGCAGCGAGCAGAATTTGGCCATCCGGATGTTGCTGTCATCCTTACGTGCCTCTCTTACTATTATGGGGGCCTCACGCTCCAGCAGCTGATGTTGTGCTTCGAGCTCCTGCTAAAGCAGGATAATCCCGCCCTCGAGTATGAATCCTGGATAGCTAGACTTCAATCCGTCCCAGAAAGTCTGCGCCACCTTAGCGGAATCAATACGGAATCTGCAGAGCAGCTCCAAGATCTTCAGAAATTATTTGCATGCAACAAGGCAGTCATAGACTTCTACCTGTCCCGAGTAGTTTTTCCGAAAGAAGCGAAGGGATTCCCCAGAAAGCTCACCTGCTCCGGATGGGATCTCGCCCAAGAGAAGGGACATCTCACAACTGGCTTTTCTGGTACCAACGACAATCGTTATTTGTTACCGAGCTCAATAGTCCAGCATGATCTTGATTACCAACGCAGCACGAATGCCCGAGTCCTGGCGTTGCTTCTGCGCCCGGAGAACAATTGCTACACATGCATACCCCCCGGCCAAAAGGTATCACACTTCATTGATGCCCTTATCGCACAAACCCCCGAGGTCCGCGTGCTCTTGGATGTGGGTGCGCAGATGCTGGAATTGAAGAATCAGGAATTGGCCGAGACATGGCTTCGAGCCAAGCTTGACGCTCAAGCTGCAGTCTTCGTGAATGATGATGATGAAATTGTCGTTGTTAGTCGGGATGGGACAGTGGAACCCCTTGTGTCGTCCCCCTTTGCCCAGCAGCTTGATCAGTGTGTGATATATCTAGACGATGCGCATACTAGAGGAACAGATGTCAAACTTCCTTCCGGCTTCCGGGCTGCAGTCACGCTTGGTCCGAAAGTCACGAAAGACCGCCTGACGCAAGGTTCGTGATTCCAGAGTTCATGCATATCAGTTTCGACAATAATCAATGACACAGGATGCATGCGAATGCGGAAGGTGGGCAATGGACACTCGGTCATGTTCTTCGCTCCGACGGAAGTTGACCGAAGCATCCGTTCGGCGACTCAGAAAGCTGATTCCGACGATGTCGACGTGGCAGATATCTTGTACTGGGCGATGCTCGAAACTTGTTTTGACATCCAGATGCGTGCATTCCACTGGGTTCAACAGGGATCGGATTTCAACACACGGCATTCCGCATGGACTCAATTCTCGCGCGCCCCTGCCACTTCGATTGCCACCCTTGAAACTGCCTGGTTGCAGCCAGAGGAGCGTTCATTAGAGGATATGTACGCACCACGCAGTCCTTCACAGGTATCACACGTTTGTGATGCAGACATTCGAGGGAAGTGCGAGGAGCTCGGAGTTCTAATGGGACCTGAAAGGAGCATGGGTGAGGAACAAGAAAGGGAGGTAGTCCACGAGGTAGAGAAGGAACGTCAAGTTCACAGACCGCCCAAAGTAAGGCCTGCGGTTCAGGACCTGCATGCGGATGTTCGTCGATTTGTCCAAACCGGCCGAATTCCTACAGGGTCTCCCGCATTCATTCCAGCGCTATCCAGCCTTGTCGACACTACCACTGAATTTCATGAAGGCGATCAGTGGGCAAACAATATTTTAGTCACTCGTGATTTCGCCCATACGGTGGAGACTTTTCTTACCAGGAAGAAAGCAGATGAATACCTGCGGCCCGTCAATTGGATTGTATCCAGTGACGTTGGAGTGCTGGTAGTCATGAGCCCGAACGAAGTGAACATACTGCTGCCCGATATCCGGAACAGCAATGTAGTTCACTTATGTGTCTATACTCCTCGCACCGCAAACACGATGAAGGCATGCGATGATCTTCAACTCTACCGCATTCCTTCGATGCCACATCTGACACCACCGGAGCCGCTGATTTGCCAGCTCAACCTTTTTGCGGGTCAACTCCAGTTACGAGATGTATCTCCACACTTGCAACTTCTTAGGGCTCAACGCGCCGGATTTGGGAGATGATGACATGATAGTCGACAGTGATGGATTTATCAGGGAGGAGAATCGTCCTTGGGCGAGAGCATCGTGTTCGTTCAAGCGATCCCAGCTTCCTCCACTGAAGGAGTTGTTTGGAATGAGAAGGAAAGGCATGGGGTATCTGCCAACTCACCTCGGAAAGATGTTCAATGGCCGCATTCTGACTGAGGGAGATTTTCTCGACTGAGCGCCAGGTCTGTTTAGCGTATGTTTTAGCGCCTTTCTGCCAGGGACCCGACTGACTGCAGTTCTGGTCTACAGCGATTGTGACAACACTAGCCTTCATCATGATGTAATTTTGCGATGTTCTTCGTGAATGTATTTGTATGCGAATCTGAAATGTTATAGTTTGTTGCTTGAGTAGACATCCAATATTTCTATCTAAATCAGATAAGGGAGGCTCACCCACCGAGCGCTCATTCCACCGCATGAGTTGAAAGCAAGCAATGGAGAAAGCCGAAACTCACCAACACTAAATTTGCTTAGGAACCGTGGGTTTTTACTGATGCCTATGACAAACTTTGATTTTTTACTGGTGTACTACAGTGTGCGAAGCACAAACGCGGCGCCTCTGTACAGCGCCATAGATACATACAGTTAACTTCGTAGTCGATTTTGGGAAGGAATATACCTAAAATACACTGTTTTTACTAATTTCAGGTTCTTTGCGAAGTTGTTCCAAATTTTTCAAACAAAATTAAACTTATCACTGGCATGCCTCGACTGAGCAAGAAAACGAGCCAGGCAAAATCTCCGAGTGTCAATCATGCCGAAAGTCGGAGCTGAAGAAAGATGCAGAGCGACGAATCGCAGCAGCCGAGGCTATGGGACAAGAAGAGACTCTCACGAACCATGACCTGGCCGAGGCTGAAGGTGAACCAGATGAGGTTGAATCCGAGGCTGACAATTGGTGTTGTATTTTCAAGGTGCTCTCTCTACAAGAGGACTTCGCAACTGAAAAACCAATGCTTCAACACCTCATTGAGAGTCGAGGGCATGTTTGCCTTTTCTTACCGAAGTTTCACTGCGAACTCAATCCTTCGGAGATGGTGTGGGGGTACGGAAAGTATCGTGAGTCAGCTATTAATATTGTTGATACAGCTATTGATGAAAGCTTAGGTTTTCGTAATGCGTCGGATGGTAAATTCCCGACTGCAAAAATTCTTGTTCCTCGATGTCTTGATCTTTGTGATACCTTGACTATCCGGCGATTTTTCCGCAAATCTTGGCGCTATATGGATGCTTACAGGTACACTGCTGCTTTCTTATCAAATAATACATTTGTTGAATTTTTAAATTAGAAAAGGACTTGATGGGCGACAAGCTGCATTCGCTGTGAGAAAGTATAAGTCTCATCGACGCATTGGTATGACGGCGGAAGTCCTCGCATGTGTTAGCGATGCCGCGGCGGCGCAGAACAACTTCCTGTAGTTCTGTAGTATCATTTCTAGTCACTGGGCATGCCTCCTCGGACTCCCAACACTGTTTTTCTCATAATGTTTCAAATTCTTGTGACGAAAATTTTGAACTTCATTTTTTTGAAATTCTGGCCAGCTAGCATTAAACTACACATAAAATTACATAGATATACACTACTTTCACTTGAACTGTGTTAGTTTTCGTCTCGTAGTAGTCGTCGTACGTCGGGGTTACCCGAGGCGTCGAAAACCTTCTTCGCACACTGTAGTACTAAGTGCCGGAAGCCCCCGACTCACCCTCAAATTATGATGTTTCATTGAGGCGTTAGAAATTTGGTTGGAGCCTCTACCGGGTCTTCTGGCTACTAAGGTGATTTTCACATTGAAGTTCAGAGTTCAAATAGGCCTGCTCTCCCGTAAACTAGTGGTCAAACCTTGAAAGAAGGAAGACAACCGTCCCTTCTTTCTAGCCATCTGATAATCTGTCTTCATGTTCATCAATCGTCCAACATATGTCTACACACGGTGATCATGGAACTACAGAAGATGATCAACATTCATCTGCATCTCGCGAACTTTTGATCCTCTACGCTACGGAAACAGGTACAGCTCAAGAGACTGCTGATCGCATTGCGAGGGAATGTCGAAGAGTCCATTTTCACTGTCGTGTGCAGAGCATGGATGTGTATCCACCAGTAGGCGGCTTCTCACTTGTTGTAACATTGTGTTCAGGTCCTGCGCAGGAAACATTGATTTCAGAACACTTGGTCATCTTCGTGGTTTCGACCACTGGTTGGGGCGCTGAACCCAGAGCCATGACTTCATTATGGAACATGTTGCTGAGGTCTGATCTCCCAGATGACCTATTCGAGGACACGGATTTCTGCGTGTTCGGCCTTGGAGACACGGCCTATGAGAAATTCTGTTGGCCGGCAAAGAAGCTATCGAGAAGGATGCAGAGTTTGGGAGGCTATGAGATTTGTTCACGAGGAGAGGGAGATGAACAGCATCGCCTAGGGTGGGTATCCTTTGTTTTCCGTGTTTCATGTGGCTAATCAAAGTGCAGGGTAGATGGCGCATTGGATCCTTGGATCGAGTGTCTCCTAGAAGTCCTCATACAGCTCTACCCATTACCGCACGAGCAACATAACATTCCGGCTGGTCGACCACCACCTCGCGTATCCTTTAGCAATTTGGGATCTGACACCTTTCCGAATCCAGATCCTCTAGACGAGGACAAGAAGTTTCATACAGCTTCTGTGAAGTGCAACAGACGGATCACTGCGGAAGATTGGTTTCAGGACGTACGCCATTTTGAGTTCTCCTTCGAAGACGATATAAAGTACGGGTCTTTGTCTTTTGAATTCGCAGCTACTGATGGGGAATCTCAGATATAATCCTGGAGATGTTACTGTAATTCTGATCCATCCGCAGCTGCATCAGAAGTCAATTCTTTCCTTGCCACCATGGGCTGGACAAATGTTGCCGACAAGTTTTTCAGAGTAGAAACAAGCAGAACCCAGTAAACCCCGTCTAATATTTTACAGATCAAACGCTGCCCGACCATCTACCGAAAATCGTTTCCCTTCAAATCCTATTCACACGCTATCTTGATTTCAATGCTGTACCCGTCGCTTTTTTTTCTGACTGCTCCGATATTTTGCTACCGACGAGCTCGAATGCGAAAAATTTGATGAATTTGTATCAATAGATGGAGCGGTACGTCGGTATCCTCATCTTTCTTTCTTTTATTGAGGATGTGCAGGACGAATTGTATGATTATTGTCAACGCGTGAAACGCGCGACCTGGGAAGTATTGTCCGAGTTCCGGTCTGTAAGGATACCGAGAGAGTATGTCTTTGACCTCTTTCCTCTGCTAAGGCCAAGAGAATTCTCCATCGCTAGTTCCATCGAGGTGAGCTCATGTCGAAATGCGTTTGCTGCAGCCCAATTCATCTCTGGGTTTCGGCAGTTCCATCCCCGTGAGATCCATCTCTGTTGCTATAGTGCGCTATCGCACAAAGTTGAAAATTCATCGGAAAGGCGTCTGTACTAGTTATCTATCAGGGCTTAAATCAGGTCCGCATGGCGTTCTAGCACAGTCCCTGAACTCATCATTTCCAGGAGATACCCTTCGTATCGGTCTCAGAAAGGGCTTCATTTCCCTTCCTACGGGTCACCAGTGGTGTGTGTGGGTCCAGGAGTAGGCATTGCACCTATGCGTGCCGTCATCGAGCAACGCATACACGAGGGACACACCAGTATGTTTGGCCGTCTTTGTATATCAGCCGATCTTTTATGACCCCAGATACTACCTTATACTTTGGTTGTCGTTCTGCACACAAGGATCAGCATTATCACTCGGAATGGGAATTTCATGCGGAAAAACGCAACCTCCGCTACCACGTTGCATGATGGACCAGAGGATGTTAAACGGACGTATATGCAAGATCTGATGAAGGACGCACAGTATATTTGGACAATGCTGGGGTAGCAACGAGGCATCCTTATCATCTCAGGGTGAGTCTAGATTATATATAGCGCGTGATGAATTCTAGGCTCCTATATTAGTTCCTCGAACAAAATGCCTACTGCTGTCCGTGAAGTTGTGCGAGGTGCAGCGGAGATGTTTGGAGGAAGGTCGAATGCCGAGGCTGTGGAGTATGTTGCTGCGATGGAGAGGGAGGAAAGGTTGACTGAGGAATGTTGGAACTGAGATATTCGACACTAGTGAGCACCAAATCGTGAAGAAGTTGATGCACTTTGATAAGCAGATTCCGCAATTAGAACGCTTTCCGTTGGTTGCCATCAAACCTTCAGGCTCAAACTGAGCCTGCGATCGTTGTTTAAGTCATTCTTCAAGCGAGTGCCCACATACAGCCTTGACGATCATCCGATGGCAACCCTCAAATTCCATGTAAAAGTTCTGCGACCATAAGTTACAGTCAGTGATATTATAGCACAAATTTTTTGACAGAGACGGGAGTCCAGCTTCGTCTGCGCCGGGATACTGTTCGTCAACACGATTCGGTAAGAGGCATGTATGAGGACCAAGACAGGGAGGCACTTCATGGAGTAGAGAGAGCGTCGGGTGGAAAGACCGCCCAGGGTCCAACCCGCAACCCACGTTCCGTATGCAGACGTTCGTTAACTTCTGGAGACCAGCCCAATTTCCACGGGGTCCCTCACATTCATTCAGGCACTGTCTAGCCTTATCAATATTACTGCTGCTGTATTTCGTGAGTACAACCAATAGCCACAAATTGTTTCAGTCAACCATAGCCTCGCTCATACGGTGGGACTCTGTTCTGCCAGCTCAAGGTGGAAGATACATTCAACAGGCTGGTGTCAAGTATGCCAACGAGTCGGAGGCCGATGGCTATTGCATTGTTATTGGTATTTGATAGAGTTGTGGCTATGTCGTTGTGGGGGAGCAAGTGCACTAGCGGGTCGACGTGACGGAAGGAGCGGAAGGAGCGGAAGATCGCAACTGATGTCAGAGATGTGTCAGCTGTTTGAGATGCAGGTGAAAGTAGTTGTGGAGATATGCAACACGACTTTCAGTAATTGTATCACTAACCAGGAACGGTCACTGATAACACCTTATCGAAGCCATATCCAAACCTTGCATATGCGTGGATGACCTATGTCCATGACACGACTGCTGAGAAGGTTCCCGATATCCTTGCTCATGGCAGCACGATGCAAGTCGTCTTCAGATGCTAACTGAGCCTTGATAAAATAAAGTCAGCACGATGACAAGCGAAATGGTTTCTGTATCCATCTGAGCTTCAAACACGAGTTTATCGTACTACGTAAAGTCATGTAACACAAATACTGACGCCTGGGCAAATTTTCGTGGTTACTGGGATTCAATATTCAGATTTTGAGTGCGCACCTTGCACGACCCCAACCCCACCACCGCGTTGCGCGTTCTTGTGGCGGACCAGAGTGTGCCAAACCTAAGATCCGATGCAGAAGGATGTACGAGGAATTTTGGGGCAACAGACATCCTATAGCATGTGACATCAGAATCAGAATCTTAGGGTGGACGGCCTAGCCCTAGAACCATGATATGTGGGGCGTGATGAATCCTAGGGATGGTTCTTCGAAATGCCGTGCAGGCCTATGGAAGACAGGACCACCGCGCTTCGTTACATGGTGTGATCACACCCATACTAGGCAGGCGTGATGTAGGGACTCCAAGCACCTCTGCCAACTTTGTTTTTTTAAATACAGGGATTCAAAAAATTTTCTCGTTATACCTGAGCAGTGGGCCAGTGGCGAGGTAATATTAAAGCAAGGAGTTTCTTATCAAGCATCAAACCTTCGGCCTAGGCACGCACGATCAAATTCCTGGTACACGCCCATGTACAGCCTCAACGCTCATACTGATGGCACTCCTCAGGCCTCAGGCCCCAGATCTGATATGAAACTTCTGTGATGCATTGTACACAAAGGTTCTCGCTTTATGTGGATCCAGCCCTAGTGAGGCGTGAGGACGAGCGCCTGGGCGTTCCTTATTAGTGAAGGGGCCAAATTTCACGGTCAGTGGCCAATTCCTCTCTCATCCCATTGGTAACATGGCTCAATATTCAACAGCAAATCGTCTTTCCGAGTCAAAAGATCAACCTAGCCTGGAATATATCATCAATCATGTACTTCTTCCCCTCAAGTTGCCGCAAGGGAGCGACCAATCCCTGGAGAACGACTTGGCTTTATCTCAGGCAGTATTTGATGCTGCCATGACCTTCTGTGACCAGATGCCGTCCGATAAGCTGCTGCTTTGGATGAGCAGCTTGAAAATGCTTCGCAATCTCAAAGATTCAATCAGATTCAGCGTGATGTCTGCAAAGGAAGTCGAATCTCAAATCAATGCTATGGACACGGAAGGTCTGTTACTTTTATCTCATTCGCATTTTTTTCTATGTTGAGCATCAATTTTCAGATGTCCTTGTATATATGATTCGCGCGCAAAACGCTGCAGTGGTCATGAGAAAACTCGAATCCGACACCATATTCGAGTCATTTGAGGTCTCTCCTGACCCCACCGCAGTGATGGGTGCAAAGGGAAAGCTGATTTGTTCTTATCCCGGCCCTGCTATCACAGTCCCAGATATGAACATCGACAATGCCACCTTTCCCGCCGAGCTGGCGAATTTTCTCGTTCACATGGATGAAGATGTCCTTGATGCAGCAGCGACGAGGACAAAAGCTAAATCCACTGTTCACGAAGAGAGGGACACGACGCATCCTCGATATATCACGGAACTCCTGACCGGTATACTTCGTGGCCTCGGGAGCATTGCTGATGTTCCTCGTATCCGCAAGCGCATTGGAGATGATGTGCTGTGGAACAGCGCAAAATTGCCGTGGAGGCGGTCTCCACTTTGGCTTGTCATTCGCGTTGCCTTACAGACAACTTTGGAGCGCAGTGCTCTTGGACGAACGACGTATAAATCGTTCATCTTGTTCTTCATGGCGAGGCTCACGACCATTGCCCTCGACCATAACTTGTCGAATGACATCCTACATTTTATGTCGGCAAAGATTGCGCGCCGTCTTTTCAAGCTTAGATACTCTGCATCTCCGGAGTTGTCGCAGATGGTCAGTAAGGTCACCGGTGATGTAAGGAGTGTCCTAGAGGAAAGATGGGGATGTGTTCAGAGTGCGCAACAGGCCTCACCTCATTGGGCTCCCGAGACCCTCCAAATCTTGCGAGATACCCATCTTTCCTTGGACACGAGTCGAGAGTACATACGTCAAGCTTTGCAGAACCAGCACTCGTCCCCCCAAACAACCTTATTCAATCCCAGCCACCACACGCGCGGGACAATCGATAATTTCCTTGATGCTGAAGCTAGCTTCCTGGTAGCCGCTCACGCCGCAGAACCATCTCTTGCCCTCGCCGATTTCGAGACCGCCATTAGATCAGGGATCGACGACTGGGTGGCACACGTTCCATTTCAGAGTACCGATTCCGCATGCGTCTCGATTGAGGCGTGCGCCTCTGCGTACTCCTCGAGAGCGCTTACGGCTTATAAAGGAAACCCGGAGGACTTATCTACCATGCTTCTCACCCTTTTTGAGCTCTGGGTAGCCACGGACAAGATCGTTGTTGGACAAATCCCATTCCTGGCAGAATACTCCCCCGAAATCCCATTGACCCTTTTGGAATGTCTTTTAATCCGCAAAGCTTCTGGCCTTGATCGTTTGAAGAAATTGCACGCCTACCTGAAATCTCGTCATTGCGAGGCATCCAGCCGCCAGTCAGTATTCTTATTTACCAATGATGACAAGGCGTTCGCGGCACGATATTTTTACCAGTCATCCAAGCTGCAGGGTTTGAAAGTTCACATTGAAGCGGATGGTCAGAAACGGCGAGAGAAGAAGCTGACTGAGCTTCGGACCCTAAACAAGAAGTACCATGACCTAGAGGTGCGCGTAGCAAGTTTAGCACACGAATACACTGTCGACTCCCGCGGCAAGGAGCACCACAAAAAAAAGAAGGGTTGTCAAAAGTGTCGTGTGGAGAAGGAAATGCGATCCATGACTATCACAGTTCACGAGTGGCCGCTACCACAGTGTGAATGGGAGGCAATCATGGTCGTGTTTGAGCTAGCATGCCCCATTGCGTTCGACATGTGGAGATCCGTGACATTTCATGTCCTCGTTGATATCTGCACTCCAACGAAAATTTCGTCCACTCATCCCTTCATGACATTGCCAAAATATGACGCCTTACAACAATATCGCACGTGCCATCCAAGGCAAAGGCTCACTTTGGCGTCAGATGCCAAACCTTTCTCCAAGTGTCATTACAATAACACTCGCATTCCGACGCAGGACACCAAAGTCTGTGTGAACAATGGACTCAAATTTCGGCCTTTCGACAAAACCACAGATGCTTGGGCGGCAGACGTACTGCAGCGATGCGATGCGACCAAGTTGTGCACTTTCCTTCTTCCAAAGGGACCATATGATGGTTTGCAGCAGTATCTTGCAGGGACATCCCACACATCAAACGATGTCATAGCCAATCAGGCAGATTGTCGCAAGGACATGACTATACACGAATTCATCGCGTTCGGAGCTTTGCGGAGTGGACCACGTTTGCAGTGGATGAATTTGCTGCGTGAACTCCGTGCAAGGACGCTCGATTTTCGACGTGAGGAGATCTATCTACTGTTGGCGCAAACTATTTCACAGGTTGGCCCATTTTCGTCCGACGACCGTCTTATTTGGCACGAGGAGTTGAACAGCGTGCCCTTCCTTAGTGCACTACTCGGAGAGCTGGAGGATTTGATGGCGAGCGTTGAAGGAAATTGGTTGGAAGCTGTTACGATTGACACTGTCGTCATGCTTGTGTGCCGCATCTTGTCGTCGACTCAGGAAGAGAGTGTCAAAATTCGCGGACATTTGTTGCTTCGGAGGATACGAACTGCAACTTTTACGTTGCTGACGCAACTATCGGGGAAAATGCAAGCTGGCAACGAGGAGACGGTCAGCCGGGATTTACAAGGGCGCGTTCGGGATATGGCAGTCACCTGTCGTGGCACTTTCGATGTTGAGGGAGATGCTTCACTGCTCCTGACGTCCAACGATGACATCAAGATATTTGCATATTGTGCGGTCATGATTTATGACAACACTCCAAGCCAATTGAGCAATCTTTCGCAACATTCCAAGCTACTGCTAGAGCGAGACAAGAGATGT